AGGGAAAACGGCTTCCTTAGTCCTCTATTCTTCTTCCAGTGAAAAATCTTTTTCAGCGCTTGTCAGTTTACAATGGGAAATGTGGATCCAAGATTTAACCCCTGCGACTTTAACAGCTGAATTAGTGGTTAATAACACTTGACAAGGTCCTTTCCACCTTGGTTGCAACGCGTGCTTTCGTGAATGGTCTTTTATCATAACATAATCTCCAGGAGCGATGGCATGCAAAGGTTGGTATTCACTTGTTCGCTGTACAGCTTTTACCTGCATATAGAGAGACTAATCGTTTTGTTAGCTACATGCAATATGTCATTACTAAATCATCATTTATCTCATGAGAATAACATTTTATAGGTACCCCTCCTGTGAACATTGGTCTTCCCATTAGAATTTCATGAGGGGATAACCCTGCTTTCAAACTAGAGAGAATCTCATAGACATTAAGGCAAGAGGAAGTGCATTAAGCCACTTTAACTTTCTCTGCTGCAATTTTTGCAATTTTGTTTTTCAATGTTCCATTGGCCCTTTCTACTGCTCCTTCTGACTGAGGATGATGAGAGCAATGTAAATGGTAAGGGATTTGCTAAATTTTTGCTATCTGTTGCACTACTTTTCCTGTGAAATGTGTTCCCTGATCTGAGTAAATGTGCCGAGGCAATCCATACCTGGGTATAAATTCTTGTAACAATTTCTTAAACATTGTAGACATATCCGCATGGCAACAAGGATAAGCCTCAACCAAACCTGAGAATGTATCTAATATTACTAGCACATACCAATACTGCATTACCTTTGGTAATTCAATGAAATCCATTTGTAAATTTACAAATGGACCTCATGAACAGGGAGGATGATTTAGCTGCTTAATCTTAGGTCTCTGACCTGCATTGTATTGTAAACAAATAACACATGAAGAACACACCAGTACCAATACAGATTCTAGGCCCAGCCTTGACCATTCAGAATTAAACAACAATGATGGCAATGCTGGTCTTCCACTAAATATACACTCTCCCCACCAAAATCACTTACTTCTTCTTCCCTCAGTATCACATACAATTAATTTACTTTCAAATGTACCATAGGTTCTGGACCTTGGGTCACAGGTACACTAACAATACATATTCAGACCCCAATCTTCTTCTACATCTAGTCCGTCTTTTTCTTCTAATTGCTTTCTTGCCCCCTTTACCTCCTTGCAATCTGTTGCTATATGACCATATCCATCACAATTGAAACATTTGATAAATGTTCTTACATTATTCTGTGGGGGTCTTCTGGCTATGTTTTGTCTTGGCTGATGTGCATAATATCTAACAGGCATTTGTTCAGCTTGTAGCATAAGGTGCTCAGCTTTTGCATTTTCCTTGATTTGAATAGCCTGTCAAATTTCCGATGCTGCACTTAATACAATATTAAGTGATTTATCCCGCCATCCCAGTAAGGATAACATCAATTGTTTTTTTTACTTTAGCATCCAAACCATTTACTAAGGTATTCACTATGAACGGCTTAATTGATTAATTCGTGATATCTTCAAAACTTCCAAAAACCTTAATTGCTTCCGCATATTCATAGGGGTTTTCTCCTTTCTTTTGCACTATGCTATGTATAGTCAATAGGCTGGGTAAAAACTGTTTTTAATTTGATGCTGAGGAATGCATACCAATTCTTAAGGACAACATCACTCCTCTCATCAGGGCAATTTTCCCATATGTGTGCAACTGCTTGTACCCCCACTCCTGCAGGCCATGAGAAAGGTGACTCGTTATATCCTGCCACCCATTTAGTATGTTCTGCAGGGGTTAATACTGTCTCCATTAACTCATTAAGATCTTATGTTGTGGGGAAATAGCTGGCACACATTATTTTTAAATGTTTTACAAACCCATTTGGATCTAGAGGGGGCAGGAAATGATACCTGTAAAAATGCTATGTCTTGTGGGCTCCACGGTTGACAAATCCTCCGTGGTCTCCCATCATTATCCATCTGTCCCACTTCTCTAATAGGTAAAATCATAGCCTCACTCCCATCACTCTCAGGCAACACATTGCTACATCCTGATAAACCTGTAGTTACCACAGCATGATCAGCAAATCTTTTAGGCAGTCTAATATCCCTCTCAGGTCTACCACCTCAATGCAACATGGCTGAGGCACCAGCTAAATTTTGGGGTACAAGCTGTGGTGCATCATTCATCTGCTGAGGGGAAGTGACCCAAAGAGGGATTCATAATCTCATGATTAATCAAAAAATCCTCATCATCATTATAAGGCGGAGGATTTTTAACATTTCTTTTTAAATTGTACAGTGAGGGATACAAACAGGCAACACCAGTACCCTCTCCTTTACGTGCCCCTCCTGTTGCACCTGACTGGGGGGAACATTCTTGCTTTTTCTTTTCAATTTCCTCATGCCATAACATATATGCAGACCATTCCAGTTTTGAAAGACTTTTTCCATTTAACAACATTGTTCTTAAACTTAACAACACCCAAGGGTCTAATGACCCCACCACTGGCCATGGATTTATATTATTCTTAGTTAACTTTGCCCATTTCTTTGAATACATAATATTTGAAGGGCCATATTTCTGTTTCATTAAATAAACTGGGGAATCACTGGGTATACTATCCCCATGATCAAGCTGCTTGCCATGATTCAACCTCATTTCTGTTACTTGTACTTTTACACACCACTATATCACCTTTTGAGAGATCGAAAGGTCACAATTTTCAGTCTGTATACTGACTGACAACTGGAGTTTACACAAAAATCTCTTCTCAAATGATGTTACAGTTTATCAAACTTTAAACCATATACACACAGTTATACAATTTTAACACAATACATCTTACTCAAGTGCTACGTTTAACCTATGAGTTTAAACAATTAATACAAGACAACTTAACTTCACCTTGCTACGTTTAGACTGGGTGAAATTAAGACAATGAAACAAAATAATCTAATCTCACTTTCCTACGTTTAGATTTGGGAGATTAGATTCATGTGGCTAGCCAATTAATACAAGACAACTTAACTTCACCTTGCTACGTTTAGACTGGGTGAAATTAAGACACTAAAACAAAATAATCCAATCTCGCTTTGCTACGTTTAGACTTGGGAGATTAGATTCATGTGGCTAACCTCAACATTTAGCCACAATCACATGACAGGGATACATCATATCAAAGAGACTCTCACCAACAGAGCTACGTTTAGACTTCTGAAGGCCCACCAAACCCCTATTGGGTCTGCGAAGTTTAGTCACTTAAGTCTTCCTAGGGGACTACCTGTCAGTGCTACCACTGATTCTAGAATCACTCAGACATAGACACTAATACTGCAGTATATTTTACAACATAGACATAAATAGTAACGTTACAAATGGTCAATAAAAGGCTAGGAAATCAGGTCACACAGACTAGCATTTACCTGCACCGTTCTTTGTTTCATGGACACTCAAAAATTACACTAATGCCATGTTTTATAAATGGTATGGCTTACCTTTTATATGACCGGTCTGTTTGAGTGCCCACGAAATGGTTGGCAGGTGCAGGTGTTCCGCTGGTGTCTGTGGTATTCTGATCCCGGACGAGCCCCCAACTGTGGAAGTAGACAAAAATATTACCAGGTTCAATAAAAAGCGTTTAATTGACCATTACAATACACAGAGATATCTCATGGAGATTGGCAAGAAGCAATCTAACATCATGTTACAATTCCTCATATTTTATACATATGACCCGGAACTGGCCTTTCGTTTAGCTTGAATCAGAACTCCAAATATGGTCTTATTTCCTATTGGCTAAATTCTAGCATAACTGACAAATTTAAGGTTCAAAAGTTTAAGCATCCCATGATCTTTCTAACAGATGACTTGACCACAGTCATGCGTCTTACTTCGCTAAAATATCGCTTGTCTATGATAAGAGTTAACACATATAAGCCTGACTTCCTCTTTCACAACTTAAGCACTCATTTCACCTTTCCCCCCCCTGGCAACATCTGACAAGACACGCTTTCAAAATAACCTTTCCTTTTGCAATCCAAAAAACAGTCCAGACATCCATTAATAAATTGTAGCAATAAAACATAGTTTCTTCTTATTTCTTAGAGTAAATATTCTTCTTTGATTATATTTTAAGATGATGAATAAACAGCAAAATGGCTGACAGCATGTCAGTAGCAGGTTACATATGTTCACATGACTGAAGGAGAAAAGAGGGATAGTGCCACCATAGTACACAGCTATCTATGGGATCTGAGCCTGTTCACAATAGTCTCTGCTATATGTGAGTGTATCCAGTATATTTTAAATACATTCTATTCACATATAATATAACACTATATGTAATTTTTCTTTTATATAGCACTTAAACATCAGATATCCCTTTATACATATATGGGTAAGTGCTCTCTGTAGCGCCCTACTGTATTTACTGGTATTGGCCTTTGCCACTCATTTAATTTATTATGATTCGCATATGTGCTGTCTATTTAACAATAAAGATTCACTTTTGTATTTAGCATAAATATTTGGTGTGCATCCTTTTATTTATTGACTCTGATAATGTATACCATGATGCTTAAAGAGCAATTGGCATATTTACCATGTTGTAGTTTGGTATCATTTTGCTTAAATCTGTGGTGTTAACTGGGAAACATGAGAGAGCAAGCAGGTTATGCATAGCCAAACCGTTATATAAATTTACCACAAGAGGGAGACATAGTCCAAACATTCAGCGCGGTTCAATGTTTTTTTGAAAAAGTGACAATAGCAGTTGGGTGAAGTGCCTACAAATTGTGGTGATGGCAATTGTGCATTCCGGTAAATGTTCATTTAATCTATACACCATGTTGGTGAAATCACCAGCTAGTGTACAAAATAATATAGACTATACTTACTATACATTTTGCCCACTTTGTCATTCATGGTCTTTGAAAAAAATGCAATATACAATCCTTAGTTGGATCAAGGTGTTGTCCTGTGCCCATCAATTAAGGTTATGACTTGACTTAAAGGGACACTCTACATGCTAACAGTCCATAGGAATGCATTTCTCAATGCTTTCCTATGGACGTTCTACACGCTGGATGCAAATTTCGCATCCAGTGTCGCAGAAGCGCCTCTAGCGGGTGTCAGGAAGACAGCCACTAGAGGTTGGATTAACCCTGCAATGTAAATATAGCCGTTGCTCTGAAACTGCTATGTTTACATGTGAAGGGTTAAAACCTGAGGGACCTGGCACCCAGACCACTTCATTGAGCTGAAGTGGTCTGGGTGACTATAGTGTCCCTTTAACAATTTGTATTTATATAGTTACAGCTACTTTGAATGTAATATTCATTGGCCATTTCTCTAAGTGTAGATAGGTCAGTATTTGTTATCCAAGGGGGATCTTTTATACAGATTTCATACATAAATTATACATTCCAAAAATTACAGATTTCATACATAAATTATACATTCCAAAAATTTAAGACTAAAACAATCCAAGACTAAAATAGTAATTACATCTCATGTCATTCTAATGGGTAAAATGTCTCGTATATCAACTGATAAAATTAATACCTAAAACAGAATTTGACATCAGGGGTGATTTACTTTAAAAATTGGCAGATTTTGAAGTCATTAATTAGACCATATGGGATCATTGTATTTAAATTGTGGATCCATTCCAATTCTACTTTGCCTATGGTTTTATTAAAATCTCCCCCTCTCCAATTTTTTCAGAGTTTTTTTTTTATATCCATAGATTTCATACCCTTAGGGTTGTGGTTATGGTGGATGTTGAAATGTGCAGAAACACTATGGTTTTCATAGCTTTTTGTGAATGCATTTTACTTTGTCATTTTTATTGTGGTATATCTAAAAACAGCTTGCAAAAGCTGTTGATCTCCAGTCTGCAGTATTTGCGGCCAATTCACTCTTGGGCCCTGTCTCAAATCAAGAGTGACAGTCACTTGCAAGTGCCTTCGGATGCAGCAGTGATTGCCCAGAAAGCACTCCCAAGCCTGTTTTTATTTAGCCATTAACCTTTTTAGGCTATATAATTATACATATCTCCCTTTGGCCAATAAATGTTCTCTTTCAAATAACTACCGGTACTTTGAAAAACATTCTTTTCAGACAGTCCTTGCTGGATCTTTAATACACCCTATTCCTGGTACCTGTCATGAAGGATTACAGACATTACATGTTATGCCATGTGATGTACTTATTTCTTGTTCTTGTTTCTCTTTTATATATAATTGTTTTTGAAAAATAGATACCTAACGGTCTTATGCTTTTGCAACAAATCCCCAGACTTGGATTATTCTCCAGCTACTACACTATTTCATTTCCAAACCACGTTGCATCTTAAAAACTTTCTTAATAAAACTATACATACAAGCAGCCACTGCATTGATGTATGTAAATAATTGTTTAGAAGGTTCATTAATAAAGTACAATGGTAAGATGTGCCAACGTTATTGAAGCAAAGGTAGTAATAATTGCAAATTAAAATATCTCACTGAACCGTATTATCTAAATAGGCTCTTACTCATGCATTGCTTTAGTAGATTCTATGCACACTACACTATATAATATATAATCATACCTACCTGTTAATTGCGGTTTGTATATGAACTGGAAAACAGAAGGTTAGTATGTTTGCAAGATACAACAATACCTGAAGTTAATAAAACTAGAATGTGGTAAAAGGGAAACCATCATTTTTCAGTTACAATTAACAAAGCAATGTATTTTATGGTTTACACTTAAGTTGTTCAGTGGTGTTGGAAACGTTCTGGAGTGTCCAACTATAAAATAAATATAAGGAAAACTCAAATCTTAGTATCTAACATAGATGAGGTTAAACTCTCTTATCTTAAATCTAATTTCCATTTTGATTTGAATTAGGACTATATTGAATATCTAGGTATTAAATTATCTTTTAATATCCCTAATTTAATTCTTCGGAACTTTGAAGACTTGTATAGCTCAACTAAAACACAATTCAATACTTAGAGTAAAATTAAGATCTCCTCTTGGCTGGGACGGTTGAACACTATTAATGTATATTTTATACCTAAACTGTTATATCTATTTAGATCTCTATCATCTAAATTAAAGGACCACTATAGGCACCCAGACCACTTCAGCTTAATGAAGTGGTCTGGGTGCCAGGTCCAGCTAGGTTTAACCCTGCAGCTGGAAACATAGCAGTTTCAGAACAATAGGGTTAATCCAGCCTCTAGTGGCTGTTTCATTGACAGCCGCTAGAGGCGCTTCTCACTGTGATTTTCACAGTGAGAAGATGCTGCAGTCCATAGAAAAGCATTGAGAAATGATGATGTTGGAAGAGGGAGGAGAGTGCCTGACGCTGGAGAAAGGTAAGTGATTAACCCCTTAACCCCTCTTGAGCCCGGCGGGAGGGGGGGCCATGAGGGTGGGGGGACCTATTAACACTATAGTGCCAGGAAAACGAGTTTGTTTCCCTGGCACTATAGTGATCCTTTAAATAAACACTGGATTTTGCAATATCAAAGTTAAGTTCAAATTTTATATTGGCAAATAAGAGACCAAGAATATCCCAAAAGATTCTACAACACAAATATGATAAAGACGGTATATCCTTTCCAGATTTTGCTAAGTTACATCAAGCTTGTTTAATTACAAATTCAATTGTATGGACCAAGCCAGGTATTCATAACAATGCTTGGTTTCAGATAGAACAAGAAAACTGTTTGCTAGGTAACACAATATTTTGGACAGATGAGCCAAACCAAATGTATCAAATCAATTGATTATTGATATGCTTAATACTTAAAAAAATAAGAAAATTATCTTGGATTCAATTCTTATTTATGCTCCATGGAAATTCTCCAATATAATATGAAACCTATGGATATGTATAATTGGAGGCAATCGGGATAAATAGAATTGGCGATTTATTTGGACACAAAACACTGCTTAGCTTTCCAAGTCTACAAAATAAGTATAAAACATCTGGAGATAATTTTCATTATTTAGGTATTATAAACTATTTAAATACAAAAAATGATCTATGAACACTCTATCTATGGATACTTGGATAGATTGGGATCTAAAGGCCTAATATCCAGAACTCTTACATTTTTGGAAGGAGAGTTTGACGCCCAAAAAATGCCTTCCATTTTAAAATGAGAAATGGATCTCAATATATCGTATACCCCATATGAATGGTATCAAATCACTAGTCAATTTAAAAAAAATTATACATTGTATCTCTCTGTTAGAACTTCATTTAAAGATTATATATAGGTGGTACTTGGTTCCGTCTAAGGTTCATAAAATGTATGAAGCATATTCACCTTTATGTTGGAGATGTAAAAAAGAGATAGGTAGAAATCTGGTTGCACTGACTACCGCCAAAGCAGAGTTCGCAAATAGGCTCATATATTGACAGGACGAACAGACAGAGGGACCCTAGGACTGCCCAGACCCTGTCACCTCCTGGCAGTATCCCACCCTCCCCTGGACTGACCCTTCAACCACTCTCCTCCCCCACTCAGCAAAACAAAGCGTAAAGCACCTCTACAGTCGAGAGACAACATCCTGATATACCGGATCACCGACGCTAGGTGACATACGTGACACGAACACAACACAAACCAACACCGAGACACACGGACACAGAGCCCAAGGGCACTATACAAAGGCTAACGCCCTGCACATACTAAGATGTAACTCATGCACAAACAAGTACACAGACTACCGACATGTACATAGATTGAAGACCAGACCTATCCTACTCCATGCAACACCGACACAACAAGGTCTTGATTAGACGACGCTTGGGTCAGACGAAGCAAGGTGCGGGATACCCGCAATAAGCAACAGAAGTGGATGTTATCTTATTATGCACTTGTATGCTATGTTGCCATGCTAAACAGAGCCCTGCGTGTCGCCTATTTGATGCTAGACAAGTGATCTGCGTATCCCGAAACCCAACTCGCTCATTATCATGCTTGAAACCTGCGTGTTTCCTCCTATTCACGAATCAAAATTTTCAATAAAAATATATTTACAAAAAAAAAAACCAAAAGAGATAGGTACGATATTTCATATTTGGTATAGTTGTGATATTCTAAAAGATATCATAGATCGTACTTCCACTTTGATTTTGGATTTAATTCCGGACACTATAATTCTTACACCTCCACTTTTTTTATTTAATTTAGATTTTCCTCTTATGGAGAAAAAATATAAATACCTAATATCCCCAAATTCTTTTTGCACTTAACCATAGCCCGTAATTGGAAATCTGGCCAACCTCCTATGTGGCAAGATATAATAAACCAACTAGATTATCAATATTCAATGCAGAGTATGTTTATAGACATATTGGGAAAATATACCTCATACTGAGATCTATTGAATCTTTTGATCCTATATAGGAATAAGGGTTATTTATATTAGATAAAATAATTTAGAAGACAGAGGGCGGAAAGGGAAATGGTATAGAGAAGTCGTATAAAAGGGTGAGGGGAGGGTAGGGAAAAGGAGAATGAGGAATAAGGTGAAAGAAAATAAACCTTGGAGACTCATGACCACACATCTAATATCGGGCCCTGGACACTGCAGTCCTATATACTTTTTTTTTATGTTTGTGTCTATTTGTACAATTTATAAATTTGCCTTAAATAAGGAAAATACTGTGATGCGTTTGTACTCGCTGGACAAGTAATTATTACTTCATATTATTATTTCTTGTATTTAATGCATCATATGTCAATTGTCGGTAATGGCTTCTCTAATTGTAATCATAAAATGAAAAAAATTTAAAAAAATAATGTGCTGGAGTGATTGATGCCATTCCCCACTCAATTTTTACATAGAATATTATTTAAAAAAATGTAATATATAAATTTTAATGTTTTGCCTAGCTTTTGTGGTGGTGTTTTTTTTCTAGGTGCAGTTGAAAATAAATGCCATTCTCAGCAAATGTATTTGGGAACTAGAAGGAGATAATTTCAAATTGCAAATTACCAGCACACCTAAAAAGGAACAAATGGTATGTTAGTTTTATCTTTTTAAATGCTGACACTCATTACAGGAACACTCCAAGTAACATAACAACTACAGCTCTCTTTGGTGGTTATGGAGTGCCCTGGTGCTGTCCCAATGAATCTGTCAAGTGTCAATCTGTGTTCCGTGGACAACCATACTCCATCCACTCCTCTGAGCTAGAGCAGCCAAATATTAGTTTCGCTCACTAGAGAAAAGGATTCAATGCATTCATTGTTTGAGAGTGCTCATCTGACACTCCCACCCAGTGAATGCATCTGGCTTTCCTGTTTTTGGAGACTTGATGCAATGGGGATACCCGTTGGGACCTTGGCAAGTGCTAAAATGGTTTGACAAATTACGCTGGGTTGGTGCCAAAGCATTCCAGGCACTATAGCCACAACAGTGGGCTGTAGGGATAATGAAACTTAGGGTATTACTTTAAAATTCTTCTTACATACTCGGTTTGTAATCTTTTTTAAACTTACTACAAGTTAGCTATGGGATAAGCTTTTTATTTTTAATTGCAAAAATAAGGCTATTCACCTCTCTCATGTACAAAACATACAGATTTAGTCAAAATCTATTGCCACAATGTATTTAAAAGGGCAGACTAAGCACTATAACCACTACATGTTATTGTAGTGGTTATGGTGCTATTTTCTGTGTGTGCCCCTGCTGTTTCTGAGTCAGAATATTTCTGGGATCCCCAAAGTAACCACAGTCCATCCCCTTGCTTGCATGCTGCTAAGGCACAAATTCCATTTCCACTTATTAGTATTATCAGTTTGGTGCAGATTTGGTATTGAAAGACTTATGTTCTTATGGTGCTTAGATTGCCCAATTAAGCTCTTCTTGACTTAAACAAACTACCACAAAGTCGGTGGATTATGAATTTGGAGTTGTCGGCAAGGGCGATTCCAATCTTGGGGGATGCACTGGAGTACCTAATTGCACTGTGGCATATAAAAAAGTAATTTATTGGAAATTAACATTACTGTAATTTTTATTGCTGTATAACAGGCTACCCCAACAATAGAAACATAGAATGTGACGGCAGATAAGAACCATTTGGCCCATCTAGTCTGCCCAATTTTCTAAATACTTTCATTAGTCCCTAGTCTTATCTTATAGTTAGGATAGCCTTATGCCTATCCCACGCATGCTTAAACTCCTTTACTGTGTTAACCTCTACCACTTCAGCTGGAAGGCTATTCCATGCATCCACTACCCTCTCAGTAAAGTAATACTTCCTGATATTATTTTAAACCTTTGTACCTCTAATTTAAGACTATGTCCTCTTGTTGTGGTAGTTTTTCTTCTTTTAAATATAGTCTCCTCCTTTACTGTGTTGATTCCCTTTATATATTTAAATGTTTCTATCATATCCCCCCTGTCTCGTCTTTCCTCCAAGCTATACATGTTAAGATCCTTTAACCTTTCCTGGTAAGTTTTATCCCGCAATCCATGAACCAGTTTAGTAGCCCTTCTCTGAACTCTCTCTAAAGTATCAATATCTTTCTGAAGATCCTACTCTAGTATTTATGGTGCTAGTAGTGCCTTGATACCCTCCTAGAGTAATTTGTCAAATTGCTTTAGAACAGTTTGACAACTTACATTGGATCCCTGAACTTACTGTTCGACTATGTGGACACACAATCACTGAAGTGGGGCACAGTGCAATTTGCTTTGTTTAATAAAATATATATTTTGCTTTGTGTTACATAACAGAATAATATGCATATTTACCAAAATTTCCCATGTCTGCATCAAGAGCCCATTTTTGATGCCGCCATGGTTGGCCAGGAATAACATTTCTCATGCCTCACAAATTATCTAAACCAGGGTCATTGGGTTGACATGCAAACAATGTAATTGCTCATTATGGGCTCCGTGTCCATGAAATGGATGTAAGGATTTTAGGATTTTAAAATTGTGGTCCTCATCATACTTATTTTTAAACTTGTGCTGGATTTAGTTGATCAGTATTTCTTGTGCAGGGAGCACATTGTTTGGAGGATCAATGCATTGGTAATTTTAATAAAATCTGTGTTTCTAAAGGTTTATACATAAGTGTCCTTTTGAAGAATAAAACTAATCACTATAACACTAATGTTCAACAGGACCATATGTGCAGAGGCTGCTGGACTTGTCCCCCTGAATCCACAGTGTATCGAATTGACGATGAAAATCAATGTTGCTTGAATGACTTCTCAACTATCACAGAGGAAGAGAAACAATCTATGCATTTACAAAAATATCAAAGCAAAATGGAAAATCTTGAACATTTGAAAGGTTTTCAAGCAGGAGCAATAGCAGAATTCAAAGCATCCAACACTGATCACACCTTAAATGTACAAGAATTCTATAATTCCAAACCATTAGAAGTTCAGACTCAATCATTCAGGGATCAAAACCAGCTGTACAGTAACATATTAAAGCAGCCATGGTTACCGACACGGTACTTATCAGAAGAAAATACTCATTGCTTGAAGGATATGGACAGGCTGGAGGAAGAGAAAAATATAATCCAGCTACAATTGACCCAAGCTGAAGAAGACGGGAAATACTACATCAAAGAGATGGACAAAGTGATTAATAAATGTGAAGAATTCCTCAATCAACGAAAACATATTGAGGATGAGAGGAACCTTCTCCGGGCAGAGCGACAATTGCTGATGAAAACATTACATGAAAGAGAAATCGAAAAAGACTTGTTGGCAAATAACAATGACAAAGATAGGACAACAGAACTTCTGAAAACTACGCGGCAACATTTACTGTCGCACATCGAAGACAAACAGCAGCTGCAGTTAAAATTAGGGCGTGCATTAATGGAAAATATTCTACTAAAAGAGCAATTAACACAGACCCAAAGCCAGACGAAGGGAATGCAAATGAACGACTCTGATCAAAAAGAATTCTGTCTGGAGCTTGCAAGTTTTAACAACCACACATTAAATCTAGAATCTGTGGCTCAGAAAACATTAAATTTCTCAAGAGTCTCCTATAGTGACCAGTATAAATCCAACAGCAGCAATGAGCAGCTTCTTTGTGAAATAAAAGATCTAAGAGCAAAAAATATGATGCTGTGGTCTAGTTATTGTGAAAAAGAACAGCAATATCAACACAAGGTGAAACAGGTCAATGATCTTAAGCATGAAAATAACTTGCTCAAAGTTGAACTGGGGGAACAGCTTAAAACTACTCTGCAGTTACAGGACAGAATTAGAATACTCAATGAAGAAGCATTATTGCGAGAAAGTTCTATAGCAACCCTGGAGCATCAAATCAGAGCTTTCAAATATAAATTGTGCAATCTACAGGAGAAGTTTCACTTTTACAGTGAACATATTGGTAAGAATTAATTAAAAAGGGTTATTTTACCCCAGAAGTATTTTTTTAAGAAGACTATCATAACAAGTTGAATGTACAAATTAAATAACCTGGTATAGGTTTTTCATTCCAGCAAACCATGACCCTGCCCTTGTAGCTATTGTAAAAGTCACTCAGTGACAGGTTACTGGGCCTAGACAGTAAGTAGTTAAAATTAGCCATGTACTCTATCAATCCCTACTTTTGGGCAGCAGGACACAGCAAATAGTGGAAATTAGCTATGTACTCAAATGACCACTACTCTTGGGTAGCAGGACATTCTAGGTCTAGGCATTATAATCATTTCATCTCATTGAATTGGTTAAAGTATCTGGTGTTATCCCTCCCTCCATTCAGTGTTAAACTATAAAGCAGGTGCTCTAGAAAGGCACAATAATCAAATATAATAGCGAAAAACATTGCCCCAAGCACTAAGCTCTGCCCAGAAGGTCACACAAATGTGATCACAGTTCACGAGAAGCAAATCCACAAATGCAGGTGAGGGCACTCCTGGCTGTAGGATAGCAAGTTTCGATATAAAGTTGCGAGATCGGCGGCTTCTCCACTCCATCAGCGTGGGATAGGTCTCAAGATCAGGAGTTTTACTGCTCTGCAAGTTGTTTCAGACCAGTCCTAATATGGTGCACTAGACGGTAAGAACAGTCTTGCAACAGCTTAATACCTTCTGGTAGCCGGATTAATAGCTTTAAATACTGAAATTTAGCTTGGTTAAGCAAGAGCTACAGAGGGACACGTCCACCCACCTTGGATGACAGGTCCCGTCCCCCTCATGCTTTTCATTTCAATGTAAATGAATTTTAAAATAACTGGCTAAAAATACAGATGTTCTCAAAAACCGAAGAAATAACTGGTGTAAGGCAAATTTGTAGTTTGTGTACACTTCTGATTTTGATATGTTCATTAAAACAAGAAATATACAAACCTGAGCTACAGAAATGAATGTGTGTGTCTACGTTTAAAATAGCCACATTGAAGTTTTGTTTATATAGGATTTCCAACTTTTTAATTCTGCAATTCTCTTCCAGGTAACAAAAAGATTATTGAAATTCAGAAGATGCTAAAAGAAGAAAGGTTAAAGAGCTATGCCATCTATAAACACGGAGTAAGTGGCCATATTTCTGTCAACTATTCCAGCTCTCTAGCGGCATTGCAAACTTGTACCGAAAACAATGGAGAACATTCAGAAGTAAAATCCATATCACCTGAAAGAATTATGTCATCTTCGTGACAATGCCACAGGCTAATTGGATTCTGGTTATCAAGAAAAGTCCATTGTGAATGAAACTTTATAAGCTATTTCGGGCAGAAATAAAAGACAGAAAACACAAATGTATATATTTTATTTTTAAAATTAACGTTTTTAATGAATGCTTTTTAAGAAAATATTGGAGAAAATAAGCAAAGAAAAAAAGGAAGACAAAAAGAGTCATGTAAACATTCTGGAAAAAGTATAGCAGGAAAAGCGTAAAGTGTAGAAAGTAGGGTAGGGGGGAAAAAAGAGTGCCAGGCAAACAAGAGACAGGCCCCCTCATCAGGGTTTTATGAACCTCCTGACTAGCTGGAGGAGAGGCACGTGGGTTGTCTCCGCAGAATGTTCAAATTTGGACTGAGAAGACAATAACCCCATACAGGGAGACCAGATTCTCTTGAAGTGATCAGTACTTTTTTCAATAGCTCCTCTTAGCTTCTCCATCCTAATTAAATACATATCTTGGTCATGGATAATCATTTTAAAAATCCTACATTTATATCAGCCTATATAGTGATATAGTTATAGAACACCTAAAGTAATCAAGCTTTCAGATGAATATATTAAAGGAACAGTTAAGCTAAGATTGCTGTATATGAATGAATCATGAATCAAAATGTAATTGTATTCATTATTTATAGAGTACTTTGTTTGCCAGAGAATCACCACAAGTAAGAAGTAAGGGTGTGATCATACCAGACAAATATAGATACTGTAAGCTAGGGATCAACCGATATTGTTTTTTTAGAGCTGATACCGATAATCATGTGAACTTTCAGGCCGAGAGCCGATAACTTGCCGATATTCCGTACATTTACCATTTTGAAAAAATAAACTATTTCTAAAGGTAAATGCACAAAATATACATGCCACATGTAGTGGATGCAGTGTGTGTATATAATGCAGGGTGTGTTTGTGTAGTGTGTATAGTGAATGCAGTGAGTGTGTAGTGTGTGTATAGTGAATGCAGTGTGCGTAAAGTGAATGCAGTGTATTTGTGTAGTCTGTGTATATAATGAATGCAGAGTGTGTGTTTGTGTAGTGTGTGTATATAATGCAGAGTGTGTTTGTGTATAATGCAGTGTGTGTAGTGTGTGTGTATATAATGCAGAGTGTGTGTTTGTTTAGTATGTAGTGTGTATATAATGCAGTGTGTGTATATAATGCTGTGTGTATTTAATGAATGCAGAGTGTGTGTGTTTGTGTAGTGTGTATATAATGCAGAGTGTGTGTAGTGTGTGTGTGTATAATGAGTGCAGAGTGTGTTTGTATAGTTTGTGTATATAATGAATGCAGTGTGTGTGTGTGTTTGTATAGTGTGTGTGTTTGTGAAGGGATGTAATTTGTGTAAAATGGGCAGGAAGGGAGGCATTTTTTTATTTTTAATATTTATATTTTTTTGTCCCCCCTCCCTGCTTGTTACCTGGCCAGGGAGGAGGGATATGACAGTCCCTGGTGGTCCAGTGGCATGTACTGAGTGGGGGGTCCCAGCAGCAAGCTATTACTTACCTCCCAGCAGCTTCTTCAGCTCCCTGTGTAAATCTTGTGGTCTACGTGCCGCGCGGAGTGTTGCCATGGTGAGCGAGATTTACACAGGGAGCTGCTGGGAGGTAAGTAACAACTTGCTGCTGGGCCCCCCCAGGACCGCCGGGCTTGTAATGGGCCTGGATGTCTTGTTATGTGTTATTGGCAATGTCGGTATCTCTATTGGCCGATACCGATATTGCTGAAAATAACGGATATCGGACGATAATATCTGTAAAACCGATAATCGGTCGATCCCTACTGTAAACTTCTCAACACTTCTGGATATTCTACAGTGTAACTTGTTCATCATCCTTTCATATCAGTCTGTGTCAATTAGTTTATAATACAGATTAAGGAACTGCGCACACATAAAAGTAAATGTTTACATTTTATAAGGCTACTTAACCCCTTAAGGACCGAGGACGGTTCAGGACCGTCATCGGCATTTTTGCCTTGCAGACCGATGACGGTCCTGAACCGTCCAAACGGTCTGGGGCTACTTACCTGATCGCCGTCGTTCCCCCGGCGGCGATCAGTGTTCCTCCGGTTGTGGGGAGACTGCCTGCAGCCCAGACAGTCTCCCCACGGCAGATTAGGACCCCTGTGGCCATGTGATCGCTTAACACAGCGATCACATGGTCACAATAGGTGTCCATAGTGCTGCCTGCAGGGGGACTGTCTGTGCTGACAGGCAGTCTCCCTGCAACTGTAAAATCAAAAAAAAAATTAAAGTTAATGGTAATAAAAAAAATAATAATAATTATATATGTATAAATATGATATATAGACATATATTATATCTATATAATATATGTCTATATATCATATATATAATGCCATACTAAGTGTATTTTTATATTAATATGTACTTATATTAATATAAAAATACACTTATAATTAAATTACACACGTATATATATAATATATATAATAACTATATATATTGTATATATATATTATTATAAAATATAAATAATAAGTAATTTAAATTAAATAATTTTTTTTAAATAATAATAAAAAATTTAAAAAAAATTATATAGCTATATGAAATTTTATTCTAACTGTATTTTAAAATTAATATATATATATTTATATCAAAATACACTTAGAATGAATTTGTATATATATCTATGTATATAAAAATAAATAAAAATAATAAGAAATATACATACGTCCATATACAAAATTACATAAATAATTATATAAATATACACGTAGACTTCAAATATATAAATATGCATATATATTTAAATTCTACGTGCGTATTTATGTAATATTTTTACATAATTCAGTAATTTTATTGATTGCAATTTGAGGGACCTGCCTGCCAACCCAGGCCGAAATTCCAGAGAATTTAATTTGCTAGCACTGTATTTTACCCTGTAACGTTCTACGACACCCTAAAACCTGTACATGGGGGGTACTGTTTTACTCGGGAGACTTCGCTGAACACAAATATTAGTGATTCAAAACAGTAAAACATATCACAGCGATGATATTGTCAGTGAAAGTTACTTTTTTTGCATTTTTCACACACAAACAGCACTTTTACTGATGATATAATTGTTGTGATACGTTTTCCAGTTTTTAAACACTAATATTTGTGTTCAGCGATGTCTCCCGAGTAAAACAGTACCCCCCATGTACAGGTTTTATAGCATTTTTGAAAGTTACAAGGTCAAATATATGGGTCAAATATTTTTACATTGAAAATGGCCAGGTTGGTTACGTTGCCTTTGAGAGCGTATGGTAGCCCAGGAATGAGAATTACCCCCATGATGGCATACCATTTGCAAAAGAAGACAACCCAAGGTATTGCAAATGGGGTATGTCCAGTCTTTTTTAGTAACCACTTGGTCACAAACACTGGCCAAAATTAGCGTTCAATTTAGTTTTTTTACTTTTTTCACACACAAACAAATATGAATGCTTACTTTGGCCAGTGTTTTCGACTAAGTGGCTACTAAAAAAGACTGGACATACCCCATATTGAATACCCTGGGTTGTCTACTTTAAAAAAAATATGTACATGTGGGGTGTTATTCAGAGATTTATGACAGATAATAGTGTTACAATGTCACTATTGATAAATTTTAAAAATGTATGTTTTGAAACCGCAATATCCTACTTGTACCTATAGCCCTATAACATGCAAAAAAAAGCAAAAAAGCACGTAAACACTAGGTATTTTTAAACTCAGGACAAAATTTTGAATCTATTTAGCAGTTTTTTTCATTCGCTTTTGTAGATGAGTAAAAGATTTTTCAAGTAAAAGTCAAAAAACATGTATTTTTTTCAATTTTTCATCAGATTTTTGTATTTTTTTAAAATTAAAATACATGAGATTATATAAATAATGGTATGTAAAGAAAGCCCATTTTGTCCTGAAAAAAACAATATATAATTTGTATGGGAACAGTAAATGAGAAAGCGGAAAATTACAGCCAAACACAAACACCACAAAAGTGTAAAAATATTCCTGGTCGCAAATGTACAACATCGCAAAAACAGTCCAGTCCTTAAGGGGTTAATATCACCTATCTCACCAAACAAATATGGGGATTCAGTTCCACCATATGGCCATATTGTATTAAGCCCACCAGTACTTCACAGTACCCCACTATCCGTGGGTCCTACACTAAATCAAACGTGGTAGACTAAATAGTGTTAGTACTAAATAAGCTAAAGTGTATTGAAATATTCTTTTGTAGGTTAGTCTGCTGTCATGGTGGAAGAAGCAGCCAATCTTCAGCCTATACACAGCAAGAGCTACTGACCTGGTATATACTGAGTCTCCAGACCCATAGGTGTTATCCCAGGCTCCATGGCTGAGGTCAAATCACGTTGCAATTTGTATACTAAGTGATATGCAGCGTTTGAACAAATCACCTATGATGTCTCCCATGTGTCCTGTGGATGAGTCAGTGAGGTGGGAAAAACCTTGGAGGCCTCTAGATGACTTTTTTGGAAGCATTCAATGCAATATGTGAAAAACATCTTTGGAAACATCCAATTAACCTGGCTGAAAATCAACAGGTGGTTGTCCACACATGGCACACTGAGCATGCACCAGGGGTCACCATCACTCCCTAACTCGCTAGGCTGCCCGCAAAATTGGATAAAAATTCCACTGTCCCATTAAGGTACATATCCATTACATAAAATAGACTCACAAAGCAGAATGATCATGGCACTTGGAGCCCTCGGATCAGTAAGCACATAGTGCTGACTCTGGATTTAGTCTTGGACCGTGAGGGCAATCATCCATGTTCTTGCATGGTTCTATTAAGGACGTGTGCTGCCTCATTTTATTTATTTATTATTTATTATTGCTATTTATAAAGCGCACACAGATTCCGCAGCGCTGTACAATTAGATCAATTAATGTACATTCTGAAGCAGCCAGGATTGTTTTCCCCGGATGGATATTTCAGAACATTTGCTGACTTAACATCTTGTGTATCTAGCCCTTTTCCCCCTCTTATAGTCTGTTGTATCCTTTGCCTAGTATCCTGCAGTTTGGTTTTTAATATGTTTATTACTAATGACACTTCAATGATAGCTACTGCTATATAAGTGTTCTAATCTAGCATTGTTGCTTGACTTTTACTTATTTCAAATTAGGTCACTGTGCTTTATTTTGTGAAACCTTTGTGTATTTTTACCTCAGTAAAATACAGATTTAAAACATTTTTTTAAAGGAGTTGCAACAAAAGAAGTTGGGTGTACAGGAGGAGAAGGTGGTAAGGACCATATGCAAACTAACTTAAATTCTAAGGCATTCATTTATAGAGAATTTAAACTCTGTGATCCATGTGAGATTATTGAATACTATATATAGTGGCAGTATTTCCTTGTGAATCTTGGCTTAAAACGTATTCTAGGGCAAGAAGACAAATCGTGGTTTGCTTCCTGGTCACTCAAAGAAACTGTTTGAGTGTTACCTTTAATTTAATCTCATGAATGTGTACACAAGTCTATAAACTAAGTCAACCAATCTTCTTCTCTCTCTGGCTATTATAGTGTCCCTCTTTAACCTCTCACTGCCCAGAAGAGCTTTGCTTTGTTGCAGGTCTTTGCATTTACACATTTACCTTCACATTACGGTGTAAGCTGTTATGCATTCACTTTGCATATGTGGCTGTTACAGCATTATTAGTCTGAATTTTGATTTATTTCTGAGGGTTACATATACCATCCTCCTACACTCCATCTACCTGGCTCACATATCGGCATGCTCTCCTTTTTCCTACCCAGTTTTATTCTTTGCCTTTTCTTCTTCCATTCCTTTATGAGGTCCATGTCATGTACACTCTAAATGACACCACCACAATGGGAAGAGCATACCTACAAATTTACAAATTTATTGTGTGTACAATCAGTGTGTTATTATAGATATCCACAAACAATAAGACCGTTTTTTTCACAGTTGAATATGATTTGATATATATGTCTTATGCATAAGAGGCAATCATAAAAACCAAGTTAAAAAAAATAATAGCCATGTATTTATACATAAACATGTTTAGGGAACACCACACTACTAACAGAATTTATTTAAAGACGTAAGCAGTGGTTCTCTTTGCCAGTATGCAGTTTTCATTCACTTTGGATTTAATACGATGTTAATTTCACGGTTTTGTAGTTCATTGGGGTGACTGACCTACAAAAGAGCATATTATGGTAAAGGTTTTGAAATCAGACTATGTAAAACATAATAATCATATTATATTAAGTTAAAAACTAAAAACAAACATAAATAATAATTATCCCCAATTTATTTATTTTGTACTTAAAGACAAACCACACCAATTGTTTTGTACCCCTCCCTGTCACAGGTGCCTCATCCCATGGCCCTATTTAGCCCTGTACTGCAGAGAACTCCAGATGGATTCCCCCTCCCCACCCCCCTCAGCTCATTTACTTATTGGCTCCTAGCAGCACCATATTTATGCATGTTTAGGTGAGTGCAGCAAGCCCCCTGTTTTCTCAATATATATTTGGGAGCCTAGCCAAGTCCTTGGTTTTGCACCCCTCCCTGTCACAGGTGCCTCATACCAGGGCAATATTTAGTCCTGTACTGCAGAGAACTCCAGATGGATTTTTTTTCCCCCAAGTAAGTAGCTCATTTAGCAGACATTTGGCTGTTAGAGTAGGACCTGCCAAAGATGGGGTACATTGACGTTGTGGCAGGCTTATGCAATGTATAATCATATAATGTAACTAAACACCCATTATTTTTTGCCTAGATTAGCGGTTTGTAAAAAACTAACAAAATCTGTCAGCACCAAAGTTGCTGTTTAGTAGATCAGAGAGTGCGCTGGATTTTCATTTTTATTGTATCACAGTGGCTGAGGGGGAATACAAGGGAGGCAGTGACCGGCACCATGGACACAGTATTGGGGTCGAACCATTTGAAATGTTTTAACTCTGTGACATATAAACCTCCTAAGGACTTACTTGTGATAAGATCATTATGTGGACAGAGTGGCCCTTAAGGACACATGACATGTCATGATTCCCTTTTATTCCAGAAGTTTGGTCCTTAGGGGAGGGGGGTCAATATAACTGACTTGTGTTTTTTTGGTCTTGCATTTGTAATTCTGTTAAGAGTGCCAGAAATGTATTGTTTAGTGAATAACTATTTATATGCTGTACATGCTGTAATGTAAATGTCGAAGTAAATAGACTTTCAAGGTCATTCAGTTTATCAAGACTTGTAGACCAAAAATAGGTGTATTGACAAAGAATTGTCTAAGTCTTTAATATAATCTGGTGTTAATTAGTATGATTAGTCACTGCTATCTATATTGCCTCCTCAAGCTCTTCCAGTCCGTCTCACTGACCTGGAAGGTTTGACTTGGAAGCTCATGATAAGCCACCCATTGCGAGTAACTGTACTGTGCTACAATCCCTGTGATCTGTCAGTCCAGTGCTTCTCAAATAAATAAAAATAAAATTTAAAAAAATTAGTGAATTTAATAATTTACGTTTTGGAAAGAACACTCCCACCCCCTTAACTTCCTTTGAAGCGTTAAGGGGGCAGGTGTGTCTGGACTCCATATTACCTTCACGGGATAAACGGTTATCCAATGGTTTAATCTGAAAATTGATGTTTTGGCATAATTGATAGCCAGTAGATGCATATTCTTGGAAAAATGTAAACATTGCCGAACCCAAAATGTCGATGTTTTATATTGTCCGAAAAAGGGACATTATCTTTGCACCTAAACCACTACATTTAGATGCTTGGTGCTTAGATTGCCCATTAAAGGTTTGTACCAATAACGTTAGAAACTACCTGAAATTTATTGCATAAATTATTTTTATGCACGTTCTTGGTGTTCACAATAGAAATGTCACTTGGTAAAGTGTTTTTACAGACTTTGCACTTACTTTGCTACATTCGATGCCAATATGCTTCGGATAGGATAGGATTTTGGTCCAGTTGGCGGGTTGAATGGTTTTGCACTAATCTTACTTTTTGCTGACTTTGCTATGTAAGGGTCATTGGAATGAGAAGGATATTGATTGAATGTTCCAGCTTTCATTCCTCCTGGCTATCAAGAGAAATAGAAAAATCTATCACCATCATGAGGAAGAAAGAATCACAAGAGTATTTAGATTTCAGAAAATGTTTAGTGTTACTTTATCTTTCACAGCAGTAAACAAAATTACAGTGGAGAGAAACTCTACTGGCATTGCCAGTGATGCCCATAATGAGTGTCAGCTTTGTGTCAACCACAGCTGACTGCCTCTCTGGCCAGCCGCAACACAGAAAACCACGCAGAGAGCACTGGTGAAGCTCTGTGCTCGCTAAACAATGTCAGCATGTTTAAAGATGTGCTGCCTTAAATACATTTTCCTGGTATCCTCAGATGCAGAACACCATGTAACAAATCTACACAATGCATTTAAAAAACAAGTTTCATATTCCGCAATAGTTTCATGTAAAGGTGCAGTCTAAGCACCATAACTCATGCCATTGTAGTGGTCAAGCTGCTAGAAGTGTGTGGTCTGTCCCCTGACTCTGGAGCAAATGTAAAGGAGACATCAGCAGGTTATTCACTAAAAGTGAGAATTCAAAATCGAAGTAGCCCAACTAGAAGCATAGTTGACTTAGGGAATGTTTCTAATTCAGCTATTTTGCCATTAAATTTGAATATCACTTTGAATTCTCACTTTAGTTAATAACCTTGCAGATGTCTAGGAGGAGGAGTAAAGGTAGAGGAAGAATTCTATATAAAACTAATCTCCAGCTCACCTAAATTTCCCAATTGGCTATGTTGTGTTGCAAGTTTGAATTTAAAATAAATACACTACATTCACTACACACCAAACGGTCTTCTCCCTCGTTTCCACTTCTTTTACCCAACACTCACACCCATGTGTTCCTTTATGATTATGTTAATTTTCCTTTTTAGCCCCTTACCACTGGAATAAACTGCCTCCCCAAATTTATCTGACACCTCTCTATCATCTGGTAGCAAGCTTCTAAGCTCATAGACCTTCTCACATAGTAGGAGGTTGAAGACTATGAGCACGGTGATCCTCTCCTTTTGTATCAGTAAATAAACGCTAATGAATAGATGAAGTGGTTTAATCATTATTGTTACAATGAATGGTGTGTAAGCTAATTAATGCAATGTTGATTTGTATATACTAACTTGGTAAAAAAAAAACCAATAGATAAACCTAACTCTGCTGTGACACCATTCATCCTTTTAGCGGCAAAGGTCAAATTACAAGCTGTCTCCACCAGCGATGTACAGGATGCTAGTGAGGTCCAAACTTTTTTCAAATTGCCTTTTACACAATCTGCATTGAAATGTTTTACATCTGGGTGGGCAAATATTTTTCATGAAGTTTATGTGCAACACTGACAACCTGAGAAATCAGCAGTTTTAGAGATTACCTCATAGCTTTCAGAATGAAGTCTAGAATTTACCGTATGTATATTCATGGGTTTATTTACTAAACATCACATTACGGTACTATGCTAACAGCTAAACCAAGGCTAAAATAGTCAAGTTGTTCAAATAGTCGACTATAGCGGATTTGGAGAATTTTATCAAATCAGTTATCAGAGTCCAATATGTTACAATTCATAGTTTAGAGAATAAACTCTGTATATTTAAATTTACAAAGCAATTTATGCGTTGATAAGCCTGAAAGTCACAATATAAAAAGTGCCATTGGAAAGCAGATAAATTGCATCATTAGAAATAGAAAAATATGATACATTTATATAAATAAAGCATGCATGTATACCCACTTCTTTCCCTGGTGAACTTGGCATGAAGGGCTTCACAGGTTCTATTTTCTTGGTTTTATCCTTCAGGGGCGGCAAGGGTTTGTCTGAGTAGTAGGGGTTTTCATCAAAAAAGTCCTTCGGATAAAGATTTAGCCTTAAAGGACCACCTTTAAGTTTTTGTTTGTGACTGTCGTGTTCCTTCTGAGCTCAAAAAAAAAAAAAAAAAAAGGTATGCCAAGAAAATTCCTTTTAATCATTATTAACATACTGGTTAGGGAAAGCCTGTGGCTTAGTACAATGAGACAACAGATGACACACTTTACAGTTTATATTAAGAGTGATAGTTTAACCCCCCGATGGAAAGAAGTAGCAGGGTTATTTAATAATTTTTTTCCAGAGCGCTTTAAAATTTATACACGAAGAACACTGGTAATTATGCAAACAATGGGAAATATTATTAGATACATGTACAAAAGGAGAGGATCACCCTGCTCATAGTCTTCAACCTCCTACAAGGTACTATGCGAGAAGGTCTATGAGATTAGAAGTTTGCTGACAGATGATAGAGAGGTGTCAAATCAGATGTGGGGAAGCAGCTTATTCCAGTGGTAAGGGGCTAAGAGGGAAAATTATCAGAATCATGAAGGAACACATGGGTGTAAGTGTAAAAAACCGAGGAAGAAGACAGTTTAGTGCGAAGTGAGAGAGAAGTGTGGAGAGGTAGAGAAGGGCAAGATTATGGAGGGATGTGCACACGAGGATAAGACATTCGAAGAGAGCGGAATGATGGAGTGTTGTGGAGACCAAGTAAAAAAGAGTTATTAAAACCCGAAAAACAGGATTTAAAATGTTGATATAACATTTGTAATTCTTTGATCAATTGCTGTCAATATATGATTTAGTGAATAACCTGTAGGAATGTATTACAATTTAAGGCCTCAAGCAGTCAGTTGCTAACTTCAGAGAGGTTACATCCAGAGCCAGACTAACAAAAGGAGCTGATAGAGCTCCAGTTTCATGCACATGCCCCTAAAATAGGTCCATCATTATCATTGTATCTATTAGACATGTGCAATTTGTTTAGTTCCGAATGTACATTCGGACGCTTACGAATGTCTGAAGTTCGGTAGTTCGGAAGTGCCGAATCAAACCGAATTGCAGAAGTTCTGAATTGCCGAAGTGCTTCGGATTTCTGAAAAGTGGCAAAACAAGAGAGGGAGGGAAAATTACGTGAATGATGACAGGAATCTTGACCAATAAGCTAATTCCTGGCACTGGGAGGCCTATAGATGTGTAAGTGGTTGTGGTTGCAGTCCGTTCACTGGGAGCCCTATAGATGTGTAAGTGGTTGTGGTGGCAATCCTGGCACTGGGAGCCCCCTGGTTCCCCAGCAAAAACATTGTCCAGCCTTTTTTACAGACCTGGCCATATGGTATTTATAGAGTTTCTCCCCACGCGGCTCAACACAGCCCATGTGGACCAAGTATTCACCTACCCAATCTCTGGAATACTAATGCTAGCAATTAAATGGTACAGTACAAGTCCCCCACTCTGACTTTAGAAATTAGTCATTAAGGACCAAACTTCTGGAATAAAAGGGAATCATGACATGTCACACATGTCATGTGTCCTTAAGGGGTTAAAACTACCTTTACTGTTTGGAAGAGGTGTGCTTATAATTTCACAACACTGGCAGGCATTAAAACAGGCGATAAATCTGACATGGTCAAATACTTACCTTCATCAGAACTCGCAATCTGTCATAATCATCTGAGGTATATGGGTAATCCTTGCCTATGGTTACATTAGGGTACCTTAAAAGAAACAAATATAATGAGCTCACTGTGTAGAAAAAGAGAAACATAAAACTGACCTGTAAAATTACCATGGAAAAGAAAGGCAAGTATCTGAGACGTTTACCCATATCCAGTCCCGTGCTTTGAAGGATTGGTATAAAAGTTTTTTCCTGGTGCTGTGTAGGCTTTTCTGGGTTTTTGTACAGGGCTCAATGCAGGAACTGGACCACCCAAAGTACCATAAAAGCTGCCTTGTCCAGATCTAAAAAGAAGGCCACATTACAAACATCAGTAAAAGGAGAATCTGTGTGACTCCATAAGCTCTGAATTATGCATTGTGGTTTTTAGAATGTATAACTTTTCCGCCCTTTTGTATAGCAAATTCCATTTTGTTGTAGTTGTAGAAAGCAATGCAGAATGGCTGCAGAACATTCAAACTGTATGGAAAACGGAAATAAACTAAATAGGAGGAATAACCCCCTAGGGGGTCCTCCGGATAGCTGGTATAAAAAATATGTACACCCTTGATGCAATGTTTCTCTAAAATTCTTGGAAGAATGTGTAAAGTGTAAGCAATGGAAGCTCTAGCGCCTCTGGTATAACCAAAGGTATCTTAGGGCAAAAATAGATATGTGAACGGAAAAACTTTATTGACCTTATAATGCCCAAAAGATACTATGACGATATAACCAGTGGCTAATAAGACACATTCTATATTCCCCCATATGACCTGAACTGGGTGTGAATTTGAAGGCAGTCCACAATAGTGTGGAAGCTCAACAAAATTCAAATAAACACCCCAGACTAAAGAGGGGGGGGGGGAGATAGAAAAGAGGGAGGACAGATAAAGGATAGCAGGGTACCCTGATCGATATGTGAACGGGATCCTGAGTAAACAAATACGTCAATTCAATCTGGGACACCGGGAATAGAGCTTTCTGTATAGAGCTGGAGCTGCATAGAACACCCACGAAGGTGTTTACAGGGAACTAGTTCACTGGTGTCTACAGCAGCCGTTCTGCCTACTAGCAGCAGTCTTTGGTTGCTGGACCTTTAGATTACGATACTTACCGGTTTCCCTCCTATTAGAAAGCTCTATTCCCGGTGTCCCAGATTGGATTGACGTATTTGTTTACTCAGGATCCCGCTCACATATCGATCAGGGTACCCTGCTATCCTTTATCTGTCCTCCCTCTTCTCTATCCCCCCCCCCTCCTCTTTAGTCTGGGGTGTTTATTTGAATTTTGTTGAGCTTCCACACTATTGTGGACTGCCATCAAATTCACACCCAGTTCAGGTCATATGGGGGGAATATAGAATGTGTCTTATTAGCCACTGGTTATATCGTCATAGTATCTTTTGGGCATTATAAGGTCAATAAAGTTTTTCCGTTCACATATCTATTTTTTCCCTAAGATACCTTTGGTTATACCAGAGGCGCTAGAGCTTCCATTGCTTACACTTTACACATTCTTCCAAGAATTTTAGAGAAACATTGCATCAAGGGTGTACATATTTTTTATACCAGCTATCCGGAGGACCCCCTAGTGGGTTATTCCTCCTATTTAGTTTATTTCTGTTTTCCATACACAATACCTGGGTTCAAGCCCATATTAGGTGGAGCTGGTACCACCATCCTGACCTATTTTCCTAATCCTCATTCCAATTTTTTGGTTGGCTGGGGAGATAGGAAAATAATTTTGCTCTCTCTTTTACATTCAAACTGAATCCTTAGTTAATTGTGAAGAAGCAAATATAAAACTTTTGGAATATTCAAACATATTTTTTATTTTAAACAAACAATTTTGGGCTACTTTTAAATAACCTGAAAACAGATTTATATCTGTATGCAAGCGGGATATAAAACAGCAATTTGGACAAAGCTCAAGGTCTTTACCCTTCATCAGGATTCTTGTTATGTCTTTAGGCAGCAAATCATCATGGAAAATTATAATTGATTTTACTGCAACCTTGGAGTATAACTTATCTGTAACCATTGTCAATTAACAGCTGGTCACTACAGTGTATACAATAAGGTAAGAGAAGCCAAACAATGGGCCCCTTGTTGTTAGCAGCTGTTAGTTAAAGGTTACATTAACAATAAGTAAAAATAGAGCAAGTGATTGGAAGAAGGCGTTATTGACACATTACCATGAAGGATTGGGGAAAATAAAATATGTTTTGTTTTCCGACTTACGGTTTTATCTCGCCACTAGACGGAAGGAATGCCTTTCCAAGATTTTTCTTGGCTTGTTCTATTTTGTATTTCCTTCTCACTCTCAGTGGATCTGAATAGGATTCGCTTTCAAAAACTCTTTTGAATTCGCCGTCAAAGTAGCCACCTGTTATATTAGCCATGGACTTGGACCCTCCAGGAATCATCTGCCTGTTCTTACCAGCAGCTTCATTGAATGGTTCTGGGGGGGAATACATTCATGATATTAAGTGTTTCCCTTCTTGATTAATATTGTGATACATTAACCACAAAGGATACCGGTTACCAGCAAACACAGCAGGGTCCTTTAGGGTGTAATCAGCCGCAGACATGAAATTGCAGAAAGAAGCAGTTTTATTCAATAAATGAGCAAATGTCACACTTGGCTTTTCAATCGCATTCACAGGTGATTCGAAAATACTACAAACAAAAGCCTAGCTCTTCTGGAACACTAACTAAACATTCAACGACCCTAACTATACCAGATAAAATAACCTAATAAACAAAATTAGTTTTCTCTGATAAGCTTACTGCTGCCCTGCTCTTATCAGTTTAAACAAATCACATTTCTTTTTCTAGGAGTCAGCAGCCTAAGAATGTACCTGCTGTTAATTGATTAATACAGGAGAGGTGAGTGGACGGAGCAGGGGTAGGCAATCTTCTACTAGTAATGTGCCAAAACAAGACTTTGAAGTCCTTTGGTGTGCTGGTCCAATTTTTAAATTGATGTGTGTGCATGTTGCCGTATTTTGTGTGTTATTTATGGGGGCTGGTTTGTAGGGTTGTGTTTGTGCGTGTGAGGGATGTTATAGTGTATATGTGCATGAATAGACTGAGGTATTGTTTATGATATGTATGCATGTGGGCTGTGTATCATGTTATGTGTGTGAAAGAGTGCTGTGTATGCGGGGCTGTCTGTGAAATTGCGTGTGGTTTATATGTAGCCTTGTGTGTGTGGTGTTATGTGAATATGTGGGGCTGCTTGGGGTACTGCATGTGGGAGGATGTTTGTGAGGTTGTGTCCTTGTGAATTGTTAGTGGTGGTGTGTGTGTGTGTTTGTGAGGGCTGTTTGTATTATTTGTATGAGGGAGAGGCCTCTTCTGCACCTCTGTGTATATCTAGGTGTGTGGGTGGTTTCCCTGGGTTCAGTGGGGACAGGGTTGGCCAGATACTGGCCAATGGCAGGAGCTTCGATGGCTGCTGCAGGCGGCTCTACTCCAGTGCGGAATTCCCTTCACAGGCGCTGGGATGAAGTAATCTGAAATCACTTCCTCTCAGTACTGCAATAAATGAATGGAGAATTGTCTATCACTTCTTGCTGCAATCACGCTCACTTGGTATTAGCAAATATATGTAAATATGTACGTCCAACCGGAATTCTTAGATCTCCCCAACCCGTTTGGCTCTGGCAGCCTTGTGTGCCATGCAAAGTTATCTTGAGTGTCATGCATGGTACATATGCCATCTTTTGCTGGCCTCAGAGATAGAGACTATGAAGTATTTTGGGTCCTAAATTTCTCCCCTCCACTACCCTTCCAGACACTCTGTGACAATATGCATTTAAACAGTGACTCCATGTGTGTATTGTGTCCTTGACTGGGAAGTTCATGGCCAGTACTTGGGATCTGTCCTAATTCATTCTATACAGAAGAATCAGAAAAAATGCAAACTCCATAAAAATAGCATGACAATCAAAGAATCTATATTCCTCCAATGGGGTTATTAAAAAAAAAAAAAAAAAAAAAAAGCATTAAGACATATTCATGAGCCACTAATCTTTGGTGCAGATTCAAAGTATCAGTGAAGCATCATTCAGTCTACAAGAGACAAGAAAAAAAAAAAAAAAAAAACAGATCACAGAGTTCAAAATCAGGACTGTCCTAGCTTATTTGGGATTCATAGGATGTGTTGATCGCAGTGTCCACATGTGCTAATTTTTTCTTAGATTGGACAAACCGAAGAATCCCTTGCTCATTTCACTTGCAAGCCCTCGACTAAATATATTCTGCATTGAGGCTTACACTGAGTCAAAAGCTCTTTTTAAACTATGCAGCATTACTCTAACTTAATGAAGTGTTTACTTACTTGAACAAGGGGGGACATATTTATCTCCAATGCTGATATAGGTCATCTCACTGAAGAGGCCAATCCTCTCCATGTCATTTTTCACATCTCCAGGCATGGTTGTTCAGGCAAAGGAGTCTTAAAGAGAAATTGCAGAATATATTACATGGCATATAGTAAAGTGAATTAAGCAGTTACAAGAATGGATTCCCATCTGAGCAATTAAACGGTTTAAAAAACAAAAGGAAAAAAAACACCAACTAATATAGAATGAATACATACTATATACTATTAGTGAATATATACTAGCACAGGATCCTTAGGTAAAATAATAGGAGAGGAAACATTCAGGTGTTTATTCAGTAAAGACAGAGTTGAAGTGAACTGAAACCTGAATGGAAAACATAGGCAAAAGTAGTGGATCTGGAAAGTTTTTTCCAACTCAGCTATAGTCACAGCTATTTCAGGCTAAATGTTGCCATTCTGGATTTAAATTGATTACAATTCACAATTTAGTGAATAACCCTTCTAGTGTTTGACATTGAAACCTAATATTATGAGAGGGGGGATGTAACTATAAATAGGACAATTACAAGAAAAATTACAGGAACAATAGGTTGAAGAGGACCCTGCTCAAACGAGCTTACAGTTTATTAACATGTTCTATAAGAAATTTCACTAGTTTTCACAGGAATTTCCATTTCATAAGATCACCAAATTTAGAATGTCAGGAAACAGAAAAGTGAAACACAACATTTATCTGTCAGAAAAATTGGTGCAAAAATTGATAAATCTGTTGCTTCGCCAAATAAAATGCAACAGCTTTAATAATTTGTAACAAATATTTGCTGAAAATTAAATGTGAAAGTGTGTTTAATTGTTTCTGTTTTCCCCACATGCTACTGTCTGCTCAATGACAGAAAAGCTTATAAAGAGGATTGACAGGGAGACAAAATGGAGGCACATTTCAGCCTAGAGCAAAATATAGCTGTATGGATTTCTGCATTTTATTTTATGTATTTTTCAGCCTTTGCGGTCATATTTTTTGTTAAATATGAGAGATATTTAAATATAATATTTGAAATCATATTATGTTAAAAAAAAAAAGTAACGACGGCAAAACATTTTACATTGAAACATTATATATATATATATATATATATATATATATATATATATATATATATATAAAAAGTTTACATGAATATTAGAAAATAGTTATAAATGCACAAAGTGTACATCTTAGAGTGACTCCCTACTTAGCTTCATGAATGATCACTAGTATTATATCTAAATAATAATAAATTATATTGATAGTCAAAAATATTATTTTATTGATAGGTTCTTATTCTTTCCACTTTCTATGTTAAGGATTGATGAAGGGCAGTTAGTAGTTCAGTTGGTAAGTACCCCAATAAATCCCACCTCTGGGGGGCAGTACTGTATGAACCCCCACCTCTAACTAATAACTTTTATATAGAGTTTCCCCTATTAATGTCTTTAATCTCTCACCTCTCTGCTGTCTCTGTGGCTGTCACATACAGTTTGTTTCTCTAGGTTACCCTGGAATTGGGGCAGTCCATTATGCCAGTGGACATATAACAGCCCCAATTACTACACATTCATCGCTGTCAGTTTCAAAAGACATGCTACACTAACAAAAAAATCCTATCAGACTTTTCACTGACCTCATTATCCGAAAGAATACTGAAAGCGGTTAGTGTAATCGAGAAAAATCACCCCTGTTGTACAACTTGGTACAGTCCATTTTTTATGGTCCTAAAGCCATCATGTTCATTCATGCTAAGGCTGCGCAATGACTGCCGGGATTTGTAGTACGTTAAACTAAAGCCAGATTATTCCGCCAATCCAATAGCCGCCTTTGCCCAATGTGGGCGGAGCTTTTCTGTGACGCGTGAAGCCGGAAGCAGCGTGTTGACAAGTCATCAATGTGATTTTGTGCTGGAGTAAAGGATACAGCTGGTTCTCCAATATAATCATACTGGGAGGTCTGGTGTAGACATGGTGAGTATTGTGTTAATACATGTACAAATTTGAAAACTAAATAAAGCAACCAGGGGACATATCTGACATGCAGCCTTCCAAGGCTTTGATAAATATGTGTGTTTAGTGCAATAGGAGAGGCTCCCATGCTGTTTAGGGAAATCAGGGGTGTTACATTGTGCAGCTATACACTTCATATACAATGTTTTATCAAGAAATTAATTTAATTTATCTGGACATTAATAAACAAAGAGAATTGTAAAAGGTTTTGTGTGTCAACTGCAATGTGCTATATTCATGTCTGACTTGTGATTTTATTTTTCCATCACTAAGTTTTAAATCCTTTTAGATTATTGACATATCAGCGCCGTCATAATAAGAGATATTCCTAAATGTTGGGAGTGAGTGCAGCCCTGACGGAACTGACTTTTATTGCATTCAATATTTCTTAATTATTTAGCCATTTATTAAAACTTCAATTCATAAATGTTACTACGAGCCATTTATTCATTAAATAAAGAATTGATCAAGGAATTGCAAACTGTAGGCTTAATTATCCATCTGGGAAAAAAATATATATATATATATATATCTGCAACTGGTTATTTACTGTAACTAATAAAGACCTTTTTAAATATTCTGCACATTGGGATGTGTCTGAGAGTACCAGTATAGAGAATAAATGGATGTTTCAACTCCGGAATAAGAAACTGTGATAATGCTGTAAATACATCTTTACCATAATCTGGTTATTTATTTTTTATATAATATTTCCAGGTTGGTATAGAAGCTTCGAGCATCCTTTTTAGAACAAGAGGCGGACTGAACCTCTCCTTCCCCCTGACAGCTGCTGATGGTATATGTAATATTATGTAAAATTAATGATATAAAGTTTACTGTACACAGTCTACACCAGTTATGGTGAGCCTATTTGCACAGGTGCCACTTCTGACATTCAGTAGCCTCTGAGGTGGCATTTAGTGTTTCATAAAGGGTGTCCGTAATTGTTTTATGCTAGCAGCACATAATGCCCCATGGCTTCATCATCAGGCGACCTCCTGGTAATTGCTTATATCAAGTTATCTAAAGCACCTTTCAACTGGGCTTGACAAATTTGCTTTGACTCTAGGAGACAGTTTTTGTTTTTGTTTTTTTTAGAACAAAAATGCAATTCTTAAAGGAACACTATAATCACCAGAACCACTACAGCATAATGTAGTTATGGTGTCTATAGATTGTCCCTGCATGCTTTCCAATGTAAACACTGCCTTTTTAGAAAAAAGGCCTTGTTTACATTTCTGCTTAGTAACATTTTTAGAGGCCGTTACTCAAACGGCCACTAGAGTGTCTCCACGTTCTGCACTGAACATTTCCCATAGAGATGATTTGATTGTGCCGCATTTTGCAATGCTTGCTTAATAGCTTGACTGAGATAATCAAGACTGATCATTTCAGCTATGGAGGCGGGCCAGTTGCAGTGAAAATCGCACAATGTTGGGGGGGGAAACGGAGAGTAAAAACACAGTTGTCATGCGATCAGAGGGGGGTTGGTGACCTAAACATACATATTCACTGACACACATTGGCAGACAGACACACACAAACACACTGATACACATATATGAGCACACACATACTGACATACACCCATTCTCACACACTCACAAAATATTTTTTTTTTTATACACTCAAATAGATGCACAAAGATTCATAGATACACACAAATACACATACAGATATGCACAAACAAAAATAAAATACATATATTTAGCCACCTGCCTGTGTCCTACCTTTTGGGTGCAGGAGGGTGCCTTCCTTGAGGTGGCTGGTTGCAGTTCTATGCGTGCCGAGAGGAAGTGAAAGGAACTATAATTACTTCCTCCAGGCGCGGAGGTCACGTAGGTGAGTGGGCGGGCCACCAGATCTGCAGCATGGGGGCAGGAGAAGACCCACTCTGTGGAATGGGGGCGGGAGGCGAGAAGAGCCACCTTTACGCGGTACCCTGCCAGCTTACAATTTTACTGCACGGCCGGGAGGAAATAATTACAGATTCCTTCACTTCCTCCCAGCGCGCAGTTAGCTTCACGCGGATGGAGGAAACAGCCTGACAAATCCACAGGACAAAATTCTTAGTCACCATGACGACCTGGCATCTGGCATTTGTTGAACCCTGCTTTACAAGAGCAAAATCATGCAGGAGAGGGCAACCCCACACATTAAGGGTAAATTTATTGAAGAGGAATGGCAGAAAAAATGAGTGACAATTCACTGCAGATGGTCAAATAAGATGTTCTTATATTAAATGTGTTTGTCTTGGGGCTTGTTTGCTAATAGATTTGATTTAGTTTTTTTTTCTTCCCGTGATGTAGAAACCTCTGCAAAAAAGGCCCTGGTTGGAGCACTTAATGATCTATCAGCAAAACTATTGTCTGATTCACTGGTGTTGCACATATGTAACAGTTCTCTGTATATTTGGCCCAATGCTGGCACAAGCTCCTCCTCCTCAGAGTGGACAGACGAATCACAATGCAAAGACATTCTTAACTTCATAACGTGAGTAAAAAGCTAAAGAATTTCATCAAACACATGTGAGTCGATTATTGATTTAAATGATCATTTGCTTGTTTCAGGATTGACGATGAGGATTCAAGGAGAAAGAGCTCTAAAAAGAAAGAGAGGAAGTTACCACAAGACATGGTAGGGAACATACAGTGCATATTTTCCTGGTTTTTACAGCAAAGCACAAAATACTATAATCTACTTCACAACCCACACTGCACTTATACCTTAGTAGCTAAGGTGGCATATACCTTTTGGGTTTTGGTTGCCAGTGAGCATCCAGAGTGGTCCAAGTCCCAAGAATTCAATTATTGACCAGAATACAGCAAGAAACAAATAACTTGTAACTGTCTGGATTGGAGTTCTAATAGTTCTTCAAAATTGTAACTGCTTTAAAGACCAAATACTATTAAAGTGGTTCTGAGTTTAGTGGTAATCCTTATTCCCTTTACACCCTCACAGCCATGTATATTCACGGTTACACATTGCAGGTTAATGTAAATATATTTCATATAGCCAAAGAAGCTGAATGTGCCTTCCCTTGTATATTAGAGCTGTTTAATCCTGCATAGAAATGTGCCATTTACATCTCTCAAACAGTCAATACCTGATCCCTAAAAAAGAGGGTGACCGGGGGGAGGGAGAACAGGCATTACAGGGAACCCTAACTTTTATTAAATCCAAGGTAGTATTAAAAGAGATCAAGACAGTAAACGGCCACTCCGGTAGGATCATTGTAGGGGACCTATGGCAACAAAATCAACGGTAGGAAACAGGTGCTAAGAGTAGGTACGAATAAAGGACAGAGAAAGAGCTGAACAAACCACCTTCCGAAACTACACAACCCCCCCGCACCCCTCACCACCTCCAAAAAAAAAATGTTAATAAGTAACCACCAATAAAATAGGGAAGGGATATAGGTAGTTAGATGAGAAGCATCAAAATAAGCAAGCCTATAAATTATGCATGGCTCAGATATTTGCTTTATTAAGCCACCTTCCTCAAATCCTGTCCCTAATCGCCTGCTTTTTAATTATAGGGTTTGGATTCTGCACTAGATCGAACATTAAAACACGTCTTATTGGGTGTTACGGCAAGAAATCAGTATGCCCCTTTTAGTTCCTCTCTTTCTGTGATCGGGAATTTGTTACCTTAAGTCCCCTACAGCAAGCCTACCAGAGTGTCCGTTTACTGTTCTTTTGATCTCTTTTAATACTACGGGTCTGGTATTTGTTAACTTTTTGCTTACTAGGGTCCCCCCTGTTTGAAGGAGCACAGTGGCAAGTGACTTTGCGGCAACTCTCTGCAAGCTTTTGATAGATTTCTGGGCTGTAGAACTTTTTCACAATATGTTTTTTATTTATTTTACAAATTACGTCTCTCTCCCCCTCTTTCCCCTCTAGACAATGGGTCTACTACAGTTGTTTTAGGTACATTTTAATTGCTAGATTCTAACCACCGGGAAGGATGGAGGTAGGATTCTGTCCTCACTGAGTATACACGATGGGTATTCTTGCAGGTTGTGCAATATCCTGTATAATACAGATATTTAGTGTAATGGTGCATTCTGCATATGTGTATTATGTCTGTGTAAACTCAGTTGTGTGTGTGCAAATGCCATCATTTCTGTTGTACCCATTGTTTCCATAGCTATATTTTTTTATATTTTGTATTTTTTATATATATATATATATATATATATATATATATATATATATATATATTATGTACCGTTGGATTTCCAATAATATTTTTTTAGTTGAATGCAAATAAGATTATTTTTTTTCTTCGTATTATTACAGCAGCATATTGTCAATATCAACATCATGTTTGAGACGTCCACTTCTTCTAAACCTTCTGCACCCGTAATTAAACAGGAAATAAAAAGTCATCATCTTGTGAACCTGACCCTACCTATGGATTCAGTAGTTACAGTCTCCACAGAGGAAACCTGGGGGAAGTAAGTAACATTCATCATTTGATTTGTGTTCCTCGGTAGCTGCTCTTTGGAAATATTTCTGCATCTCTAGTTTTACTTTGATCATCGTTGTTATTAAAATGTCTGCAAGGTACTTTGAATCCAGTACATTTTATCTGTCATTTTTCATCTCTCATATAGTTGAATTCATCACGATCAGCATGCATTAAAATCTCATAATAATACCAATATAATGAACTCCCTATTTAGATCAAAACACAGTGTTTTATTATAGGCACAGTAGAAATTGCAATTTAAAAATGCTCTGAAGAATGTTTTTACAAGATAAAGGGCATCTTTAAAAAGAGTTTAACTGAAACCATTCATGATACTCTCCCTGCATTTTATAACATTTGGGATATCAAGCTAAAGACTATGCCTCGCAATCTTAGTCATACTCTAAATGTCTTTTAATAGACTAGACTCATCTGGTGGTTCCCTGTCCCTCCTCTTTCCATCCCCTTCTTCTCTGCTCCCTACTTTCTCCTTTCCTTTAACCTGATTTGTTCTCTATCTGAAAAATTGAGACGTCTGTGCCTCCTCTTATTTCTATTTGCCTTCAATCTGAATGATCCTCATCTCTCTTAAATACAGATGTTTAAAAAAAAAAAAAAAATCATTCTACTAAAGAGCATTCCAAAATATTTGGATATTCTAAAAGCTCCCAAATATATGATTGTTCATATTCCTTGTTGTAAGGATCAGAAGACACAAGGGCTTGCTGAAAATAAAGAGTGAATGATGGTCTTGGGGGTAGCTGGGGGTTTGAAAACCATATTTTATTCTATTATAGACAATTTATGCAGAGACTTTAAGTGAAAGAAGTGTTTCTTGGTTTGCTAGTAACCTGGCTAAACATTTTGCGCCATCTACAGGCAATGTAGTAATTTTCTAGGAAGGCCCAGTTATAGAGATTTGCAGTAATCCTAGTGTTATGACATACACACATCTAAATCTTTAGGAGAAATTAGGTGTTTAATCCGAACTATGGCCTTGATTTTTAATATTTTTCTACAGTATTTCAAATAATTTTAATATTTTTAGATTACATTTTAATACTGTTTATTAATATATTTTCAGATTTTAATATATTTTGTGTGTGTGTGTGTGTGTGTGTGTATATATGTATATATATATATATATATATATGGTTTTTTTTAAATTTTTTTTAATCATTTTAAAAGTTTAGCCAAAAATATAAAATAATTTGAAAAGTTTAAACAAAATATTAAATCAAGGACTATATTTGTCAGGTGAAAGGAGGATAGAATAGTAGTTTATGATTAAGTACATGTGCTTTGGATTATGTAATTGTAATCCTCCGTAAACCACTTCAATGAGCTCTTGCTGTCTTTAGAGTGTGTCGTCTTGCTATAGTTACCTTTGTAACAGAGCTCCAATACTCTGGCTGAGTATCTCCGCTAATTACCTTCATAGCTAGAAGAAAGCATTGGTTAGTGTTGTAGCTTTTTTCCTCTTCCAGTAACTAGGCAACACATTCTGTGAGTATAACTGATTTTATTGAAAAGGCACAGTCTTATATACCAGACCCCCCAGCATGAGTTCCCTATTCAGTTCAGAGTAAGCCTGCCCTGGTGCCTCTGTTTTGGGGAAATAATTGAGTCAACCTTCGCTTAAACTAATTATCTTTCAGATACAGAGGACACAACACAAACCCCCCCAAAACATAACAAAAACAAACAGGAACCCCAACAGTTGATATACCCCGGATAGCTCTGATTCGAGCGGCCAAGTTGGCAAAATATCACCAGGATCCATGGAAAATACACACATTGGATTGGCTTCTTACATGTGTAGCAGGGTGTTCAGTACTATATCTATTATACATCTCCAAGTCATAAACTTAATATTTAATAGGTGTTTGCTGCCAGTTAGGTCTACTAGGTATAGTCAGTATTGTAGTTTTGCTAGGAACAGAATTGGCAAAAAGGGTAAATTATGGATTCTATGCCCCTTAAAAGGATACTTAAAGGAACACTATAGGGTCAGGAACACAAACACGTATTCCTGAACCTATAGTGTTAAAACCACCATCTAGCCGCCCTGGGCCCATCATGCCTCCCTAAATATAGCAAAATCTTACTTGTATTCAAGCCTGAAGATGTAGCTCTGCATGCGGTTTGCTTCAGAAAAACAAGCTGCCTGCTGACATCATCAGAAGTGGTGGCCTGATCCAATCACAGTGCTTCTCCATAGGATTGGCTTAGACGGACAAGGATGCAGATCAGGGACATAGCCAACATACTTCAAACACAGCCCCTTCCAATCAGCATCTCCTCATAGAGATGAACTGAATCAATGAATCTCTGAGGAAAGTTCAGTGTCTGCATGCAGAGGATGGAGACACTGAATGTTTGGATGCATTTTAGGCAACCATGACCCAGGAAGGATCTCTAACAGCCATCTGAGGAGTGGTCAGTGAAGTTATCACTAGGCTGTAATGTAAACACTGCATTTTCTCTGAAAAGACAGTGTTTTCAGCAAAATACCTGAAGGTTATGATTCTACTCACCAGAACAAATTCAATAAGCTGTAGTTGTTCTGTTGTCTATAGTGTCCCTTTAAGGCATTGAGACCACTTCATTTTAATGAAGTGTTCTGGGTGCAGTGACCCTATCCTTATAGCCTTGCAATGTAAAACATAATTTTGTAGAAACTGCAATGTATTTTCATTGCAGGGTTAACACTACTCTAATGGCTGTTTTCCTAGAGGCACTCAGATATTCAATGAATGCTTTTCAGGGGTGGGGGCTGCTTACAATGGTGAGAGGATGTGTTACCAAAGAGCTCCTCATGCATTTCTAAAAAAAAAAAAAGGAAGGCACCATCAGCCTGGATCCCTGAATTGACTGACCGGTCTGAGAGTGATTCTCGCGGTCCCCTGAAGCTGTTAAGCCAACACTCCTCATTGGAACTTGTGGGGTCTGGAAGGGGGAGGCGATCTCCCGACCCGGTACATGATTGAACAGAGATGGAGTCCTGTAATTTCTCCCTCTGGACCGGCGGGGGTGATCCCGGTCCCCACCCTTAAGCACACCTACCCTCCCAGAGAAAGATAACAGAGCCGTTGTAATCGGCTATCCTGCAATGGGTGCATCTAAGATGGCGGATTTGTGCATTGTCAGTTAGCGTTGCCTGACTTATCCACTACTGTCTATTGACTCCCTGCTGACATGCCTATTCTCTTATCTCTCCCTGACTGGCCTGACTAATTGTGCTGTCACTTTATATCACGGCAAAGTTGTACCTATTTATTCTCTAAATGTTTGCTCATACTGTTGTGGTAATACAAGCCTGTTTTTTTTTTTTTGGTTTTCAGTTAATGCTTCTCAAAGAGCATTTAAATAGACTGTAAGCTCGTTTGAGCAGGGCCCTCTTAAACCTGTCGTATCTGTAAGTTTTGTTGTAATTGTCCTATTTATAGCTAAATTCCCTCTCTAATAATATTGTAAAGCCCTACAGAATCAGGCGCTCTATAAATGGCAATAATAATAATAATTGGCACAGCACAACAATTTGCCATATCTGCACCATATCCTCTCAATGCCTCCCTGTGGGAAAACATTGAATTGGCTGACATCATCAAGATTAATGATCTCGGCAAAGGAGGTAGGGCAGCCGTGACAGGACCAGTATGCCACGGGATATAAATCTTATCTTTTTAAAACTTTACTGGGTGGGTCACCTAAATAGTAAGGAGAACACTGTAGCCTATGTTTGTATTCCTAATGTTCTAGTTCTGAGTCAGGAACCAATTTTTTTAAGTATTTTTATTTCTTACAAGCTTTTTACTATTTTGATAGAACCTGGGCCTGTTAATTCAACATGCCCTATTCAAAGTTGTCGGACATGGGTCTATATTTCATTTGCAGTGAGGTAAAGTATTTAGTTTATTCGCAGAAGGATTTATTGTCCATACTGATCGTCCAACAGAGCAGGTGGTGTATCTCAGAGCCAAACAGTTCAACTTACACCATGTACTCTACTTGGAAAGCCTAAGACAGCCATTACATACCTGTGAACTGCGGTGCATGCCATTCATCGGTAGATCATTGCTAAATATGCATATCATTTTCCTCTTCTACTGGTTCTTACTTAGTTAAAACCATTATTTACTCTTTGCACACCCATTTTGGGAGAACTAACCGATGACATTAACACATGCAGTATTTTTTTTCAATTTGACAATTTTTATTTTCACTTACGAAGCAAACTTGGGATACAGAAGGAAGAAAGGGGGGGGGGGGAGGGAACATCCCACATCTCGTTTTACATGACTTCCAGTTTAACATAGTACATAACATCGTGTATAACATCATATGCATCATCACATGTAGTATCTTATGTAGCTTCCTATGTGACTTCGCCTACATTTCTCTGTTTCACAGCGGGCTAGCCCGCCCTTTGTCTGCATTCGCCACGTCCTCCTGTCTCTGCTTAGGGGCCTGCTTAGTCGCCCCGCTATCTATCATCTCTGTTTAGGTTTCCCTGAAGCGACCTCTTGTACTCTCTGGAAGTTTGCCCTTGAACTAGCTTGCCGTTCCCTGCGTAGGGGGGGGGGGAAAGTGGGCTGTGGGAGTGGGGGGGGGTTTAGGGAGGGAAAAGACTGTGATATGCCCTCTTTCCCTACCGGTTTTGCTCTATTCTATGCTCGCTATATTCATATCGTTTCCCTGCCCTTCTCTGGTGTTTCCGGTGATTCCTGTCTGTTCTCGCTCTTCCCCTGGGGTTCCAAGTCCCTGGGCTCCCCTCTGTCTTGAGGGATTCTTGTACGCTTGCTATGTAAATTCTACATGTCGGGCTGGGTCTGTGACAGTGGGCTAGTCTCCGTCTCTGTCTCCTATCCCCTGGGGCGCGGTTTTGTCCTCCCACCTACTGTACGCTTCCTCAAACTTGCGTTTGTTACCTGAATTTTTCCTGGCTGTGAGTTCGTAGTGTAAATTGGTGGAGATCTGTCTCGTTAGGGCTATTTTCGTCGGTGCCTTGTCTGACTTCCATTCTCTGGCTATAAGAGTTAGTGTCGCTATTAGGGTGTGAAAGACTAGAATTGTCTCACTGCCCTGGAATCTATCTATGTTCATGAACAGTAGGCCCATTTCTGGGGTGAGTGTAATATTATCCTCTAGTATCTCATTAAGTAACCTTTCAACCATCTCCCAATAAGGTCTAAGTGTTTCACACGTCCACCATATGTGATACATCGAACCTTCTGGTTCCCCACATCTCCAGCACTCGGCTGAGGTTCCTGGGTAAATTTTTGCCAGTTTTACTGGCACCATGTACCACCTGTAATATACCTTGCGCATTAATTCTAGATGGGACGTGCATGTGGTCCTTCCTTTGTGTGCCGTGGTGGCGCGTTTCCATTGGGTGTCCTCGAAGTGCTTCCCAATGTCTGCCTGCCACGCTGTACTAAATCTGTCTTTGTGTACGGGATCGCCTCTATTTAGGAGTGTGTAGCACAGGGAGATCAGGCCCCTCTTCTGCTTTGGGTTTAAACAAGTCCTTTCAAACTCCGTGAGTGTGGTCTCCCCCTCTACTGTGGACTTTTGGGCCCCTAGCATGGATTTTAGTTGAAGATACGGGAATATCGATCTGGGGGGCAGTTCGAATCTCTCTTTAATGATGGGGAATGGGACTATCTGTTGTTCTTCCAGTAAGTCCCTCACATGTGTGCAGCCTCTCCTCGTCCATTCCCTATGGTCAAATGTGTTGTTTGCTACATGTAAGCATGATAGAGGTGTTGCCGGTGACCACGGTGTCGCCGAGAGCAGTGATTTGTGTGTTCTGTCCCAAGTCCTCAGTAATGTTTTCGTGGTGGGTAATATATTGGGTTGGTGGGAGCGTAGTGTTTTAGGTACCCACAACAAGCTGCGGAGGTCCGTCCCTTGAAGCCAATGGTTTTCTATTTCCAGCCATTGCGGGACCTGTGTTGGGGATTGGAACCCTAGCACTGGGGCTAGTAACGACGCCTGATAATAGATTTTGATATTTGGTAGGGCTAGACCCCCTTGGTGAGTGGGTCTATACAGGTGTTTGGCAGCTATTCTCACTCGTTTACGTGCCCATACGAATTTAGTAAGTATCGCCTGTGTTTTGGTTAAGTAGGAGGTTGGAAGATTGATTTGCAGAGTTCGAAATAAGTATTGTAATTTGGGGAGGATAGACATTTTAAATGCTGCCATCCTGCCCAGCCAGGAGAGGTATTTATCTCCCCATGAGGCCAAACTGGCCTCTATCTCTTTTTGTAGGGCTTCGTAGTTGGCCTTAAATAGTCCCCCCATTGTCTTTGTTAATTGAAGTCCCAGGAAAGAGACGCTGTCCGTCCTCCAGTCCATTACGAACTTTTCCCGCAATACCTGTAGGACGGCATCAGACATCCCAATCCCCATGGCCTGAGTTTTTGTCACATTTAGTTTGTAATAGGAGCTGTCTCCATATTCTTTTATGACAGTCAGTAGGTTTGGCAGTGAAATCAGTGGTTGTGTTAGGGTCAGGAGCACGTCATCCGTGAATAAGTTGGCTTTATATTCCTTTTCCCCAATCTGTACCCCGTGGATAGAGTCATGTTGCCTAATCTTTATTGCCAGTGGCTCTAAGGCCAGAACGTATAACAAGGGAGACAGGGGACATCCCTGTCTCGTGCCGTTTGAGATACTAAACGGGTTAGAAAGAAAACCTGCATTAAGTACCTGGGCTGTCGGAGCGCTATATAACGCTTTGACCGCGGCTCTAAATTCTCCTGGTATTCCAAATTTTGTCAGGATTGCCTCCAGGAACCCCCAGTGCAGGCGGTCGAATGCCTTTTCGGCATCTAGGGAGATGACAATCCCTCCCCCCTTGTGTAGTTTGGGTAAACTGTGCAGTATATTCAGGACCTTGCGTGTGTTGTCCGCTCCCTGTCTCCCTAACACAAACCCAACTTGGTCTTTGTGGATTATCTGAGGTAGGAGACTGCTCAATCTCATCGCATATAGTTTGGCAAATATTTTCGCGTCGGTGTTAAGCAGGGATATGGGTCTGAAATTTTGTGGGATGGTGGGAGGCTTCCCTGGTTTCTGTAACGTTATGATGTGGGCCAAGAGCGTGTCTGGTGGTAATTTCTGTACAGCCGTCGCCTCTGTGAATGTGCGCACCAGGTGGGGTGTCAGTATGTGGTGGAATTGTTTGTAGTATGCATTGTCAAGTCCATCCGGGCCTGGGGCTTTGCCGTTTGGTAGCTGTTTTATTATGGTATGGAGTTCTTCCTCTGTGATGGGTCTAATGAGATCGGTCGCCTGTTGGGTCGTGATTCTTGGGAGATCAATCGTGTCCAAGTACTTATTTATGTGTTCCGCCGTGGGCTGGAATGTGGTGTCATGTTTGTTGATGTTGTACAAGTCGGCGTAATAGTTTGCAAATTCATTGCATATGTCTCTGGGTATCATTTTCTTCTCTCCCGTATGGGATATAAGAAAAGCTATTTTCTGGCTCGCCCTTCGTTCTTGCAGTCTCCTAGCTAATAGTCTACTAGCTTTGTTCCCTTGTGTGTATTGATTAATTTTCAACCTCTGTAGCATATATCCTGTTTGTTCTATTGCTTTTTGGTGTAGCTTGTTTATAATAGTGGTGATTTGTAATTTTAGCTCAGCAGAAGGGGAGATTTGGTTTTGTGTGTTTAATTGATACAATTCCTTCTGCCATTGCGTGGTCTGGGCCGAGGATGTCCTACGTAAGTAGGACGCCCTCCTGATAAAGATACCCCTGACTACAGATTTATGTGCGCCCATAGGGTGCCCTGGGATATATCTGGGGTAGCGTTCTCAGTGAAGTAGTTGGTCAAAGTCTCCTCTACCTCTTTCTTGAATGACGGATCATTCAACAGGGAGGCATTCAGCCTCCATGGGCTGCGGTGTTTATAGTCATATTGGTCTCTTACTGACAGTGTAACCGGTGCGTGGTCCGACCATGTAATCTGTCCTATGACACAGTCTGTGATTTGGTTTAGGCTTTGGCCATGTATGAGAAACCCATCTATCCTCGAGTATGTGTTATGTACGTGGGAGAAGTGAGTGTACGTACGCTCCAAAGCGTGGGAAATCCGCCAGGTATCATAATAGTGGTGTAGGGAGAGGATCTTCTGTAGCTTTTTGCACTGTCTATGCAGTATTTTATATCGTGGGCTGTGTTGGGAAGTGTTAGTGTCCAGTTTTGGGTCCCAAACATGATTAAAGTCTCCACAGATAACTGACACTCCTTCGCGGATCGATTCAGTTCTCTGTAGCACCTGTCTCAGAAACGTTCCTTGTAATGTATTGGGTGCGTATATATTGGTGATTGTATACATCATGTTGTTAATTGAGCATTTCAGTATTATGTATCTCCCATTGGTGTCTACCTCTACAGAGATCATAGTAAATGCTACTTGCTTAGAGATTAGTATAGATGTCCCTTTGGACTTTGTGGGGGACGTCGCGTGGTATTGGTGTGGGTAGTCCGAAGTCGTCGGTGGGATATAACCGTCAGTTCTGTAGTGTGTCTCTTGGAGACAGATAACGTCCGCATCTGTCCTCTTGAGTTCTCTATATAGCTGGTGTCTCTTAACCGGTAGGTTTAACCCTCTTACATTGAGGGAGAAAATTTTCATGGGGGTTTATACCCAATGGTTTTTATAAGGGTCATCCGTGGAATTAAAGACCAGTGCGGGTTCGCTCGTCCCAGCAGCATCAAGTCGAGCGACCTTCCCTGAAGTGAGGGTAGGAATCGGGCATAATTCACTCGTTGGGTTAGGGATGGGTAGGTGGGCTGGGGTACCTTTGCAGGGACTGAGGCCCAGTGTGTTGGATCAGCTGTGTGGACTCCCTGTAGGTATTGGGGGCTGGACATGGGGTGGCAAGTCTCCACGAGACCGGGGTGGGGGGTGGGACAAGGTAATAACTGGGAAAACATATAAAACATATACACAATAAACAGGTGTGCCATTCTCGGCCTAGGTACTCCTGGTACCTGTGGAGGGGGAAGTCCGAACTTCCTTCCTGTGGGGTGTGGACCCCGAGTCGACCCACTCTATGGCTTGCTAAGTGGTCTGTGAGTATTGGCGCTTAGCCGGGTATTAATGCCCCCTGTATGGTACAGTGAAGCGTTGTGAGACCTGCATACCCACATAGGTATAAATGCCTGTATATAATTAAAGTATATAGATATATAATATTATTTTTTTTATTTTTTTTTTACAATTAAAGTATATAGATATATAATAATTTTTTTTTTTTTTCTCAATTTCTACACATGCCTAACATGTCTAGGTATGACATTAACATTCAACATAGGTTATAACAATTATACGATACCCCCAGCTGACTTCATGGTCCAGTTATCAGGACCGGCCACACAACCAGCTCCTGCGGACGCTCGTATATCTGAGTTAGTTGTGGTGTAGTCTTTTATGTCAGTCTCTTGGACTTTCTCCAGTCTTTGGAGGCGGTTTGCGTCCTCTTTGGGCTTCGTTGCTGGTTTGGTTCAGTGAGACCCCATCTTTGTAGCAGTAGGGCTCCTTCTTCTGGCGTGTTGATAGCTGACACTTTCCCTCCTCTGGACACCAGGATCTTCACCGGGTATCCCCAGCGATATGGCAGCTTGTGGCGTCGGAGTTGTTCTGTGACTTCTCTAAATTCTCTCCTTCGTTTCAACGTGTATGTTGATATGTCTGCAAACACTAACAGTCCCCCATGCGGTTCAGGAAGCATCTTCTTCGCTCTGCTTGCTTGTAGCACTAATTCTTTCACATGGTAGTAGTGCATTCTGATGAGGATGTCTCGTGGGGTGTCTGGAGGTAGAAAACTGGGTTTGGCGGTTCGATGGTACCTGTCCATGAGCAGCAGGTCTAGCGGTATGTCTGGCGCCAGCGCTTTCAGCAGATTTGTCAGATAGGCCGCCAGCTCTGCGGGTCCCACCTCCTCGCTCACTCCGCGAATTCGCAGGTTGTTGCGGCGAGCTCTGTCCTCAATGTCTGCCAGCTTTATCTCATACTGCTGCATACGGTTTTGTATCCCTGCCATTTCTTCTTCCATCCCCCTGCGTGCCTCCTCTAGCTCTGCCACTTTAACTTCAGTCCCAGCAGTTCTCACCTCCAGTTCTTTTAGGTCATCATGTAGTGCTCCAATTGTGGATTTGAAGCTATTCTCCAATCTTGCAGACATTTGTTCTAGCAGTGTCTGCATCACCTCTTGTGTGAGGGGGCCAGCTGCCACTGTGTCTGTGTGCAGTGATTCACCAGCCTCCTCGGCGCCATCTTGGCCCTCATCCTGCATCAAGGCCTGTCTCCCCTGGTGTGTCCGTGCGGCAAAAAATGCACTCCGGTCCTTTTTTTCCGCCTGCCTTTTCCCCTTGCTTTGCGACATGCTCGTTGGGGTATATGGTGCCCCGTTTTTTCGTGGCTAGCCGCCAAATTACTCCTCTGTGGGTGCCGTCGGAGCGGAGCGCTCAGCACATGCGACCGCTCAGTACCGCCGCCAGGACACGCCCCAACACATGCAGTATTTTATAATGTAAACACAACTGACTGACTGGGGAGATACATACCATCGCTCATATCCACGACCTCTATCAGCAAAAAAGTCAACTGCATACTAATGTTTTGTTTGTTTATGTTTTTATGACCGTCTTATGAATCAAATAATTCATCATATAACAGGATACAGTAAATAAAACATTTATAATTTTATATGAAGCGGGTCTGTTTGTTGACTTCAAAAGCCTAACCTAGGCCCAAATTGTGAGCGTGCGGGTCTGCAGACCTAGCCTAGGCCTAAAAGCTGCACATTAACTTGGAAGGTTGACTTAATGAGCAAATATTGTCCTAACCATATATAACCCCTAATTTTTGGAGGTGGATTTATTTGCTTGTATATTCGATACATTTAGTCAGTGTACATTGTTTCATTATCTTAAACTCCAGTAAACCCATCATTGTTTCTGACTCCATAACTCCAGCAACAGCACTAATTAAAACTGGGCTCCTCTTGACACTTGTCAAATGCTTTCTGGAGTATTTTATAAAGTTTAAGGTATTCTTGTTCAGCAAATAGCTTCTCCATCTATTTCAGGCTTTTTTGCGGTTATATGTCACCTTCAAACTGTAAATGTTCTCTTAGATGTGAATGGGACGTTCACTCACCCATTCATATCGATCATTATTGTACTTAAAAATAAAGAGTGACTATGTCTATACAAGGTACATTGTGTATATTTATGTGTGTAATCTTTGATAAATATTATTCCTCATTAGAGCAAGGCAAATCCTTGTGAATGGGCTCACACATCAACTTGCTGAATTAGAGAAATGCTTATTGAAGTATATGAAAGGAACTTCTATTTGTATAGCAGAACCTTACCACTTCATGTTACCGGGCATGGAAGGTCTTATCACCTTGGCGTATCCTGCAGGAGTTGCAGATTCGCAGCTGGAAAACTATAGAAAGGTAATTTATAGCTACCATTATACAGTACTTATTGTAGTACAATGCTGACCTATTATCTTGGCTATAAAGGGAAGACTGCTAATTTTATACTCGTTTAAAACACTCTGTAATGACTCCGGAGCCAGTACTAGAAGTGCCCATCAGTTATATTGACAGATTCTCTACAGATATATGGCGTCAGATATGGAGTCGTAAAAAAATGTATTTTTAAAAAAATTCATGCCTACAGTAAATGTCTCCATATTAGGCTATTCTCTGTGTGTGTGTGTGTGTGTGTGTGTGTAAGACAGAGACAAAAATGGCATATATTACATTATTATGGTGACTCATTTCAACTTAATGACACATTCTTCAAGCATAACATTTTTCAATTTTAAATATATGTCAAAACTCCTCTTCATATTGTCAGAGGGATTTCTCTTGCACTTGGGAAGCAATGCTCCTGCACTAAGCGATTTATTGTGGCTTTAAGAAGTTTAAGATCAAAAAGATGTTGCTTTTCTGCATCAATTACACATATAATGCAGCATACTTTTAGACAATGTGCTTCTGTGAGTGGGTGTGTATTGTGAATGTACATGAATGTTCTTGTTGCAGAACAGATAAAGACCATGTGCTTTCTTTGATGTGCTAGATATTACCATTGAATGTAATGTGACTCTGGATGTTTCGTTGATATGATTTCTCTCTCTTTGTCCCCTCCACCATTCTCATTGGTTTTACGAATACTGGGCAAGTAGGGTTAAGCTTGACAAACTAGATGTAATACACATCACAAATATATTTTGCGTAAAGCCTGGCCATCTCTGTTGAATAATAAACCAATTTGTTATTTTTATTCTTTCCCCAGGCATTACATGAACAGCTTAACCTGCCCTTTGACAGACCCTACCTAAAAAGAATAAATGCATATCATTTCCCGGATGAGCCTTACAAGGATGGTTATCTCCGCAATCCACATGTCAATCTAAATCCTCCTGCTGTGGAGGGAGGTACGGTGAGTGACATATTATTTCTAAATGTAAATGACTGCATTCCTTTGGATGTCAAGATGTGCTATACCCAGACTTCAATGGATCTCGCCCTTTACTTGATCAGCTGCAGTTTTGCCCACTGGACACCTAAGGCATTGTGTCTGTGAATGTGTGTTAATTCCCATTTAAAATAGAAATGTAATTTATATGTGCTTTCTATTGAACATTTAGCAAGTGACACAACAGTTCAGTCCAGGCACAGATAGGGCACACAATGCAAATAATTACAGAAGAAAAAAATTAACATTGTTTTTTAAGTCTCTCCCATTATTTTTTTTTCCCTGTGTGTTTCATTAAATAAATAGTTTTTTTTAAAAAAATATGCTTAGAAGTGACAGATCTACTTTAAAGAAGTTAGAAGATATATACCGCAATCTTAAATTATGGTTGCTAGGAAATGTTTTGATAAATGGATTACTGTCACTGTTGGATTTCCACGATATGCCAAATAAAACATATACGCAGTGGGATTTTCAATATAAAAATCAATAACTTGGCCAAGTTTCAACGCTCGCAGGTCATTCAAAACATAAGTGTTTTTGACATTACACATATTTTTAATTAAAATTAGTTTAAAGGAACACTCTAAATTCCATAACCACTACAGCAGGCTCTAAGTAGTGGTTATGGTGCCAGGAGTGCCCTGATCTCCCCAATCAAACCATTTGCGTATAGATTGTTAATAGTGCCAATGTGATTAATTGCATTTATCCCACGACCTACGTGTTTTACTTTTTAGCATATGGTACCAGGCTGGATGAGTGTCATGAGAAGTGTTGTGCACTGCGCAATGCCTGGCTGGTTTTGTGTCCTAATGCTTTCTGAGTTCTTCCCATTGTGTTCTACCTGCAGGTCTCCTTGGTGAAGGGAACATACAGCTACCATCACTACATGCAGGATCACATGGATGACAATGGCTGGGGATGTGCCTATCGCTCTCTACAGACAATCTGCTCTTGGTTTAAATACCAGGGATATAGTGACAAACCAATCCCAACGCACAAGGAGATCCAACAGGTGGGTGTGTATATTGGCAGGTACTCAACTAGAAAGTCCGAATATCTGCTAAACCCGACATAAACCCGCTGCTATTTGAAGTCAAGAAGGATTATTGTGTTATATTCTAGCAAAATGAAAAAAACACACACATTTCTTTTCACCATTTTTTGATCAACAGGAGAAAGATATGTGAAATTATGAATTTGATGTATTTAGTTTCTCTCTTTTCCCAACTGTGCATCATTTGAAGTAGTCAGATACGAGTGTTGAAATTTTCATTACAATGTTAGTTACTCTAAGAACAAAACCAACTTTAGCATAAAGGGACACATTAGTCACCAGAAGGGCCAGACTGGCCCACCGGGATAACGGGAAATTTCCTGGTGGGCCGTGGCACTTGGGGACGCACTGTGCAGCCCACACCCAGTACACACACTCATGTTAGGGCCTCGTGAGCTGAGCAGTGAAGCTGGTATAGAAAATTATCCAGGGCCGCTTTTTATTCCCAGTCCGGTCCTGGTCACCAGAACAACTACAGCCTAATGTAGTTTTTCTAGTGAGTATAATAATTCCTTGCAGGCATTTTCAGAGACAAGGCAGTGTTTTCATTGCCCGCTAGGGACATCTTCAGTGGCTACTGCTCAGATGACCACTGTAGGTGCTTCACAGGGTGAAGCACTGCCGTTTAGCATCTCAACGCTCTGCATGGGGAAGCTGATTTAACGCATCTCTATGAGGAGGTGCTCACTCCCCGCCCGCCTCCTTGACTATTTTAGCCAATCCAATGCTTTCCCTGGGGAAAAAAAAAATCATAAATTCTGATGTCCACAAGGAGGCAGATCGGGGGCTGTGCTGGAAATAAGGTAGGTTTTATTACCTTTTTAAGGGGGTTAACAGGAGGAAAGCCGCCTAAATGGGGATTTTAACACTTTAGGGTCAGGAATACATGTTTGTGTCCGTGAACCTATAGTGTTCCTTTAATGAAGCAGGTTAGGTGTATAGGCCATGCCCCTGCAGTCTTTCACTCAGCTGCTGATTGTGCTAAAGCTGCAAGTGCCTTTCAGTACAGCTCATTGGGATTGGTGGCTTGCCATTTCTATTAGCTCCACAGAGCTAACAGAAGAGGAATAAAACCTCCCCGACTGTCTGACAGTGTTTCTGCGCCCAAACACAAAAGTGCAGATTCTATTGAAATCGTTACTTTTGTAAATTGTCACAGAGATGAAAGGCTCCATACACATAAAGCACTTCAGCAAGCCAAAGTGGTTTGTGTGTAGTGTGTTACTTTTAAATTCAGTTTGTATAGGTCAGTCTGTGCCATAATAGAATCTATAAATCACCTTTACCCTAAACTTGACAATGACAATGATGGTTAGTGGAATTGGTTATCTGAAAAGTATGTTCCTGTAGAACATGTAAGCTGTGTTTGAACATCTTTCCTTCCATAATCTGCAGGCTCTTGTTAGTGTTGGAGATAAACCTGCCAACTTTGTAGGCTCCAGGCAGTGGATTGGTTCCATTGAGGTACAACTTGTACTCAACCAGATTCTTGGCGTTACATCAAAAATAATGTTTGTTAGGTGAGTAATACCCAATATCTTCAGTTCTATGTAGTAAAGGAAATTCCTTGCACCATCTTTCTTAACCATACTGCAAATGCAAAAAAAATAGTTGCTACTATTACAAACATTGTGTTTCTGCTTCCTCGTTAAGGGAATGCTGTCCGTTTTAATTATTTAAAAGGGTAATACAGAGACCCAGGGTGCAAGAATGCAAATTTGTTTGTACATTTTCAAAAAAAATTATTTATTATTGTTAAAAATGAGTGCTCCCAAATATCTTTTGGGAGGGAAAAACCATAAATGATCATCAAATCCACTGCCACTTTGAAAGGAAACGTGGAGAGTATTAAAGTAAAACAGAAACCGCTGTTCAACGTCCCCATAAAGTAGACCATTTATTTTAAATGAATAAGCCCATGGATGAAGTATATACCCTATTAACCATATCTGTGCAGGTTTATTGAAAACGCTACAATGACTTGAATTTGCAGCATTTTCTTGGTCCCCTGTAGGGGAATTTAAGGTCAGAGTAGCCAAAATTTGAGTTTTTCAAATGTTTAAAATACTTGAATTTATATATTTTGAAGTTTAAAAAAAATATAAAAAATAAAATATGTATGCTTAATGCATACAAACTGAGGCTAAACTCCAGCCTGTGCTTGTGAAATACTGAAATGGTTAAAACTAAAAATAATACTTTACTAGTGACACATTTCATTTTTACTGCCATTGATGAATGGTAAAGGCATTTTTGTTTGGATAGTTATGTGCTTCTAAGGAATCTTATCAAATGTTTTATGATGTCAATAACCACTCTTCATTCCAACAGCCAGGGTACGGAGCTGTCAACCAGAGGCAGAGAGCTTGTCAATCATTTTACATCCGAAGGAACTCCAGTTATGATCGGTAAGACTCATACCTTGCAGTTGTTTCCTGTACAGGAAATTGAATGAACGCCTGGCGGTTTGCATGTAAAGTCCAAATTTAAAGGGAAATAACACAAAAAACTGCAACTTTATTATTTTTATTATACGCATCATAATCTTTAGAGATATTCATTATTTACATGGTTTGCTGAGCTGGAATCCCTATATGAATGGTTTCCCTTTCGCTTTTAGTTTTTCTTTCACTTTTACGTAAAAGACATATTTCCAGTTAAAGTCACCAAACTGTTTATTTCTTTTTAAGCTGAGCGTGTCGGTTTGTAAATATCTAAAAAGCTTTCACATTTATAAACCACAGGAAAATGACTCGAGGGCCGTATTTTTGCAGGGGCTGGTAGAATAAGATTTGTAAATCCCTGCCAGAAGACGACTCGGGCATCCGTGATTGGTTTTAAACTCTAATACACAGTTACAGCTAGGTGCAGTATGCACTTTCTAGGAATGACTAAAGAGTTGTAATTTTAGATCTCATCAAATCCAAACACTATTGCACAGTGTTTAATTGCTTTGAAGACAGGGTAGATACCATCTCGTCACTTGGACAATATTGGACTTGTTATACAGTGTTTCACACTAGTTTTTCATGTAACACCCACCTCCGGTCCATCCTTCACTCCTTCGGTCGTTTCTGCTTTTCCTTGTCAAATTGTTAGCATAGAGTCTACACTGAAGGTTATATGTAAACTAAATACCTATTTTAAAATAGGTTTGTCTCCCAATCCGCACATTTGCTAGCACATTATATAGATGAAATTGCATGCTTTTTCTAAGGAGCATAAGTGAAAATACTTTTGACAGGTGCTTTTTAATCCTGCTCTGGTCACAAAATGAAAATCATTCATTAAAGGAACAGTATTTAATAATAATTATTACATGTGTTACTGTTTTACTTTAGATTCCTCGCTCCCCTTGGTGTTGTGTGTAAGTTTTTTTTGTTGTTGTTTTTTTTTTTTTTTATACGTTAAAACAAACATTGAATTTACGTTAATTCCGGTGCCGGGACAGACTCCTCACTGGAGCCGATCTTCCTCTAATGAAGCCGGCAATCTTGATAACATTTGTCCAGTTAGGTGTTTTTCATAAAGAAGCATTGAGTGCTCAATACATGCATGGCAAGAGCCATGATCCACCAACTGAATGCTTCTCTAAGACCAGCACTAAATCCTTTTTTTTTTTTTTTATTTCTTTTTTTTATTTTTTTTTTTCTTCTAAAGAAGCCTTTGATACACACAGTATCTGGCATCGGCATACTTTGGATGTGACCCTGGACATTAAATAGAATTCCTTTATCAATCTATTTAATTTCAAAGCCCCTAGTTACTGTCTGTCTGAAAACAACTAGAGGCGTGGGGGATTGCAGAATGTAAATGGTACCATTTCTCAGAAATGGCACGGTTTTCATTTGCAGGGGCGGCACCTCTGACCCACAATCACTTGATTAAGGGTATATGATTTCGGTGTTAAGACTGTTCCTTTTAACACTAGCTGCTAACTAAATTTTTGGACAATCCAGGCTCCCACAATGTTTGATTAAATGGGGTTAAGCCCATTCTTGCAACTACCCCAAACATGGACCATTATAATCTACATGAGCATATATGGAATTGTGTTCTCTGTGCCATTATAGGGGGAAAACAAAATCAGTACAATTCCCTTTGTCTTGAAAAACCCAATGACACTTGTAGATGTTAACAAATAAAAGCGTTAATTTAAGATTTGTAGAATTATTTGACATTCAATGCATAGATAACATTTCCTTCATTAAAACGTAATAAGCTCAGTAGGCTTGCTTTGGTGCCTCGAGGAAATTTTAATGACTGATTTTCTAACACCTTCATTTTACTGTCCGCTTGATGCGAGAGGATATCCATCTTGCCTGTTAAAATTGTGTGAAAAATCTATAATGGAACCAACATTGATTATTTATTTTTAAATCATCAACCTATACGACTCCTACGACCTATTACTTACAAAATCAGAACTCATTTAAAAAGTTCCATCACTCACTGACCGCTGTCACTATTGTACATATCCCAACTCAGCGGTAACAATCAATAACTATATAGACTACCTAGAAGGCAGGTACCAGATTGTGATTAGATTCACAGCCACTTATTACATAATTGTATTAAAGGACCCCCCATTGTAAGTAGTCAAATTATTTTACAATAATTTGACTTTTTATCAGGGGGATTTATCAGGCACTACTTTTCACCTCTAGTACAAGAGAGCCACAAGTTCCTGCTTATGAGCTTCCTGGCTCTTAAGCCCTGCAATGAGCCTATCAGCTGATTTAGGGAAGGCAGTTAAAGGACCACTATAGTGCCAGGAAAACATATTCGTTTTCCTGGCACTATAGTGCCCTGAGGGTGCCCCCACCCTCAGGGTCCCCCTCCCGCCCGGCTCTGGAAAGGGGAAAGGGGTTAAAACTTACCTTTTTCCAGCGCTGGGCGGGAGAGCTCTCCTCCTTCCTCCTCTTCCTGCTGAATGCGCACGGCAAGAGCTGCGCCAAGATTCAGCGTAAACATAGGAAAGCATTTACAATGCTTTCCTATGGATCGCTGTGCTCTCTGTGAAAATCACAGTGAGAAGCACGCAAGCGCCTCTAGTGGCTGTCAATGAGACAGCACTAGAGGAAATAGGGGAAGGCTTAACCCATTCATAAACATAGCAGTTTCTCTGAAACTGCTATGTTTATGAAAAAAAGGGTTAACCCTAGAAGGACCTGGCACCCAGACCATTTCATTAAGCTGAAGTGGTCTGGGTGCCTAGAGTGGTCCTTTAAAGCGAAAACAGTTTGAAAACTGACAATGGGGGGAGCCAGGGCACTTGTGGCACCATAACTACTACTAAGTCAGTGGTAATGGCGCATACAGTGTTCTTTTAAAAAACTTGTATTAATATCAACACATGCGTATTTAAAAGTCTCCGGAGCAAGATTTTGTATTGTTTGATTCTTGTGAGTTTCTATAGTGATACTGTGTTCATTGCTTCCAAATCCAACAAACACATTTCAAACCACTCTTCTATTGTGTGGATGCTAAAGAAAACCATTGCACATTTTATTTTCTCATTCCTCAGGAGGAGGAGTCCTAGCACATACAATTCTTGGTGTTTCATGGAGCGAAGCTACAGGAGACATTAAATTCCTAATTCTAGATCCACATTACAAAGGAGGTGAAGACCTGCAAATTATTCAGGAAAAGGTAGGTTTTCAAATTCCCAGAAAGCAAATGTAAGTACGCCCAGGGAGGCATGCAGAAGAGATTAGGTAGAACAGAAGGAGAGTGGAGAAGATAAGCAGGAAATTGGAAGGAAAGACTATCAAAGAGGAAGGAGTGTGAGTTTGGGATGGAACTGATAATGAATTCTGAGAAAGTAGGTGTGGATATAAAAAAAAACCTGTAGTGGACAAGAATCCAGAGGGAATGAATGTGTTAACCCAGAGATACTGGTTCTGTTTTTGTTTTGTTTTTATAAAAACATACGGCAGAAAAGGAGTAGATTATAGCCACAAACGTTTTTGCACACAGTGGTGAACGGGGAGACAGGGACAGAAGACTTAATTGCACCAAAAAACCTATACAAACCTCAAATTTTTATGATACTTTTGAGTGTATGTATAAGGAAAAATACAAAATCTATTCATACAGGTATCCTGATGTCATGGGCGCCCGCAGGAATTTTTCCAGGAGGGGGGGGCATAATTGTAATGACATCCATGCCTGGTACCTTTTTGACAGTGTCATGAAAGGGAAGCGGCATAGTCATTATCACATAAAGCCAGGGTGAATAGCGTTTTCAGAACTATGGTGTCAGGAATATATGTTTGTATTCCTGACAATATAGTGTTCCGTTAAACAAATTAAAGGAACATTCTGGTCACCATAACAACTTCATCTAAATGAAAATGCTATAATGCTAGGAAGCCCCTGGGTGCCACTCTCAAATAACCCCAAAAGCTTCCTCCAGCTCCAGGTCGCTCAGTGGTATTCGGCTTCTGAAACAGAGTGTCAGGAAGTGCAGATTGACGTCAGGCATTGGTGCCGCTGATTGACTAGAGTGGACAGTTGACGCTCTAAGCCAATCGCTAGTTCCCGGTTCATAAAAATGTTTTACTTTTTTATGAATGGGGTGCCGCTGATTGGCTAGAGTGGTCAGCTGACGCTCTAAGCCAATCGGCGACACCCCTCCCCAGCGGCACTCTGTGCTTCCTGACACTCAGTAAATAAAAGTGAACACATTAACACTGAGATTTTTTTTTTTTTTTGGGAAGGTCCAGAGTTTCTCTGCCAGGCCCAGGTACCAAAAGCCTTATGATGTGGTGTCCAGCATAAAGTGGAGGGTTCACTTCATTTGTCCTTCCTGCTCCAATCTCCTTTTCTTCTCCTTCATTTGACAGTCTTCTTTTTCTTCTGATACTGTCTTCTATCCTTGGCTCCTTCTGCTCCTTTACCTTTCTGCTTATTCTGATCTCTTTTTGCTCCTTGCTCCCCTCTCCCCACGCCTCACTCCCCTAATCTATAGGTTATCCCTCTCCTCCCCCATCCCTCACTTACCTGATCTGCAGGCTGTCTCTGGCTGCATGTGTTGCTCCCCGGTTTCAGTCAGCAGAGAGAAGCAGGGATAGATGTAGCTTCCTATCCTTGTCTCTCCACCGGCGCCGGTATTGCAGTTCATTTTCAATCTCACAAAAAATAGCAACAAGCTGAAAAATCCAGAGGGGGGCGCCCCCCTTGCCTCCCCCTGTGGACGCCCATGCCTGATGACTTATGTAGGAATTCCATCTCTAATTGGCAATTACAGGGAAAAAATTGACCCTCTCTATTGTGATTTCCAAGCTGTAACTTCCAGATATTGCAGATTTTGTACTCTGGCTCTTTACCTTTTATGATAATCGGAGATTCCAAATGAAAACCTGCACTAAAAAGGAGACCATGTTGGATATTTTTCAAATAGACCAGTTTTCTTAATACACATTTTATTGCATAGCTATAAATCAACAATATTTACCTGTATAGAAAAAGATTTTATAATAAGTAGTAAGCATATCCCTAATAGCGTTTTCCATTGCTGTAAATTTGGAGAACAGTTATTCTGTTACATACTATATTTAAAGTGACACTCCAAGCGATTTAATGACTGCCCATTGTGTGTGCTGTCTCCTTGGTTTGTGTCAAACTGTTGAGTGGTTGGACAGAAACCAGGGCTCTCACAGCATGTAAAGCTGAGGTCCTCTCCTACGACTGCTAATGAGTTTACAAAGTCAAAGTCTGTGATTACATATGAGGAGGTTCTTCCTAGTCCTGCTAAAACAAACTCCAGCAGGCTGTCACAGTTTGTTTTCACATTTCTCTCCCTGTCTGATCTTACACACTTTGATCATGTGAATACCTTTATGGAATACACATTGAAAAAAAATATATAAAGAAAAACACAATGCTTATCACAATCTCAAAGAAAATTGTGACTCGCTGTGTATCCTGGAGATGTACAGTAGTCTAAACGGAAATACTTAAATAATATTAGGATACACATTGCTCAGTTTGCTATCAGGCATAAGGGACATCCAACTGGGGAGTCTATATTTATTTTATTTTTTTACTTCTTGTGTAAATATGATGTAAAAATGTCCCACTATCTGCTAATTCTTTCAAATTAATGCAAAATCCAATAAAAAGAAAAGACCTGTAGCTTTTTTTTTTCCCTCCAAAACTATTTTTATTGTGAATGCAATATACAAAAGGTGTGACATGGATCACATCAACAGCATAAAAGCAGTCATGTGTTATCGACAATGACAAAAGGGATGTTTAATCGGTTACATTCACAATCTAATATTTACCTCAACATAACAAACAAAACAAAAAAGTTTTCACGAAACATACCAGGTCATTGATCATTTGCAAAAAAGTGTGGCTGTAACAGTTACCAGCAGGATACCAAAGACACATCCTATATGGTGAAGGTGACTAACATGCTTAATTATGGGTGACTCTACAAAGATACCGTTCATGTAGATCAGGGATAGAATTTTAAATTATACGCAATAATGGGTGAGTACGACACCACACACAAAAGCATTTTATAATACAAGTATAAGCAGAGGAGTGGAGGTTATACCCCTATTTTCATTAGGAGTAATACATATGTTTCCAAGATGATGTTGGCGATGACCTTCTAGAGTCACCCTTCCCAATATACATCAAATATCCAGTCTCAGATTCTCCCCCTGCTCCACATGGGTGTCATCAAAACCATAGGTGATACGGTACCACAGCCAGGATGCCAAAACCAGAACTAGGTCCTGTTAAAAAGAAATTATGAGCAATGATTGCTCCAAAAATCAGAAGTACTTGGTGAAATATGCAGCAGAACCTGTAGCTTTTAAAGTTAAATTTGATTCAGGAAGAAATTCTTCCCATAAACGCTTGTCCCCTAGGTGCAGTTCTACTTATCACTTAGAATGATCGGAACTTCTCTGTAAACTTCTAGCAGCTGCATAATGCCTGGTTCACTGTTTAGTGTTCTGAGCTATGTGCACCGATTGGCAAAGCTATATAGTTTACAGGACCGTTCTCTCTCCAAGGAAGAGAGAGCACTTAGTCCAATGGAGTATGCGCACACGTCATGCAAAAGTGACATGTGGCAGCAGGAACTAGGAGCTTTTCGGATAATTCATTAAGTCTGAGTGTCTGGCTTAGGGTTGTATTTGTTACAAGTAGCTACAGGTGTCAAGGAACACTACCAGCACCATAACTACTACATACTGGTGTAGTAGTGATAGTGCCACGAGTGCCCTGGAGCCCTACCAGAGCAATTTATCAAAATATTTAAATATTTAAGCCCACTCCACATCTGACTTATCCTGCAGAGGAAGCCATTTGTCTCCCCTAAGCGAAGCACAGCTGTGATGGAGCACTCAGATATCACTCTTAGCCAATTAGAGCAACCCTGCTAAGCTCGTTCGAGAGTAGTGGATTCACCTTGCAGAGTAATCTATAAGCAGTTAGTGCAGCCGTTCCAAGTATGTTGTCAAACAATTTTTAAATGGCTTTTACTAATTTCTCTAGGAGGGCACTGGAAAGACTACAGCAGGTTGTAATGTAATGAGAGTAGTCTAAGAGCATTGTGAGCTACTGTCTCTACAATCATGTAGATGTGACAATGCTTAGAATAACCCTGTACTATTTTCTCCTCTCCATGCTGTAAAATAGTTGTGCTATAACCACATTTCCCACGCTATGATGGCTGTTTAGTCACTGACTGCTTTAAGGATGTGACCATGTCTCAGGGCTCTGTGTTTTTGAATGACCTAGTAAGGGCCTCTTCTATTCATTCCATTTGAAAATTTACTCAGGGCGGATAGCCCTTACTTCACAGTGAAGAATGGACACAGTAAAATTGCATGTCTCTGAGCTCATCTAATTTTAACCCCTGGGTTCTATTAAACACTGGTTTAGAAAAAAAAAAAATATATATATATATATATATATATATATATATATATATATACACACACACAAAAACAAAGTGTTCATTTTATTAGAGAGAATAAAACAGTAATGTTTAGCATTGGAATATGATCCTGACTAATTGGCATCTGTGGCTCGGCATGAGTAAATATGTATTTGCTTAGAGCAGGGGTTCCCTACCCAGTCCAGGATTTAGGGATTAACCAGTTGTGTCTAAGGTGGTTTTAGTAAGAAAAAAAATGAAATATAACACTTTAGACACAGCCGGGTAATCCCTAAATCCTGGACTGTTATGGGGCACTTGAGGACTGGGCTGGGAACCACTGGCTTAGAGGGTTCTCCTTGTAAAGAACAAATGTAGTAATGTTTTGACTTTCTTGTATATTTAGCAACCCAGGTTTCCTAGATGTCTGTGTCAAGTATTAGTTAGATGAAAGGTCGTAGTTATTCCATAATGGGTAAATTTAAAGAGAATTTCATATTTAAAGGACACAACAGTTGATTTATAAACATTGTCCAAATAAACCATGTTTCAGTTCAGCTATTTTAGCCAAAAATTTCAATGTCACTTAAATTTCCCTACAATTCCCAAGGTCAATTCACTAAAGTTACACTTTAGAGCATAACCGTGTGTGAATAATCTGTATATAGAATACAGAAAGTACAGGTTTATATTTTACATGCCATCTCATTGTTTGACCTGTATCTGCTTCCCTGTAACTTCCAAAAATGGAATGGACAATAAATTACATGTTTTCTTAACCGTTTGAGAGTTGAAGGATTAAGAACACAGGCTGTTGTTAAAGTCACTTTAACAGCTTGTGTTTTTTTTTATTCTTTATTTTGTCTGTGCACAAGATAATACAGAGGTTCAGTGTGACAGCATAAGTAAACAGTGATAACAATGTGAAGCATATAAATGGCATGAGAAAGTGGCACAGTTTAAGTATATTAATAAACAACAACTTGTGTTCTTAACAGCTTGCAATTATCAGTATAGAAATCAGTTTTAAGTTTTATTTACTGGAAAAAAAATATTCTAGCCTTCTAACCAGAATGTACTCTACTTTCATTTTTCAGGGATGGTGTGGTTGGAAAGGAGTAGATTTCTGGAGCCCAGATGCGTATTATAATTTATGCTTACCTCAGCGACCAACAATGATCTAAACTTTGTGTACTTCTATCAACAATGTTTGCTTTATACAGCTTTTTACGTGTTCCGTTTACTCTGTCATCGCAGAAAGTTATTTAATCTGTATTCAAGTGGTCTGGACACTTTCACAGTTGCTTATTAAAATACCCAAGCAATATGTAATTCTGTGTTTAGGGTTAAAACACATCTTGGTGGGTTTTGCAGCATTTGTGATTGCTTAATTCATTGCTCTAACCCCTTCCGTTCTATAAGGCACAGCAAGATTTTTGCCAAAGGACAGGCATAATTAGCCTGCAGAGGATTTAAAAAGCAGTGTAATCAAACTCTCTCCCATTCGGAATTGGGGTGTCAATTTTGAGTGTTGCCAGTCACTCTTAGCCAGCCTCTAACAGAAAAATTATCTGTTTTACATCTCTGAAACAGGAGGTTCTGGAGGTACCCTATCAGGATAGAGAACTTGAAAACCTGTGCCTAAAATTTAGGGACGATTTAGTTTCTCAAATTACATATATTGGATTTAAAACACAAACCAGGTGGTAATTGAAACACTTAATTTCTGTTAAGATGGCTGTATGCATACTTCCAGCAATATTGTTTTTTCAATTTCAAAATATATTGGTATATTATATTGACAAATACAGAATTTGCATTGTCAGACGTCTTAGAAGTGACAGGTCCTGTCACACATTGAGTTTTACTTTTAAGAATACAGAGTGCTTGGAAAAATAAATAATTTTATTTTACAAAAATTGTATAAAATGCACAGTTACAAAAAAATAATCCAGACAAAAATTGTCTTCTTAAATACAGTTCTTCCTATGAGAAAGGACATAGATCAGCTTAACATAAGCACATAAATGAGGTAACTCCTTGTTGAAGCTTATTACGACCAAGCAGAAATGGGTCATCACATACTGCTGCTCTGGTTACATGAAGCCTGTCAAAAAAAAAAAAGGAATTAAGAATATGTTCTAAAAAGGTTTGCGAGCATACAGGTATTTGATAGCTGAGATTAGTGTGAAGCATTTACAGCATACAAACTGATTCTTAACAGAGGAAGACTATTAACATCAAAGTGTGTGGTTAAACTTTTAGGAGGGAATTTAGCAATTGAGTGTTTGTTTCTTAAAGTAGTATTGAAATATACCAGTATATAAGAAACCGACTGGAGGGAGGATGAACTGAGGGACTGTGCTGCCATTGGCTGTATTGTGCCAACGTGCTGTGAGCAGTGGCGTCAATGCCAAATTTACACAAATCTGAGTTAGTTCTGGGCTGTCTAATAACACTACCAGAGGTGAAGTTACATGGCTAAGTGATTAACCACTGTATATTCATTGTTTTATAGCAAAACACTGCACATACAGACTCCAGGCACCAGGACTACTCCAAATAGCATAAGTGGTCTTGCTTGGAGTAACACTTTTACCTTGGTACAACCCCCAGCTGTCCGTTACTTCCTTGTTTGTTTAGTGCAGTGGAGCTATACTTAAGAAACCAGCAATTACCCAGAGAATGTTTACTGAGCTGCATTGGAAAGTCTGTGATTGGTCTTGGCTGAGGAAGGAGATGGCTAACAAGGTTGCAGACCAGAGATGTACAGCTTTCCCCAGTGAAAAAATGGATGATTAAATGCATGCATGCATGTTTTCATTGGGGGTTTATACCGAACAGTGACTCTCATATTGGGGGAGGGGATGCAGTGGAGTGTATTTTTAAGACGCTGAACAGATTATGCAGTGCAGCATACCGAGTAAACAAAATGTACATACAAACTAACATTTAAATATAAAACAGTAAATATTAAAGAGAAAAGGATATCCAAATACATCAGATATAAGCTAAGGTAATCCAACTAGTAAAGCTGATTTTATAAATAAAAATAAACACCTTGCAGAATTAACATAAAAATAGATTACACTCCTAACTCACCATCAGATCTCCTTCTCTTCCCGTAAGCTACTGAAAGGCATTGTTGGCCTCGCTTCATTACAGCAGTTGGGTTCTTCATTTCCTGTAGTGAGGATTGCGCTTGTGAAGATGTATTTTGGGTATGTCTAACTGTTGCAAGATATTTTGCGCATTCCAAAAATCCTGCAGAAATAGCAAGGTCTTCAGGGGTATATCCCTCTTTATTGCTTATGCTAGAAAACAAACGAAAATGCAGAAGTTTAATGAAAGTCTTACTTCTCCCCTCAGAATTTCATAAACAAGCACTGCATGTTACTCTAATGTAATTAAATAAACACTTACTCTATTCTGGCGAAATGGGCTACCAGAAGACTTAGACATTCCAAGCTTCCTGATCGGGCTGCTTTATGGATTGGTGCTTCACCAAAACAATCCTGTAAAAGTACAAAATAGTTTGTAAAATGTGAGACAAAATTTCATATATAATATGACAAATTGGATATTAGAAAATAGTTTAAAACAATTATTTGTAAAATTGTAATGTAGGACTGGACCCAGAGGTAGAATATTTATGCTAAATCAAGAATAACATTAAGCATTACCTGTCTGTACAGATATTCTGTTGGATAATACTTTACACAGAAAAGAACGTATTAATGTAAATAGTTAATGTAACGTTTTGCATTATACCTGCTGATTGATGTCAACCCCAGTCTGTAGTTGCCAAAGCAGGAAAAAGGCTTCTCCTCCACCAGCAGCGAGATGCACAGGAGACTGTCCTACAGTGTCAGCAGGAAGATTCACTTCAGAGCCGGATTCCATTAGTTGGCTCAGACCGTCACACTGAAAATAGAACACATCCAACAGTTTTATAAAATGCAATGTTTATGAATAGAATGTACTGTATAATATATATTCAGTAAGATTGGGATAGTTTTGCCTTTAAATTATTTGATTTAACTTTGCACTTAATTAAAATGCGAATTACAATACACAATTAAAGAACATTGGCAAAATGATTTTCCTTTGTTTACCACAAGCACTACAAAACAGCAACTAAAACGTTTAAATGAGAAATGAAATGACTAAATCTGCTATATTTAAAGGAATAGGAAAATGCAATAACCATGAAATATTTACAGTAAAATGGCACAGTGTATTGCTACAATAATAAAACTTGACTATAAATATTGTATGCGTGTTCTGCATGTTTAAAGGTTTCCTTTTCTCCATTCATATTTTATACATTAAGGAAAGCAATAAGACATGAAGTAAAATAAATGTCTTCAGAGAAGACTTGGACATGAACACTATTTTTCCCAGCAGACAGTTAAAGGGGATCCAATTCGAAGCAGTCTCACCTCAGAGTTCCACTGTAACAGCATCCTGTTATCCCAACGTTCTGTCAACTTTCTGATTCCGATTCCCAGCGTTCGAAAACATAAACTGCGGCCTGGCCACGCCCCGCCGCACGTACTCAAACAACGAGCACATGGCGAAACCACATCTGCATAACCCATAATGCAACCGCCCCATTGGCTGATGGCCAACATCTCCCCGCCCACTCACACAGCATTGGCTTTAGCGAGGCCTGGGCGTGACAGGCGGTGTTGTGGTCACGTAGTCCCAGGCTGTGAATGCCTGGCTGACATGCAGGCTGCGGTGAGCAGGCACGTAGACCGTCTTGGGCTTGTCAGAGGGATCATGGAGAGATGAATGGAGGGGGAGGGGAACTAGTGGCTTACAACAGGATACTGCTACGTGCACGTATTATAACAAGGAAGCACAATAAAGAGGAAACGGTTGAAGGGTTAATTTTCTTTTGATGGGGTTAGTCACGTTCACACGTGTCAGCATTGTTATCAGGAAGCTAACCTAGGTTAATGTAGGATTATTTATAGTATTGTTTTTTGGGAAACATCTCACTATAAAATATTTAATGTTGTGTGAAAGATAAATTAAATAATAGTTTGGGGGGGTATATAAGATTAATGCTGACAGAATATTGCCACAACTCTAATAAATTACATTTATGCTGTCAAACCATAAGTGCTATAAATAATTTGCTCATCCACAGAGCATTATAGCACACTATTGGTATTGGCTTTATTCATAAACATCGAATTGCATTTTTCCTGAATATTGTCATTCAAATGTCAGATTTAGATTTTTTTTTTTTTTTTCTTCTTTTTCTCCAAATCCGTTATAGTCACAGCTTGGAAATTCTGCATACGTTTTACTATTTGGATTTGTAGTTTAGAGAACCGAGTACACTGGTTTTCACGCCTTTTTGACTCAAACCGAACGCGTGCAAGGTGCTAAGCTCAATGTACAGTGCAAGAGAATTTTTTTTTAATAAATTCTTTATTTTTCATGTGCTCAGCTTAACAGGCGCGGAGAGCCATGACAGCGTCTGCGCACATTTTCATAACATAACAGTGTAGACAGCACACTTTTTTATATATATATATATATATATATATATATATGACATGAGGAATACAGGTAGTTAAACATAAAGAGAGTATAGTTTAGCATGCTAGACTGAACGTATGATTAATATTCATGTTGCGCGTCATTAATTATTTATGCAAGCTTATTAAACAATACATTAAAGCTAAAGTAGATTAACAGTTAACGCTTTCTGCAATGACATCTGGGGAGTTAATATTGCTGGAGTCTGAGAGACAGGCCTGCACTCAATGCTATCACTAAAGAAAACACCTGAAGCCCCCTGTGGCATTAATCCAGCAAATGCTTTACAGCGTTGCAGGGAATCAATGCCAAGTAAAGACTGTGTTATTTAAGATAGAGGCAAAAGTCTGATGCAGGATAGCTGTCGTTCTTCATGCTAGGACAGAGCTCTCCGATTACTAGTTGTCATCAGCATAACAGGGGCATTTAAGTTTGATAAGGGCTTTATGCTAACAATGCCAACCATCCAGGCTGGGGAAAATTCACTTCGGTCAAGTAAAATACATATATTAAATACAAGGCAGTAATAGATTAGTGAGTAATAGGTTAGATGTAGCTTGCAGGTTTTAACAGGATTCTCCAGTGCCTGTGAACGGGTAAGCTTTTGTAGCCTCTGGTCAATGGGAGAGAGAGTCTCTGCCTGGTTAGCAGGGTTGCCGGCTGTGGGCATTGCCCTGCAACAGTCCACTCTGCCTTAACCAATGCCTTTCCTGGAGGCCCTGTCTGTGTACCTTGGACGGCGACTCGGTTTTCTGGGCTGTGTTTCCGCCATCCCTCTCCTCGAGTGCAAGGACCCTGTTGTCGGGCTTGTTTGCTCGTTTGGGATGCTGGTGGCGATCTGGGTGTGATCTGCTATTGGTTGCCTGGTGTTCACTTGCCCACGCTGTTGGGTACCACCTAGGTGGGCTTTCCAGCTCTTTACGTGTCTCAGTTTGTTTTGAGGCGTTGCTTTTGCAGCCTGGCATGTTTGCAGTGGTTTTCTCTTCGGCGGGAAGCGGAGCCTTCCGCGTCGCCATTTTCTGGCACGCTTTTGTAGGTGCGGAGCTTGTTTGAGGTGGGTTCGGGGAGGCTATGCCAGCGGTAGTTTCCTAGCTGGGTCGCTTGTAGCGGCTTGTCTCTCCCTGATTTTCCTCCAGAAAGCCTTGAAAAGTGCGTTGATTCGCTCTAGAGTTTCTGTTAACTGTGTGGAGCCTCGGGTAAGTGAGGCAGTATTGTCTGCCATTTTGGAGGCCCCAACTCCCGCCTTGGGGGGGGAAGGGGAGTGTTTCAGTGTCGCTTGCGGCTGTTTGCACTCGGCGGGGAAGCGGCAGTCTTCCCTCGCCACCTCCCATGCTGCCGTTTTGGTGTCCGCTCTTCCCGGTTGTCAGGTTTAGTCTCATCAGTCTCCGCCCCCAAGAAATTATTTTTAAATTATAAACTGCATGCTCAAGGTGAAAAAAGCTTAAAGCACTAAAGTTTGTTATACAGAATATATAACACATAGTATATACTTATTCTGCGTTTGTAAAGTACCATGCAACGTAAAAAATGGAAAACGTTACAGTGTAGATTATACAACCAATCACAAATACTTATATTGTCCAGTGCAAACCCAATGTACCACAGATGAACTCCTGAACCAGGGGGTCATGTGGTCTAATTTAATGCTGTTCTTGGGAGAGAGAGATATTCCCATTTTTCGCACTTCCAAAGATGATATCCAAAAGTAAAAAAAGGAGAAAACCAAAATAAAAATCCAAACACTTTATAAAGTTCAATAGTTGTATACAATAATTAAAATCCTTACTTAAAGTATGATTTCTTAAGTCTAAGAGACTCACAAAACGCGTTTTTACTCTGGGACTCCGGATTACGTCCAGCTTTGTTGCCTATAGCATGAGCAAAGCTATTTTGCATATTTCATACTACATAGCTGAACTGGAACAAAAAAGTCAATTTGAGTAAATGTTCCAAAATCCTGCACAACATTTTATAGCAACATTTTGAAATTCCCACGTCAATTTGTCATCATTTTATTACTTCTGGAATAAACCACTAAATGTTTGGTCGTTGATTAAACGCAAGACAGGCAGAATGTATGTCTAAAGAATTTTCTATGGCTTTTAATTCTGCTGAAGAAAAAAAATTTTAGGTTTCAGTGTTTGTGTTACCACAGGGCTTGACAAATTTGCTTTAAATCTAGGAGCCAACTAAAACAGTAAGAAGCCCGTATTTTTTATTTTTTTATTTTAAACTAACAAAGCTTCATTTCCAATGACAAAATAAAAAAAATGAATTTACACATAAAGAAGATTAGAACCAAAACATCATTGGCATTTAACTTATGCATATAATGAATATATTCTGATGTGACACCCCAGACATTTTATGCAATGCATCAGTTTTTCTATTTGACTTTTTTTGTGGCCATGAGCATACCTTGTATTTTTGAATTAAAGTACCAATACTCACTGGCAGACACACACACTCACTGATTTCACACACATTGACAGAAACAGGCACACACATACACACATCTACTCACAAATTATTGTTTTATTTTAATTTACATCCACCCAGCTTCCCTTCATTTGGGAGAGCTGGAGTGGATTCTTTCTGTGGGGTCCATTGGAGCTCCTATGATCCTGTAATCTTAAAGCTCTGCTCCCTCGCGTGTCATTCACTGATGCCTGAGTGACCTCACATGGCGGCATCAGAAAGTACAAGGGATTAGAGCAAGAAGATTATAACTCCATCGACCCCCGCCTCAATTGCTCACAGCTGCCTGGATTGGGGGGCTATTTGGTGGTCTACCGACCACTGGCTAGCTCTTGGACCCCCATGACAGGAGAAACACAGAGGGCCCCGTCACACTCGCGACCCCTGTAGTTCTGCCACGCTACGTTAAGACACGTGCATCGGCACAAAGAGTGTTGAACGGACTGACAAACATTCAGGCGTCAGGACAAAATTCCTAGTCGACCTGGCGCCTGGGATTTGTCAAACCCTGTGTGAACATTACATTAATTTCTCCCCGTAGAGAAGCATTGGATTGTAGCGATTGCCGCCCATGCACTATATTGTCTGTGTTTGATTGTTGATCTCACAGCAGACAGATCTGGCCAGCGATAGGAGACTGTTGGCACTGGTTCACAGGTAAAATAATTGCATTTTTTTTTTCTTTTTTAAAAGGGAAATCACAACCTCAGGGTTCTAATGAACACATCAGACTTAAAATATTTTTTAAGTTAGAGTGAACCTTTAATAATTATTCTTTACACACATTATAGTGTGCTGAGATACATAGCTTATTTACTAAGCTCCAACCTGCAAAGATCAATGCCCACAAGGATGATCCTGCAACACATGAAAGTAAATGTTTGAAATATCACAACTGGATTTACACATTAGACACAACCATTACTAATATAAAAAGTCTTGTTTTGGGGGTGTGGGGGGAGGATTTACAATAATTACATTTTTAAGTACAACCAAAAGGCCCCAGACATACCCGAATTTCCAAAAGAACTAAATTCATTCAAAAACAAACTGAACATATTCCACAACATATAACATAATAAGTGAGAGCTTTAAATCTACAAGTTTGAAATTAGCCCAAAGAAGTAAAGTTACATTTGACTATTATGAGATCAGATGACCACAGTAGGATTTAGCACACATTGACAACATAACAAGCGTGCAATTTTTCAATTTCACCAAAAGGAGCAAAGTGTACTAGTGGCAAGTCACATTCCTCAGAGCTCCATGTGATCCAAATCTTTAACATCAGATTTAAAGTATATTTATTTAATTAGACCGTGGTTTACCAAGAAGAATACGCAACATAAATAATATTTAAACAGTAAAAAAAATCTAAGAATTTAGGAAGGCATAAGTATGAAATGGGAATATGCAGATTTACTCCTACTCTGCCTTTTTATAAACTGTATTGTGAACTTACACTCCTTAGAAGCATAATTTGCAATATGACTTGTGTATAAGGAGCAGTTCTGGGGAAATATTCTCAAAGTGAATCAACCATAAATTGCATTCCATTGGTTCCATGGTGATTGTTGCAATGTTAAGCCTATTCCAGAATGGTTTATCCATAAACATAAAGTTTAACGGGTTTTCATGAATTGCGCTTTGAATTATCCATATGGTAATGATAAAAATACCAAAACTAAACAAGAGATTACCCATTATTAGAGCTGTTTAGAGTGCTTGTTTGGTTTAGATATTTACATGCAGTCACAGTGATGGAAATGACCAGCAATGAATCATTCCAGATAATGATGTACTTAGTCTCAAACATAGCTCCATTGTGATTGATCACAGGTGTTCTTCCATCTTTTAACCCTTTCACTACCATGTGATTTGGAAAAAATCACAATCAGTTGACTCCGTGAAACAATGCTGGGCGACCTCAGGCTTTGATGTCCAGCTCCCTCAAATCCCTATAGGAAAGCACTGAATCAATGCTTTCCTTTCAGGAAGGCATAATGCAAGTGTTGCACTTGCTGTGCATGCGCATTTGGTTTCCCCTCGGCGTCCAGCACAGGAGGAGGAGACCTAATCAATCACGAAGGACTTTGGTGCTGTAATAATTTAAGTGTGTAAAGGTTTTTTTTTTTTAACCCTTTATTTGTCGGAGGGCGGGGAGAGAGTGAAGGGGCAGAGGAACACTTTGTGTTCCTAACACTAAAGTTTTCCTTTAACATTTGCCTACATTTCCTACACAGCAATGGGATATACAAGAGCACTCTGCACACAGAGAAAATGTGTACCGCACAATGGGAGATCATATTCACAAGCAGCTCTACCAGAGTGCTATACGCAGCGGGATTAGGTCTCTGTCACAGGGCTCTTTATTCACTAAACACTGAAAACCAATTGCAACATTTAGGCAAAGAGAATTTATAGAGAAAACATTTCCAACGCAACCATAGGGATAATCTGGTAATTGTAGCCTACATTTTGCAATTCAGTTTTCAATTCACTGCAAATTTGTGTCTAGTAAATAAAATTCAGACAACTGTTCTCTTTGCTTGGCTGCTGCTGGAGAGCTAGATTGCCTGATTTCATCACAGATGTCCCTCAGCGCTGGGTCGTGCTCCTCCAATGGGGGGAGACTAACGTGCAAGCTCGGTGAGCATTGACTCAATGCTTTCCTATGGGATTTTTCAACATACTGGACATCCTCATGCAAAGTGTGAGAACGTCCAGCATCGTTTCAAGGAGATAAACTCTGTGAAACTGCAGGACGGACTTCAAGTGCAGTCTTAATCCTGCAATGTAAATATTGCAGTTTCTCCAAAACTGCAGTGTTTTACATTAAAGGGTTAAGAGGGCAGTGACACTACACATAGACCCCTTCAATGAGATGAAGAGGTCTCTGTGCCTATAATGTTCCTTTAAGAAACCAGGCTCACCATGCAATTATTAATAGACTACCTAGGTAGTGGGTGTACATTTTTGTAATATTAATGTATGCTTGTAAGTAATCAAAAGCTCTAACACTAATTGAGAAATATGTGAGGAATTGGGGTATATTGCTTTATAAATAATATATTAACAAGCACAACCACCGCTGTGTATTAATGTGCAGGCTGAAGAAAGTGTGAAACCCCTTCCCGACCGCAGACGGACATTTTCCGTAAACCTTGTTCTTCAGTTAAGGACCTTTTGATGGAACATTTCTGTCATTTACTAAAGTTAACCCCAGATCGCCGCGATCGCGGGGTTAACGGTGCTCCAGTCTGCCTCTGTATTAGAGGCAGATCGGGAGCACCGGTGCTCGCTCTGACAGGCTGTCAGAGCAAGCACATGTGCTGTATATACTTACCTTCCGCCTCCCTGCACTTCCGGGTTCTGTGTGAAGTGCAGGAAGACTGATCAGTGCTGCTGATCTTCTCCCTGTCTAAAAAATAAATAAAATAAAGTTAAATCCCACCCCCCCTTTCCCCTGCTTTAATAAAATGAACCCCTTCCCTGCCAATTGATCACTGACTACAGTGATCAATTGGCAGGGTATACATTTTAACCCCTTAAGGACTGGACTGTTTTTGCGATGTTGTACATTTGCGACCAGGAATATTTTTACACTTTTCTGGTGTTTGTGTTTAGCTGTAATTTTCCGCTCTCTCATTTACTGTTCCCATACAAATTATATATTGTTTTTTTCAGGACAAAAGGGGCTTTCTTTACATACCATTATTTATATAATCTCATGTATTTTAATTTTAAAAAAATAAAAAAAATGATGAAAAATTGAAAAAAATACATGTTTTTTGACTTTTACTTGAAAAATCTTTTACTCATCTACAAAAGCGAATGAAAAAAACAGCTAAATAGATTCAAAATTTTGTCCTGAGTTTAAAAATACCCAGTGTTTACGTGCTTTTTTTTTTTTTGCAAGTTATAGGGCTATAGGTACAAGTAGGATATGGCGGTTTCAAAACAAACATTTTTAAAATGTATCAATAGTGACATTGTAACACTATTATCTGTCATAAATCTCTTGAAAACACTCCACATGTATATATTTTTTTTAAAGTAGACAACCCAGGGTATTCATCTAAGGATATTTTGACACCTTCTATGCAGCCATTTTACCACAAGTCTTTGCCAAACTTTACATAGATAGTTGTTTTGGTTTTTTTTTTCACATACATTGCAATTCAGGTATAAACTTACAGATCCTGTTATGTCTTGCTGCCAAAAAACACACTAATATATGTTCAGCAATATCTCCCGAGTACAGTGATACCACTCATGCATAGGCTTGTCGGATTGTTTGGGGGCTAAAAGGCCACATTTGGCAGGTGCGCATATCCATTTTTCAACTTGGAATTTTGACATGTAGTCAACCTGCGCACATGTCCTATTTGGGACATTTGTAAGGCCGGCCAATGTATTTTACCCCCACCAAACCATATATTTTTGGAAAGTAGACACCCTAGGGTATTTCAAATGGTGGTTTTTTAACACTTTCCATGCACTAATTCTACCACCAGACTTTGTCAAACATTTAGGTAGTCATTTTTTGTGTGTTTTATTTCACACACATTGTACTTTAGGCATGAATTAACAAATCGTGTTATGTGTCATTGCCAAACAACATGCCAATATGTGTTCAGCAACATCTCCTGAGTACAGTGATACCACCCATGCATAGGCTTGTCGGATTGTTTGGGGGCTAAAAGGCCACATTTGGCAGGTGCGCATATCCATTTTTCAACTTGGAATTTTGACATGTAGTCAACCTGCGCACATGTCCTATTTGGGACATTTGTAAGGCCGGCCAATGTATTTTACCCCCACCAAACCATATATTTTTGGAAAGTAGACACCCTAGGGTATTTCAAATGGTGGTTTTTTAACACTTTCCATGCACTAATTCTACCACCAGACTTTGTCAAACATTTAGGTAGTCATTTTTTGTGTGTTTTTTTTCACACACATTGTACTTTAGGCATGAATTAACAAATAGTGTTATGTGTCACTGCCAAACAACACGCCAATATGTGTTCAGCAACATCTCCTGAGTACAGTGATACCACCCATGCATAGGCTTGTCAGATTGTTTGGGGGCTAAAAGGCCACATTTGGCAGGTGCGCATATCCATTTTTCAACTTGGAATTTTGACATGTAGTCACCCAGCACCCCTGTCCTATTTGGGCCAATGTATTTTACCCCCATCAAACCATATATTTTTGAAAAGTAGACAACTCAGGGTATTTTAAATGGTGGTAGTTTAATACTTTTCATGCAATAATTCTACCACCAGCCTTTGGCAAACATTTGGGTAGTAATTTTCTTCATGTTTTTTACACATACATTGTACTTTAGGCATGAATTAACAGATCCTGTTATGTATCACTGCCAAACAACACCCCAATATGTGTTCAGCAACATCTCCTGAGTACAGTGACATCACCCATGCATAGGTTTGCTGGGTTGTTTGGGGGCTAAAAGGCCATATTCAAGACTTGTACATATCAGTTTTTCAACTTGATATATAGGTATGCTTGGCCTATCTTCAGTTTGGCATATTTTTGCATCCCCCCGTTAATGTTAACATCATGAAAGTTTATATTTTTATAAAGTAGACATTCCAGAGTATTGTATATGAGGTGTTTTCACATCCTTCCCCCAACCATTGTGCTAAACAAATTTCAGAGAACGTGCATGGTGGTAATTTTTTAATTCTGCTTTTTATGCACACGTCATCTGGTTTTGGCCAGCCAGTTATATGTTACTACCATAAAACTTTTTTAACCAAATGTGCAGGTATCAAATGCACCTTTAGCAGCATTCTCTAAACTAACTCCTGCAAAAAAGAATCTAATTGGAGATTTGGGGGGAAGGAAACTGACTAACTAAAATTTGCTGCTTTCAAAAGAAAAAAAAACAGTGCAAAGGGGTGTCTGTCCTTTTCCTTTTTTATAACAGACCCAGCAACATTTCAGGGGATTTTTTTTTTTTTTTGCAGTTGGCGGTATCTTAAAAATAAAATGTCTGGACTCCTTTGGCACCGTTGTTGGAACTTGACCATCTCCATAAATTATTGTGGAAATCAGCTTGAACTAAAATTGGAGAAATGTGGTTCTTTCTGGATTCATTTTTTTTTTTTTTAAAGAGTAAAAATTTATTATGTGTTGCTACTTGCATCAGGTAGATAGCCACCTTTTTATACCAGGCTTTTGTCTTTCTTAAGATAAGATATGGCTGCATCAGCTGATCAGCCAAATCAACACCCCCATGTGCATTTTATAAGCCCTGATGCAAACAGGTTTGGTCTGTACTCTGCCTCGGACAGTGACGTCTGACATGCTTTCGTCATGGATGGTGGTTAGTATATTAACATCCTTCCTGTCCTTAAATTTTATTGCAAGCACTTTAGCTTTGTGCAGACCTTTACATTCACTTTTTTTATTTGGCCTCTATAAAAGGTCTGGGGAAATCCTTGGCATATCTTCTCACACTGCCACAGGCCAGTATCTAGAAACCCTTACGAGTTTGAAACAAACGGACAATGCTATAAAAATTGTCCACATAAAGGTGGTAACCCTTATTGAACAATGGGATCAGTAAGTCAAAAACAAGTTTCCCGCTTGTCCCCAAAGAGTCAGTACAGCCAGGAGGGTCCAGTATATACGAAAGACAAATGTATAGCCACTTTCGCTCTTGCATAGTTTGTAGAATTTTACGCCATACCTAAAGCGCTTTGAGAGGATGTATTGTTTGAATCCTAATCTCCCTTTATATTTCATTAACGATTCATCAATAGATACATTTTTTTGAGGAGTATAAACTTCAGTAAATTTGTGCTGAAGATGGTCTACCAGTGGGTGTATTTTATGAAGCCTATCATATTGGGTGTGATCTCTGGGGTGACAGAGGGTATTGTCATTGAAATGTAAGTATCTCAGCAGCAGCTCAAATCTTGTTCTAGACATGGTTTGAGAGTACACTCGACTAGAACAGATTGGGTTGGTGCTCCAGTAAGAGCAAATTGATGGCTTCTTTATAATCCCCATGAGAATTGTAAGAGCCCAGAATTTTTTAAGTTCAGCGACATCTGTGGGATGCCAAGCACACTCCTCCCTGACTGCATAGCTATCTGGATTGGTATCAATAAATTGGGTAGCATATAAATTAGTCTGGGGAGCAATCTCCTCCCACATGGTATCCCCTAAAAATAGCTCCATATATTGCATAGGGGAGAAGTCATCCACATTGACATTGTTGTAGTTGATTTACTGCAAACCAATTAGTTTGAATGACTATCTGTTCCTGTCCAAATTAAAGATAATAAAGTTGTGTGCACGCAGAAGTAAATTCACACTGAGACACAGAGTTCAGGTTAATGAAAGAACTTCGGAGAAGTTTAATGGCTTCTGAATAAAAAGCAGGCTCGCAGGCCCTTTTAAAGGCATTATTACATCATTGAAGAAAATCAAGATATAGACATTGTTAATTGGCTTAGGTGCTAAGTAGTTAGAAAAATGCCCTCCCTATGGGGTGTACCATCCTAGGTCACTATCTTCGTCATGATTATCTCCTCCAGGTTTTAGCGCCATTTTGCTAACATGAGGAGCTCACTCGACGGGAGGGGCCTTTTGGCAGCTATCCATTTAGAGTGTAGCTGGCACTGTTAGTTTCTCAAGGTTAGGTTTCAAGGCTTTTAGTAAATACACATTTTATCAAAGCTATTTCTTGCTGACATGCAAATTCTATGTTCTATAGACAAAGCTTTCTTGTAAAACTATGGATCCTCTTAGAGGTATAGCAAGAGGATTTAAAGGGGCCTTACAGATTTATAGAGGCCTAATAATTCTACAACAGTCCCCCCTTAAAATGTTATTTGCTAAAAGACAAAACTTTATTTGTTAGTATCAGAAGATGTGTTAGCCCAAAGACACAGAAACCCCATGACCGCTGACTTAGTGTTAATGCAAAGTGCAAGTCTATCCCTCTCTTGACCCTAACAGGCTGCAGCACATCCGTCAGTACGGTTCAGGAACACTCTTCACTCCGCTGGTAACCCATAGTGGCTTATCCACTACTTCTCCATACGGCAGTCTACCCATAAAGACGGACGCTGTCCCTGTACTGTCCCTTCCTAGACTTTCTGCACTTCATCAGTATAAGGGAGAGTTTGTAGCGGAATACAGGGTGAGGTGAGATCTTGATCATCGATTGTCAGATGAGTGAAGGTTGGTGTTGCTTGGTCTACAGTTTTCTGCAGGAATTTCCTTAGGCATGGGAGGACACAACAAATGAGAAGAGCGAGAATAAAAAGAAAAATTAGTAAGGCAATACCAATCTGGACTAAAGCTCTCTGCCAACCAGTCATCCAACCAAACCATTTTTCCCAGGGATCAGTAACTCCAGAGTTTCTCTTTAACTCTTCTGAGAGTCTATTTAATTTAGCTATGGCCAGAGTGACTTTACCATTAGGACCTGTGTTTTCTGGAATGTAAGTGCAACAAGTCATAGTGTCGGGAAGTATTTTACAGACCCCCCCTTTTTCGGCTAAGATCATGTCTAAGGCCAGTCTGTTCTGGAAGGTCATTTGGGATGTGGCCTGTAATTGCTCGGCCAAGCCCTGGAGGGCATCCCTGGTGTAGTTCATGAAGCGCTGTTGGTTGTAATAGATATAATTAATCCAATTAAGGTTTTTGTTGGCAGTGACTATAGTGAACAGTGATTCAAAACCTACAGCTACTTCATCTCTAGCTTTAAATTCATTAGGCACCCCCCTAGGTACCCTAATGGCATCTATGTAAATGTGGGGGTCAAAACTGCCTTTTACTGGGGTTTCGCGCCTCACTCTGGCTGGTGTATGTGGAGGGTCGTATGTGTCATGATGATTATCAGAAATAATATGAATGGGCATGATAACTTTGGCTAGAGTACACTCACCCCACCACTCAGTTTCCAGCCTAGATCTTAACTGTAGATCCCCACATAACCAGTAAATATCCCCCAATGACCTGGTATGGTGTTGCAACAGGCGTATAGGAACAGTTCTGTAAGTGGCGCAATAACCTTTAGAAAAATTACCCATGAATTTACCAATCCCGTCATACATGGCATAACAAGTGTAATTACCTCTATAGACTGTGATTCCATCTGGTGGCTTAACATTTTCAACTAAGAGAGGGTATTCTGCCGTCCATGCCATGCAGAGGGATCTGTTGAAATTATAGCGGTAGGCAAAAAGACTAAGGAAGCAAGTCTCTATCTCCAAAGGGAGAGTTAGAGGAACGGTGCCAAGATGAGGTCGAGCACCACTGCACACATAGCATGCGGTTTTGTTATGTTTATTAGCATTATATTTCATCCACTCTAACCACAAATTAATGTCATTGAATCCAGTTTCAGCGGCCATGGTATCTTCAAAAGTGGGGTTAGCGATGGCCATCATATCTTTAAAGGACTGGATATGTGGTTTTAGCGGATTTGGGACCATATGATCAGCCCCTTGCTACTCTGGAGAGTGGTACATATCTCTGAGGTAGAAATGACCTAATTTGTTGTAGGAACCTTTCTTCCAATACATTCCCATTACATATCGGTCTGCATCCTCGGGGCCAGGATGTTCAATGTTTAACATTAATTTCATAGGGGTACTTCCTCCAGGCTTTCTTAAAGTCATTCTTTGAAGGAGGGATCTACCCTGATTGTCTATCTTAGATAAAGCACTTTTGGGTTTATAACCCCAGGCAGGCCCAGTATTCCATCCCGCAGCCCCCCAGTAGTTACAGTCATAACCCCATTGTTCATCTACTACACAAACGTAAGGGTCTTTTGCTTGTGGTATATCTTTATAAATGGCTTGAATCTGTGACTTAGGGAATGGGCATTCTACAATATCACAGTAATCAAAGGTGAATGTAGCCACGTGGGTACATGATGAATTATACCAGAAAGTGTACCCACTAGCATCTTTGGTAATGGCCACTTGTTGGGCCTCAAGGAAACTAATCAAAGGCATGATGTACCAGAGGTACATGGTTGTGAGGAGTCTGCTTCCTCTGGGACAGGAACCTTTTTGCAATGGGAGGCGTGTATCCAGTTGCTTTTCCCAGCCAACTTGAATGAGGTGGAGGTGATCAGTAGAACTTGGAATGGTCCGTCAAATCTTGGTTCCAGGGTGTGTTTCCGCACAAATTTCTTGACTAGGACCCAATCACCAGGGAGCAGACTGTGGTTGACCGTATCAGAATCAGGATCTGGAATTGAAGAGAAAACTTGGGCATGGATTTTGTTTAAAGCATTTGCAAGTTCAGTTACATAGTTTACTAAAACATCAGTATGAAGTTGTAATTGCTGGGGAAAATAGCAACCTAGCCTAGGTGCAGTCCCAAATAGAATCTCATATGGGGACAGTGAGGTAGTATTTTTGTACAAGAGCATTCATTAGATCCTTTGATAAATGTGCAGGTCCGTGTGCCCATTGTACGACTGCTGGGTACAAATTCTTAGGGAGGCAGAACTTGAGGTTGTTGGAGTACACTCCATCCTTCAGAACTGCCCCTTTCTGTTTCCATCTTTGTATTTCTTCAGGAGCAACTGTAGCCTGTTGTTCCCGCAGGATTTTCAGGTCAGTTGGAAGAGTCTGCAGAGTAAATATGGGAGTTTCTTCATTTCCGGACACTCTTCTTTCCACTTCCTGTGGTTCTCTTGCAGCTTGTTTTGCAGCCTGATCAGCTAGATGGTTGCCCTTTGCTTCATCTGAGTCCAACTTCCCATGTGTTTTTATCTTCAAAATAGCCACTTCTTCTGGGAGTAGGAGGGCGTCCATCAGCTCCTTGATTGCGGAACCGTGCTTGATTGGTGTACCGGCGGTGGTAAGAAATCCTCTTGTTTTCCAAATTAATCCGAAGTCGTGAGCCACGCCCAGTGCATATCTTGAATCCGTGTAGATATTGGCGCGCTTTCCTTCAGAGATCTTGCATGCTGAAGTCAGGGCTTGCAATTCAGCTTCTTGTGCAGACATAGTTGATGGTAAAGATGATGATTTGACAATTTCATCTGTTGTGGTTACGGCATATCCTGTATGGTATCTTCCTTCTTCATCAGCATATCTTGAGCCGTCCACAAACAGGGTGAGATCGGGATCTACCAATGGGTCTTCATGCACAGTTGGTAGATGTGTTGTTTCCATTTTCATCTGTTCAAAACAGTCATGAGGTGTATTTGGGTCGTAGTCATTCACTATGGTTAAATCTTGGAACTCATTTTCCAGGAAATGACGTGGCCATGCCTTTAGGTGGTCAGTTGTTGGATATTTGACAACACCATTTTCCTGTAGCTGTGATTCGTCCATAGTGGCCCATGCTTTTGCCATAGGCCCAAGATCATTCCATGATATTGTTTTCAACTTGGTCACAGGGACATGTGGAATGGCAGTGTCCCAATGACGGTACAAATACTTGAGTTCCGGAGGTAGATGAATCAGGACCGTACTGTTGCCTTCAGAATCACAGTAGAAGTCTTGTGCAGTGAGTTTTACTTCGACCAGATGATAGAGTTCATCTTCATAGCAGGGTTCAGGAGTGATGTTTGGTTTGTACCACATGGTACAGAAGGCATATCCTGCTCCATCATGAAGGAGTGCTTGTCCATCATGAAAGGATAGGTTGGGATGCATTTCCTTCTTGATGGTGCCAGTGAGAAGAAAAACATAAGTTTCGTCCATGATGAATCCGTAGTATACACCCCCCTCAGGGAGTGGCAGAAGAGTGGACGGATTGAGAACTTGACATCTTTGAAGGGTAATGTTGTCAGGCAACAAAAGATGACATTGAAGGCGAAGATGCCTAGCAGGAGTAACATGCTTAAGTTGGACCTGGTTGACTATGGCAGAAATGTCATGAGGGGCCAAGGACAAGATCTCCAGTTCTTTCAATGAGCTCTTTGGCAGCAAAGACGGCCCGAAGGCAAGTGGGACGTCCTCTGGCCACAATATCCAGTTGGCAGGAGAAAAATCCAATAGGCTTTTGGCGGCCTCCAGGACCATGGGCCTGAGTGAGTACTCCTGTTGCATGGCCTGGTCTTTCAGAAACAAACAATTTGAAGGGTTTGGTATAGTCTGGTAGGCCAAGAGCAGGAGCAGAAGCAATAGCACGTTTAAGAGTACAGAAGTTGTCAAGGGCTTCTGTGGACAAGCAAAATGGGTCTGACTTGAGAGCATCATAGAGAGGTTGCATAAGGAGTGAGGCTTCTGGGATCCATGCTCGGCAATAGGAAATGAGGCCTAGGAAGGCGTGTAGTGACTTTGAGGTCCTTGGAGGTGGAATGTCCAGTACTGCTCTAACTCGGTCACGAGTGAGATGTCTGGTTCCCTGAGACAGACAATGGCCAAGGAAGATAACAGTAGGTTGGCAGAATTGTAGCTTGAGACGTGAAGCTTTACATCCTTGTTCTGCTAGATAGTAAAGAAGATTAATTGAGCATTGTTCTGTTGTGGGTAGATCATCTCCACAGTAAAATGGGAAGGGAACAAAGAACTGTAGTGTCTTTTCGTGACAAAGGTGTATTTAATTGAACCTGGCCGTCTGCAGTGAGGGTGATGGATGCTTGGAGGCGGGATAGGACATCAGCACCAACACAAGAGACATCGGTGTCAGGCAGGAACGATGAGTCAGGCAGGTCTTGTTCTCTAAGAACACTGCGGGCTGCACCTGTGTTAACCAGGAAAGTAGTAGGGTGACCTTCAATAGGTAAAGTTACAGTGGCTAGTGGCCCCCCTTGTTCCCTGTAGACACTGCCATGGCAGGGGCATTAAGCATCAGCGGGTTTGCTCTCCTCTCTATGGGCTGTGTTACTGACTCAAACCCCTTTCTATGTCATTAGCCATAGCTTTTTGCAGTCTGAACATGTCTATCATTATAAATAATGGTTAATAGTAAGTGAAGTAAAGTTCCTATATGTCTTTGGATAAAACATTAACTATTGCGGTACTATCATTTATATTAATTAGACTATAACAATTATACCACCCTGCAACTAAAATTAATAACCAGAAGTGGCTGGGTTAATAAAACATGTCACTAATCCTTCTAATGCTAGACCATCATTTAACGTAAAGGATGTTACTGTAAACATACGATCTGTAACTAGCAAGATTCGATTAAGCAAAGATACAATGTTTAAAATAACTTGCATTATTTGGCTATTTCCCTTGTTGCAAGATTAATCTGGATAATCAGCTGTTATGCTCTTATATTCGTGTCCAACAGATCTCATTTGTAGGTCACACCACAGTTGCAAATGACATTTTAGCAACCTTCTTTTTTTCTTTTTTATATCACGGACACATTTCTGATACAGGGAAACAAATGGCATGATTGTTTTAGTAATTATAATGTTTCTGTTCATAATATGTAGAGTGTAAGGAAAACAACATGTCTCTAAATAGGACGAGCATAATAGGGGTAGGCCTCATGATGGAGGCAGCCATGACAGGGGCGGGGAAGGAAATGACAGCAAGGGAGGAAGTGAGAGGGGTGACGTCCATGATATGTGTGGGAAGGGAAGACAGGAGGTGTGGGCATGGTAAGGGCGGAAGTGACGTCACTTTGGAAGCAACCGTGACTGTAGATAGGTCACGGGACTGGCAGGGTCAACCTCCTTCTGTACTAGGCGCCATCTTTAGGGTGGTGGCTGATGCACTTTCAACAATACACTATATTATAACTATTAAAATAAGTCAGAGAAGCAACATTCCGTTCTGCAAAATGAAATACTAAACTACGAACAGACCTGGCAGGTTAAATAAGACAGTTGAAAACATTATGCATTTAACAGCCCATACAGCTGTCTCTAGAAACATGTTCTTTAAAATGATGCAAGATAAACTCACGGAATTCAACCAATTTCCCTTATCATCCTTCACATACTAGCTTAACAACTTTGCATATTCCCTCTATCCACATTGCATAGTTTTGCAACAAATCACGCTTGCCTTTACACTTAACACGTCCAAATATTCCTCTATTCTTGTATCAGATTCACTTACTTAACCTCCGTAAATCAACACTGAGCTACATCCCTGACTCCCTGTCTTATACACCAGTCTTGGAGAGAATACTCAGAAAGGTGGAATGCATTCTTGTGAGCGAGCCCCCCCCCACAATCTTCACTGCCTTATCACAAAACACAATTTATATATAGATATAAACGGCAAACGGCAACAATAATAATATTATTACACAATTATAACACCACAACCTTTGAATTAGAATATTTTCCAGCAAAAATCCCGTCTCTAACTCTTATCAGCAGCTCCGAAATGCAGAAGGCATGTCACTCCTCCATTCGGAGGCAAGCGGGGAGGAAAGGGGGGGGGGGATGTGAGACAGTGCAAAAAGGGGAGAGAGAGAGAGACTGCAGGCATGAAGGTTAACTATGTGAGTGCTGGAAAGTAACAAGACAGAAGGACAGAGACTTATACGTTTGGAGACCAGAAATCTTTGACGGGAGAAACGGATTGGAGGTGCAGGGAGCTGCAGAGAGAGGATGAGGGTGACGAGATCTGTAGGACTGATGGGGGGGGGGAGAATATGGATCCATCAGCATTCAGGACTGGGCAAACAGGGGCAGTGGTAGGGTGGGGACCAGGGGTGGGGACCATGGTCAGCTACATTTCGGTCATTGCTGACGCGATGTTGGGAGTGGTCACCTCCTGGGCGCCATCATAGGGCGCTGGCTGGGAGGACTTCCCAGTAACACAATTATTATAATACACAAACAATCTTAAACCTTTGTGATCAATATCTTCCTCAACCTATCCCTTTTGCTGAATAGCTCTTGCTACTCGGTACCAGGCTTCTGCTGTACAAACCAAATCTTGGTCCGACAGCTTCCCTTTCTTCTCTGTCAGTAACTTACGCCAGCTCTCTGGCTACAATCTGCCGCACGGAGGTACGGTAATTCCACATACTTTAGCAATCTTCCTCACTTTCTTAACCATCTCTTCTCCTTCTCTGTCTTCCACTAGATCACATGCTAACCAACCCTTACTGGGTTTATCTAACTTCTGTCCCATCCTCCCTATACAAGGCGTCCCAGATATAGAGAGAGAAAGGAACAGAACGTCTACCGTGCTCGACTGCTACTTTAAGAGCAAGCTCTTTAAGTACGTCTTCCCAAAACGTAGACTAGTCACTGATTCCGCCTACCCGTGGTAGCCGCGGATTGGAGCGTGGCGAGAAGTGTGTGACCAATCACTTCTCTCAACAGAGAAAGAGAAATAGGAGGGGAAAGTGTAAATAGTACAGTGAGTAAGATAGAAGTAAACCCAGGAATCTGTGTGACAGACAATTAAGACAACATTTCAAATAAAATACAGTGCATGCATCACAGTTCAAATAAGTTCAACAGTTTTATCCCTTGCCTTTACTCGTGTGGCCAAAAGCCACCTCCCTCAACCTCGTAGTGTCCCTGTTGCGGACCCACCCGCAAGTCTCACTACCAGCAGCCACAGGAAACAGCAACAGCTTCCAACCCGAATCCTGTATAGCCTAAAGAATTGGAATCTTACCTGCCTCAGCGCTCGAGGCTGGAATTTTACCAAGAAGAAGTGTCCGATGAGGCTAGCTAAGCAGTCAAAGCGACACTATGGGGAACCCCCAGGAAGCAGTGAGTCTACACCACCCTCCACAGATTCCCCCTACTCTTTTTCCTTACAGCCACAGCTACGTGGCTCCTAAAAGAGTTAAACAGGCAATAGAGGACCCCCAGGAAAACTTCCACAGGTCCACCCCCCTTTTTCCTTACTACCACAGCCACGTGGTACCTAAAAGGAGTTAAACAGGCACTTACACTCCCCGGGTACTAAGTTAAACACAAACCAATACAAACACACCCAGGCAACAGATAGTCAACATGCAGGTAAACTAGGTATCATTAACAATACAAAGACTCTGGGAAAGTTATTACCTGACTTTGATGTCCTCTCGGCAGCAGTCACAGACACTGGGATAGGTCAATCACAGGGGCAGGAACATACCGGCTAGGTGCTGAAGCAATCTCTACCGTGTATTCAGAGGTGATCAGGCTCTTTTCCTTCCCCCAGGATTCATCCCCCCCAGCATCTTCTTGGACAGCTGCCCAGGCAGGACATAGCCCAGAGCCCCACGTTATGGCGCCAGCTGTTGTAGTTGATTTACTGCAAACCAATTAGTTTGAATGACTATCTGTTCCTGTCCAAATTAAAGATAATAAAGTTGCGTGCACGCAGAAGTAAATTCACACTGAGACACAGAGTTCAGGTTAATGAAAGAACTTCGGAGAAGTTTAATGGCTTCTGAATAAAAAGCAGGCTCGCAGGCCCTTTTAAAGGCATTATTACATCATTGAAGAAAATCAAGATATAGACAAATAGACATTGTTAATTGGCTTAGGTGCTAAGTAGTTAGAAAAATGACCTCCCTATGGGGTGTACCATCCTAGGTCACTATCTTCGTCATGATTATCTCCTCCAGGTTTTAGCGCCATTTTGCTAACATGAGGAGCTCACTCGACGGGAGGGGCCTTTTGGCAGCTATCCATTTAGAGTGTAGCTGGCACTGTTAGTTTCTCAAGGTTAGGTTTCAAGGCTTTTAGTAAATACACATTTTATCAAAGCTATTTCTTGCTGACATGCAAATTCTATGTTCTATAGACAAAACTTTCTTGTAAAACTATGGATCCTCTTAGAGGTATAGCAAGAGGATTTAAAGGGGCCTTACAGATTTATAGAGGCCTAATAATTCTACAACAACATTAATGCCTGTGTTGGCACTAAAAGGGGTGATTTGGGGCTCAGCTAACTGTGGAGAAACCTGTTCCTCCTCCACATTCGGCGTAGCAGAGAAAGCACAGCTTCTTTTTGCAGCCGGCTCACACACAGATGACATGTCAGAAAACTGACCTGGGTCAAAATCGGACGCAGTGTCAGTGGCATCAGAGTCTGGCTAACACAGTTACTAACACACATTTTTTTTTTATTTTATACTAAAAACAGACTAAAACTGATAAAAACAGACTAAAGGAGACTACAACTTCTGTTAGCAGCAATCTGTAAACTAACTCCTGCAAAAAGAATCTAACTGGAGATTTGGGGGAAGGATACTGACTAACAGAAATTTGCTGCTTTCAAAATAAACAAAAAAAATAAATCAGGAACAAGTATTATAAAAATTTATTTTCTGTGTGGTAGACCTTAAAACATGCTCCAATACACAGTCCAGGTTTTGTAGGGCAATCGGGACAGTGAAAAGGGGTGTCTGTCCTTTTCCCTTTTTTATAACAGACCCGGCAACGTTTCTGGGGGTTTCTTTTTTTTGGTGTTGGCGGTATCTTAAAAATAAAATGTCTAGACGACTCTTGCACTGTCGTTGGAACTTGACCATCTCCATAAATTATTGTGGAAATCAGCTTGAGCTGAAATTGGAGATAGGTGGTTCTTCCTGGATTCATTTTTTAAAAAAAGTAAAAATGAATTATGTGTTGCTACTTGCAACAGGTAGATAGCCACCTTTTTATACCAGGCTTTTGTCTTTCTTAAGATAAGATATGGCTGCATCAGCTGATCAGCCAAATCAACACCCCCCATGTGCCTGTTATAAGCCCTGATGCACACCGGTTTTGTCTGTACCCTGCCTCGGACAGTGACGTCTGACATGCCCTCGTTATGGATGGTTGTTAGCATGTGAACATCCTTCCTGTCCTTAAATTTTAGCGCAAGCAGTTCAGCCTTGCGCAGAGCTTTGCATTCCCCTTTTTTTAATTTGGCCTCTATGAGAGGTCTGGGGAAATCCTTGGCATTTCTTCTTACAGTGCCGCAGGCCAGTGTCTGTAAACTATAAAGAATTTTAAACAAGTGGACACTGCTGTAAAAATTGTCCACATAAAGGTGGTAACCCTTATTGAACAAAGGGATCAGTAGGTCCCAAACAAGTTTCCCACTTGTCCCCAGAGAGTCAGGACAGCCAGCAGGGTTCAGTTGAGCATCTTTCCCCTCGTATACACGAAAGGCAAATGTGTAGCCACTTTCGCTCTCTCAAAGTTTGTACACTTTAATGCCATACCTAAACCGCTTTGAGGGGATATATTGTTTGAACCCTAATCTCCCTTTGTATTTCATAAGGGATTCATCAATGGATAAAGTTTGTTGGGGAGTATAAACTTCAGAAAATCTGTTCTGAAGATGGTCTACCAGTGGGTGTATTTTATGAAGCCTATCATATTGGGGGTGATCTCTGGGGTGACAGAGCGTATTGTCGTTGAAATGTAAGTATCTCAGCAGCAGCTCATATCTTGGTCTAGGCATTGTTTGGGAGAATATAGGAGTCGAACAAATTGGGTTGGTGCTCCAGTAAGACCGGATTGATGGCTTCTTTATTATCCCCATGAGCATGGTAAGAGCCCAGAATGTTTTAAGTTCAGGGACATCTGTGGAATGCCAAGCATGCTCCCTGACTGTATAGCTACCTGGATTGGTCTCAATAAATTGGCTAGCGTATAAATTAGTCTGGGAAGCAATCTCCTCCCAGATGGTATCCCCTAAAAATAACTCCATATATTGTATAGGGGAGAAGTCAACCACATTCACATTAATGCCTGCGTTGGCACTAAAAGGGGGGATGTTGGGCTCAGCTAACTGTGGAGGTACCCAGTCCTCCTCCACATTCAGCGTAGCAGGGGAAGCACAGCTTCTTTTAGCAGCTGGCTCACACACAGATGACATGTCACTAGACGTGCCGCTAAACTGACCTGGGTCAAAATCGGACGCAGTGTCAGTGGCGTCAGAGTCTGACGCCAAGAAGGCATATGCCTCCTCCAAGCTGTACATGCGCTGCATGTTTCACACTAACAGACTAAACTAACAAAATACTAAACACAATATTTTTTTTTTTTTTAACACTAAAACAGACTAAAACAGTAATCCCTAAACTAACTCCTGTTAGAAGAATCTAATGGAGATTTGGGGGAAGGAAACTGACTGACTACGACACTGACAGACTATGACAGACGACAGACTACGACAGACTACGACAGACTAAAACAGACTACGACAGTCTAAGACACAGATTTTTTAAAATAAAGTTAACCCTTAAGGGCAAAAAAAAAAATACAGACAGTACAAATGCACTGTCTGTAACAGATCTGGCAGGGAAGGGGTTAAAATTGGATTTTTATTAACTGCAGATACTTTTTAATTTTCTCAGGAACAGCTGCTGCAACAATATATCACGATCTCTGTCTCTCTCCTCTCACAAAACGCTACAGAGAGGAGAGAGGCAGAGATCAGTGTCAAAGTGAGTGTTTGTAACACCCACCTTGACACCAGCCAATTGTGAGCGATCGCGGATCACTCACACGCCGTAATTGGCTGTTACTATCTGCCTGGGATGCCGGGCAGATAGTAACAACGGGATTTCGGCGGAAGCGATCTCTGATCGCTCCAGCCGCCCGTTTTCTGTTAGGACGGTTCAGGACCATCCTCGGTCGGCAACGCAAAAATGCCGAGGACGGTCCTGAACCGTCATGCGTCCTGAAGGGGTTAATGTCATCTGATTTTGTATTTATTTTTTTAACCCTCAGGGGTTAAATTTATTTTATTAATTAATTTAAATATTTAAAAATTATATATTTAGCTAGCTGGGATGGGTGGAAGTTAGTGGGGATTGAGGAATTTGGTGTTAGGCTAACTAGGGGTTAACATACAAAAAAAGTTTTAAAATAAGCTTTAAAAGGTAAAAAAAAAGTTTTTCTAAAAAAAAGTTTTTCTAAAAAAAAGTTTTAGTAACGTTTAAGTAACCCCCCCCTTTACCCAGTCTAAATAAAAATTAACCCCTTCCTTACCAGTTGATCACTGCCTACAGTGATCAAAATACAGATCACAGTATTATACTGTAATCTAATTTCTTTTAACCCCTGAGGATTAACTTTTATTTATTTTTTAACCCTCAGGGGTTCAGTTTATTTAATTAATTTAAATATTTTATAATTATATATATTTTGCTAGCTTGAGTGGGTGGGAGTTATGGGAAAGGGGGGAATTTACTGTTAGTGCTGCTTACTGCTAGTTAGGGGTTAACAGTAAAAGAAAAGTTTTTAGAAAAATATTTAAGTGTGTAAAACATTTAATAAGTAAAAAAAAAGTTTAAAAACGGGTTTTACAAAGTAAAAAAAAAGTTTTGCAAAGGAAAAAAATACATAAAAAAATGCTCATTACCACTACACTTGGTACAAGCTAGCAGAAAAATGATCCCACGCTAAGGTTCAAAATATGCCTTTTGAATTACCCTGGGATGTCTTCTTTAAGAAATGGTATGGCTTTATGGTGTAATTGGATTATATAGCCTTGTAAAATACTCTAAAATGGGACATGGACACAGTGTAACATGGACACAGAGCTCTCCTCCTCTGATCCTCCTCCCCGTCGGCTGAATGCGCACGTGCGGCAAGAGCTGCGCGCGCATTCAGCCAGTCACATAGGAAAGCATTATAAATGCTTTCCTATGGACGCTTGCGTGCTCTCACTGTGATTTTCACAGTGAGAATCACGCAAGCACCTCTAGCGGCTGTCAATGAGTTTCTCTGAAACTGCTATGTTTATTAAAAAAATGGGTTAACCCTAGCTGGACCTGGCACCCAGACCACTTCATTAAGCTGAAGTGGTCTCGGTGCCTAGAGTGGTCCTTTAACTTGTCACATCTCTTTTACAGCAGTGTAACTTCACAAAATAGTGTCTAGGTCATACATTGGGCATATTGTTTTACTCAGAAGACTTAGCTGAGCATAATTTGGGGGTTTGAACTTAGTGGCACATATGAAATGTACAAAATGCCCAGCAAAAAATGTAATCCGTATGTAAAAAATGCCCCAAATTATTTTTTACCACATACTTTGGCATATATTGGTGAAAAAAAAAAATAAAAAAATAAAAAATCGGGGCATGTTAAGGCACAATATGCACCATATGAGATACCCTGGAGTGTCTACTTTTACAAATGGTAGGCCTTTGTGGGGTTTTTTTTTGAAAGGTTAAACTGCTATAATACCCCAAATTGAAGCATAGGCCCATTAAATCCACCTCTCAAAATTCTACTGTAAATGTTGAAACTGACAGGTCTCCTATATGGCACTGTAGCTTCACGAAATAGTGCCAAAGACATACAATGTACTCAGCAGAAGTAACTGAACACAAAATAAAACTTTGTACAGGAATAGCACACACCAACTTTACAAAATACACATGAGAAGTTTTTTGTTATAAGTTCGTGTGCCAAAAACCCCAAAAAACTAAATTTTACTCCAATATTTAGCAGAGATTGGCGGTGAAATGGCTACGTAGAAAGTGTCAAAACAACCTTAGGACAATAGCCTGTGATGTCTACTTTATATAAATATATACTTTTGTGTGGCAATTTTGCTTTCTTTTATGGCTTTTAAGCTTACAAGACAAACATACCAAATTCTAAAATCGCTCCACATTAAAAGTTTATTTTCCTCCTTGTGCTTTGTGACCTGTAACTACCAAAAAAAAACTTAAAATCCCAGACACATTATATATTCTGTAAATCAGAACAAATAAAAATTTTTTTAATTACTTTCTTTAATCTGCACTAATTAGGCACACATTATTATTGCAAAAACCATACAAAAAACTCAAAATTTCATTTTTTTGCATTTTTCTGTATTTTTTTAATAATAAATAAGCATTTATATACATATATATTATATCAAATTAAAGCCCTTTCTGTCCTTTAAAAAACAGTATATAATATGTGTCGGTGCAATAAACGAGAGAGATGCAAATTGCAGTTGAACGCATACAGCAATAAAATGCAAAAATTGCTTGTCATTAAGCGTAAGACAAGCTTCTGAAGCTGTGTCCTTAAGAGGTTAATTTACAACAAAAAAACAAAATGAACACGTTTTTGGAGTGCTTTTGTCTTTTCAATCCAGTATGTAAAGCTTAGCATGTGAAGACAAAACAAAAATGTTTTGCGTAGATTGCTAATATCCCTAACGCTTGTCAGCTTGATTTTAGTCCCAGTTTGGAGGACTGAAACTTTGTTCACTTATCACGGTTATATTGTCTTAATACAGCAGCATATTGATTTTTCAGAGGAATTTCAATTAGTGTTTTTTCTGTGGATATTGATCTGGCACCGTGGTGTGAGAGTTGTGGGAGGTGAGGACAGGCTTTAGACATTACTGTATAATAAATAAAAGAACAAGATGAATGTGCACAAATGTGATATCAATTCCAGTGCAATAAAATGCTTTGTAATTTCAAAAACAATTATACCATACAGTAACTCTCCTCTACGTGATGGGATTACTCACAAATTGTAGATATGATAGGTTAGTTCCATCTTGTTAGTAAGTACTCTAATAAAAAAAAATTACATAAAAAAACCCAAAATCTTGTACAACATATTTGTAAACAAAGTCACATATGCAGAAGCCATTACCAGGCTCTAACAGTAAGTGCACATGTTGCCTGTAAGGCTTATACTCTGTGTTCCATATTGGGGTATATAAGCAAGAAGTAATAAGTAATTAAAAATCTAAACAGTGTTGGACAAGCTAAGGGTCCCACGATGCTAGTATAATTAGTGGTATAATTAAATCAATGTACAATCACAATCTCAACTTGTTTCCACATACAGATAAATACGCATTTCGACTGAGTTTTCTTCTTCCAGGTGCATAAATGTTGTAATGTGCAAAGTCCTTAAATACCCCTTTTCCCACCATATTCCCATGAAAACGTGTAATGCTTCATGCATAATGTAACTTTTACACATTTCTATACACATTATTGGCAGTGAAAAAGTCTGCATCCGCGTCATTGCATCGTATAAACTGACATCATTATGAAGTCATATGACTTCTGCATCAATTAACAGTCAACTTTTACCAAATTTGCTCTGTACACAGTCTGTGGTTTATGTGGTATGATTTATGGTCGGAGAAGCTACTTTAAGATATTTTGTGCCATGGTGCCCATCCAGTACCCCTAGTAATAATCAATTTCTAAGCTTTATGTAACATGACCATGAATGTCACACATGCTAGTTAACCAAATATATATATTTTAAACCCAATTTTTACAGAAAGGACAGGATGAAACAACACATTTCTTGTTTACAGTGTAATTGTATTCTAGATCTATAGCTACAATATATCTGTTTAAATGAGCAATCATGTCTTCAGATCTATACTGTTAGATGGGCCAACATAATGCATAGTGTAACTGCAACTTTGAATTTTATGGCTCCTAACCTTGGGGCAGTGCCAAAATATACGTCAACCCTTTTCACTATAAAGCGGATTGCAGAAAAAACACCAACAGCATTTGAATATTTTGGGTGTAATGTAATGTTCAAATTTATTTTTTGTTTCAATATGCATAGATAGCATGTTATGTAATGGGAACAAAAAAAAAACAAGACAAAAACTTATATGAAATAATGAAGTTATAGATATAAAAAAAACAATGTTGTGAATAAATAACATTCCTGAATATGTAATGTAGACATTTTCCCCTACATATTCTATCATCCTCTCCAATATGCATTGTCCTATGTGTTGTGTGTATGCCTGTGGACTTTATTTTTGTGTTGTGTTTATAGTGAGGCTATGGTTTTTTTAGGGGTAAGTGACTCTGTGTGTTGAATATGACATGGTGAACACGGGTTTGACTGCAGTTTGGTGACTGTGGGGTTGAGTTTGAGGAGTGATTTTGGGAGGGTGTGTGGGTGGCTGGGTGTGAAAGTGGGGAGTGACTGTGTGTGGGGAGGGTGTGTATCTGTGTTCAGCATCCCCACACATTGTAGAGGATTTATTTACTTCGTTGCTGTCCCCCTCATGCTTACATTTTGGCATGGGGAATGATTGTTTTTCATACCCCTGGCATAATGGCCTCACTGTTTGTACAGTGGGCTATCGGGCAGATCTGCACCTCTGGCTGGGTGCAGACTCTTCCAAATGCTCCCTTCCGGTCTCTGACCAGGACGGAGCATCGACAGAGAGCTGCACCCAGCTGCAGGTGCAGACCAAGACTGTGAGCATTGCCAGACAGTGAAATATTGCGATCTCTCCATCGGCCTGTGCAGCTGATCTAAACAGTAAAAAATTTACCTTCGCAGCATTAAAAAATTGTGCATACATGTTTTTAGGGTATGAGTGCATACCCTGGTATTCATATTTGCACGAGTCATGTAGTGAAAAGGTTAAAGGGAGTTACACTCCAGAGCAGTTGCTGCCATTTTCAGCTGCCACAATCAGTTTGGTTTCTCTCTCGAAACCGATATGCCAGGACTTAGACAGTGTGATTCTCCATTTCTCTGAAAAATGAGAGAGACTCCGCTAAGGACAGCTGCTGCAAATTGCAGTTACTCCCAGGAATGTAATTCCCACCAGTCTTCGACAAACAAGGACACAGCCGTAATTAAAGAAAACATTATGTAATGCAAAAGATACATAATGCTGAAGCAAAGCATGTATAAAGTATAAATAATAGCTCCTCAGGGTTCCGCAGACATTTATGTATGCACGTGTATATGTACTACATAAAACAATGTCCAATTAAATAAACACAACTAATAAGTGATGTGGTGCTTTCTGTGCAAAATTAAATGTACAAATTAAACTTTACCAAATCACACACAGAACAGAGCAAATTTAAGATATAAAATACTCTGATAAATATACATAGATATAAATATTATGAGTTGGTCTGTCCCTGTGTGTCCAACTTGCCTGGTTACAAATACTTGTCTGTTAGTCCACCCATTGTACAGCGCTATGGAACTTGTTGGCACTTTATAAATAATAATAATAATGCTAATAGGTAAAGAGATTTTAGAAAGAAGTACCTGTCCTTTAAAGGACCACTATAGTGCCAGGAAAACATACACCCTCAGGGGTTAAACACTTACCTTTCTCCAGCGCCGGGCGGGGAGCTGTACTCCTCCTCTCCTCCTTGCTCGCGACGTCATCAGCTGAATGCGCATGCGCGGCAGGAGCCGCGCGCGCATTCAGCCGGTCGCATAGGAAAGCATTTACAATGCTTTCCTATGGACGCTTGCGTGCTCTCACTGTGATTTTCACAGTGAGAAGCACGCAAGCGCCTCTAGCGGCTGTCAATGAGACAGCCACTAGAGGCTCTGGAGGCTGGATTAACCCTCAGTATAAACATAGCAGTTTCTCTGAAACTGCTATGTTTATAAAAAAAAAAAAGGGTTAATCCTAGATGGACCTGGCACCCAGACCACTTCATTAAGCTTAAGTGGTCTGGGTGCCTAGAGTGGTCCTTTAATATAGTTTTTAGTGAACATCGTGGACATTTATTTTTATTTATTTATTGCTCCACTTAAAAGTTTTACTTGTGTGTATGTGTGTATGTGTGTGTGTGTGTGTATATATATATATATATATATATATATATATATATATATATATAAAAACACATATATAATACATACATACATACACTCTCTCTCTCTCTCTCTCTCTCTCTCTCTCTCTCTCTCTCTCCCCATGAATTGCAGGATGTGGGCTTACACCCATTGTACAGTGCTCTGTAATTTGCTGGCGCTATATAAATAATAAAATAATAATAAAATATGTGATTTAAAAGATTTATGCTCAGTTTAAATTTGCAGAAAGAATGGAATTATTGTGAACGAAAATATGATTTTAGGTAACGTCGCAACCTTATCTCAATGGGGAAAATATGATTCATTTTCTTTTAAAGTCCACAGTAATAGTATGAAAGCAATGAGTTATGCATTAACCTCAAATGTGGGGGTGGGCGACAATGATGGGGGATGGTTCCAGTGAGATAGGAAAGAAAATGTCATGATGTGAACAGCAGGAGAAGACAGGCTAAATGAAAAGACAGGTTTGATAAAATACAAGGGGGAGAAGGAGGAGGCAGAACCTTTACATCTGGGTGAATAATGTTATTGTTATTTTGGGGTTTAACCCCTTACGGACCAAACTTCTGGCATAAAAGGGAATCTTGACATGTCACACATGTCATGTGTCCTTAAGGGGTTAAAGCAGAGTAAAAAGATTTGATCAGGTTATGTTTTGGGAGTATGTAAAATAGCTAAACAGATTAATTGCACATATTGGAATGGGAATGTGCACACTATATAGTAACAGGTTGCTTTGCTAGTGGTATAGGAGAAGGAGATTCAATATGCTCCATTGTATATTAAAGGAACACTATAGCGTTAGGAATACAAATGTGTATTTCTAACGCTATAATGTCTTAGTCACCATTTAGGTGACCACCCCCTTCTGACAAAAAGGAATTGCTTCCCTATTATTCCCTGCTGCACTGCTGTCTTTACGGCTGGCCCCACATCCTTAACTAAGATCAGCAAGCTTCATGATCTTAGCCAATTCAGTGCTTTCCCATAAAAAAGCATTGGGAGGCTAGAGCACATGTGCAGCAAAGCCCCTGAACTGCACCAATCAGAGGAGATGGTCTCTATCTGATTGAAATAGCCGAGTTTCACTCTGCTTTTTTGGAGAAAGTGTGAGTGACAGCCACTAGAGACATTTAGACCCTGCAATGTACACGTTAAAGTTGCAGTACAGCAATGTTTTAACTAGCAGATTCAGGGCACCCGTAAATCTATCTTAAAACAACAACAACAAAAAAATGGTTTGCTAACTCTTTTTCCCAGGGCAGAGGCTACTTCTGGGCAGCCATATGCACTGCCTCCTGTGAAGTCCTCATGGAGGCTGCCTCGTCTTCTCATTCAATCCAATGCTTCCCATAGCAAAGTGTTGAATCCAATCCGTCCATATGGTAAGCATTAGAGGATGTTTGAGATTGTCGTGGAATGCTTGAGCACATTAACTATTACGGAACAGAGTCTGACTCGGTCATAAGTGTGAAAGCACCCTCTAGTGTCTGTCAGGAAGATAGACATTAGAGGTTTAAAGGGAAAGGAAACTATGCACCATACAATGTATGTGGAAGTCAGTAAGGGGTTACTTTGTGATCTAAGAAGGGGTTAACTCACTTACATAGTTTAAATAAAATAAGAGAGAATCTATTGAGATTTTCTCTTAATTGTTCTAAACTAGACACTTGAGGTGTTTTTTTAGCCCTGTAGTGAAAACATTGCCTTATCTTCTTAGCTGCAATGGTCTACATACTGCAAGGAGAAACAACAGGGCGAATATACCCAGACCACTTATTTGATATCCATTAAAAATGTTAGTTTTAAAACTGGGGTTTGTTTACTAAGCAGTGTATTGTAGTGAATTAGGATACTATAGGCTAGGAGTAAAAAGGAGCTTGTATTCCTAGCACTATAGCTCCCTATAATACCCCCGCAGTGCAGAATCTTTTTATCACTTACTTGAATCCAGCACCCATGTCGGGGACCTAGTGCACATGAGCGGTAAGTCCTGCAGTCGCAGTAGGACAGCCCCATAGGAAAGCGTTGTATAATGCTTTCCTATGGGTTTTGGGTGACACTGGATGTCGTCATGTAAAGCGCTAGGACGTGCAGTATCAATTAGGCAACCAAAAGTCGCTTAATGATCCATTAGTCCCTCTAGTGACAGGTGGAGTTAATTCTGAGTAGTAATTACTGCAGTTTATCAATAACTGCAATAATTACATTAACTGCAATAATTACATTTGTAGGGTTAAGGGGACTGTGACAGTGCACCCAGACTATTTTAATGAGCTGAAGTAGCCTGGGTGCCTATAGAGTACCTCTAAAAAACAACTTGTAAAATGTAGGTCAAAGTAGCTGATTTGGAATAATTATACATCTCTACTATAGTCAGTGCGTAGCCATTTTAGCCTTCATTTTGCAATGTGACTCTCAATTTGCCACAATTCACTATTTAGTGAATAAGCCATTACAAGTGTCTGGGCACAGGAAAGTTTAGTACAATGATAGCAATAGTTTAGAGCCCAGTCTTTCTACAGAAACAAAGGAACAAATCTGACAGTGCAATGACTCCATTTTCATATCTTCCAACATATAAAATGGGTAGAGAGAGGGACACTTTAATTTTATGGGGGAGGTGCATGGGCAGGGCTAATCAGATGAAATTTAGGTGACATACTAATAACAGTTTATACAACTAAAATGTAATTTAGAACAAGAACAGTGTATCTTATTTTACACAGACTGATTTCCAAACACATTTTAGTTTAAAGATGCAGTACTTTGAGTATTGTTGCTTTGCTATGCTCTCAGACACACAATCCAATTTGAGCTCCTAGAAAAGATGGATATTATGCTACAGAAGTCTTAAGACCCAAAATATAAACTGTCTTTCCTATATAGGGACATTTGGGAGGTGTACATCTTTGTTAAAAGATTTCTTAGTTTTGGTCACCACTATTTCTTATTTTTACTGACCATTTTTATTATTTAAATTCCCTTTCATATTCCAAATCATGATTCCCCCGTTTCCCATCCTGCATTTCAATCTCCCAGAATTCCATCAGTCCCAGGACCAATTATAAGCAGTAGCTGGGAGAACTAATCAGGAAAAAAATACAGACAATGGTCATAGTATGTGTGATGTAAAACCAATCATGGTAGGTTTGTTCCAGGTAAAGAATAAAATGAAGCCATACCAAGTACTTCAAGCAAAGGTTAACACTTTATGGTCTGATCTGATGTTTAATATTGCAATATAACTGAATCAATGTACAATCAAAATTCAGTATGGAAAAGGGAGCTCTGAGTATTGTGCAAAGACTTGTATACAGGGCCGGCCTGTATATATGTAGCAGAGGCGGCCCTTTACACCTTAATGCAAACTCATTCGTTGGGTCCTCGGTCAGTGGCCCGGCGGCTTGCCCTGTATGCCGCCGGGCCCCTCCATCAGTCTGCTCTGGGAAAGCCTCCAGGTTGCAGCTCTGTCTTGTGCAGAGCTGCAGACCAAGTCATGGAAGGCTCGCAAGCTCCCAGAGAGTTGCAGCGGGTTACCATGGCAATGCTCTGATCTGAGCTCGGCAGAGCTGCAGACCTGTAGAGCCAGCCACTGGACCACCAGGAACTGGGGAGCACTTAGAAACAAGGTATGTAACCAGCCTCCCCACAGCCTGTCACCCACCTCACCATGCCCCCCACTGTCACCCTCACACCCTGCTCCCCCACTGTCACCCTCACACCCTGCCCCTCTACTGTCACCCTCACACCCTGCCCCCCCACTGTCCATAGGACAGACTGGGGCAATGGCCCCAGGCGGCACTTTAGCAGGGGCAGGTTGTCTCTGCTGCATATATATGTAGCAGAGGCAGCTCTTTAAACCTTAATGCAGACTGCCCTCCCATCACCCAGATTGTCACCCTCAAACCCTGGCCCCCACTTTCATCCTGACACTGTCACCCTCACACTCTGCACCCCCACTGTCACTCTGTCTGTCACCCTTACATACTGCCCCCACCTCTGTCACCCTCACATCCTGCCCCCCCACTGTCACCACATACTGACACCCTCACATCCTGCCCCAATACTGTCATTCTCAGATCCTGCTACCCACTACTGCCACTCTCACATACTGCTCCCCACACTTTCACACTTACATCCTGCCCCCTACACTGTCACCCTCATATCCTGCCCCCTTACTGCCATCCTCACATCCTGCCCCCCACCACTGTCATTCAAACCCTCACATACTGCCTCCCACCACTGTCACACTCACATCTTGCCTCCCACCACTGTCACTTTCACACCCTGCCCCCACAGCCTTCCTACACACTGCCCCCCACACTGTCCCTTTCCTATACACTGCCCTCTTATACTGTCATCTTCCTACACACTGTCCTCCTATACTGTCACCTTCCTACACACTGTTCTGCCATTCCAGCCCACAGGCTAGAGGCAGGAAGGCGGGATAACCCCAATTTAATTTAAACTGCTCACCCCCACTAGCATTTATCCAACTCTACACACACACTCTACATGCACTGCACAGACACTACATACACTACACAGATACTGCATCCACCACACACACACACTGCCTCCACTGTACATACTACACACACAGACAATATATTCAGTACACACACTACATACAATACACACTACATCCATGACACAATTACAAACACAGTATCTATTACACACAAACACTGTATCCACGACACACAGACACTGCATCCACTGAACACACACGCTCAGTGATCTCCCTCCCCGGCCCACAGGCACATTGCTGGGCGGCCGGCAAGGGAGGGAGCTCCGCCGGGTTCTCCTTTCGCGAGCACGGAGCGTTACCATGGCAACGCTCCGTTCTCGCGAGAGTGAACTCTAGCCTGAGCTGCAGGTTAGAGTTCACTCCCCCACTAGAACCACCATGGACTGGAAGAAAGCAATGTATCCCCCTCCCTCAGCAAAGGTAAGAAGGGAGGGGGGACATTAGCTATATTTATTTAATTATTTAATAGTAATAATAATAATAATAATAATAAAAAATATTTAATCTTCCCCCCTATCCCCTCACATAAACTATAACCCCCTACACACTGCACCACACACAAATATACAGCCCCTCCTTACACACACAGCCCCCCTCACACACACACACACACACAACCCCCCTTACACACACACACACAACCCCCCCATTACACATAGCCCCAATACACTCACTGCCCCCCATACAAACACATAGCACCAGGGCCGGACTGGGAAGAAAATTCGGCCCGGGCATTTTTTAATTACAGCGGCCCACTAAAAAGGGGGCGGGGCCAGATAGGGTGTGTTTTGTCATCACCAATGACAAGCACGCCCCATCACAAAGTGAGCATGTTGGTTCAATGCTCTTCCAGGGTAGACCATGCGCAGAGCTCTGCTGAAGAGCTCTGGCATAAGAAAAATACCCTGTATTTGTACTGCATAGCGCAAGCAAATTTAATAACATACTTGCATTGTGTTTGCTTGAAATTTGTCTCTGGTGTCTCCATAGTTGGGATACCAGGAGACAAAAATGCCAGGAAAGCATATTGCGCAGTGTGTGTGAGGGTGCTCTGTGTGTGTATGTGTGTGAGAGAGGGGTGCAGTGTGTGTGTGTGATGGGTGCTGCGTTTGCGTGAGGGTGCTATGTGGGTAAGGGTGCTGTGTGTGATGGGTGCAGTGTGTGTGTGCTGTGTGTGAGTGGGTGCTGTGTTTGCATGAGGTGCTATGTGCATGTGAGGAAGCTGTGTGTGAGGGTGCAGTGTATGCATGTGAGGAAGCTGTGAGTGTCAGGGGTGCAGTGTGTGTAAGTGAGGGTGTGTGATGTGCGTGTCAGGGGTGCAGTGTGTGTGTGTGAGGGTGCTGTGAGTGTCAGGGGTGCAGTGTGTGTGCTGTGCATGTCAGGGGTGCAGTGTGTGTGCTGTGCGTGTCAGGGGTGCAATGTGTGTGTGTGAGGGTGCTGTGAGTGTTAGGGGTGCATTTTGTGTGTGCTGTGAGTGTCAGACGTGTAGTGTGTGAGTGAGGGTGCTGTGAGTGTCAGGGGTGCAGTGCGTGTCAGGGGTGCAGGGTGCTGTGAGTGTCAAGGGTGCAGTGTGTGTGCTGTGAGTGTGTGCAGTGTGTGTGTGAGGGTGCTGTGTGTGTGCTGTGTGTGTCAGGGGTGCAGTGTGTGTGTGTGAGGGTGCTGTGAGTGTTAGAGGTGCATTTTGTTTGTGCTGTGTCAGACGTGCAGTGTGTGTGAGGGTGCTGTGAGTGTCAGGGGTGTAGTGTGTGTGTGAGGGTGCTGAGAGTGTCAGGGGTGCAGTGTGTGTGCTGTGTGTGTCAGGGGTGCAGTGTGTGTGTGTGAGGGTGCTCTGAGTGTTAGGGGTGCATTTTGTTTGTGCTGTGTCAGACGTGCAGTGTGTGTGTGAGGGTGCTGTGAGCAGAGTGTCAGGGGTGCAGTGTGTGTGTGAGGGTGCAGTGTGTGTGTGTGTGTCAGGGGTGCAGTGTGTGTGTGTGCTGTGAGTGTCAGGGGTGCAGTGTGTGAGTGTCAGGGGTGCAGTGTGTGTGTGTGGGTGCTGTGAGTGTCAGGGGTGCAGTGTGTGTGTGAGTGTGGTGTGCTGTGAGTGTTAGGGGTGCAGTGTGTGTGAGTGAGGGTGCTGGGAGTGTTAGGGGTGTCTGTGAGGCTGCTGTGAGTGATTATATCCCCCCTCCCTGCTTACCTTATGCCTGGGAGGGGGGATCCTGCTACTCCTGCCGCCATCCATCCCTGGTGGTCCAAGTGGTGAGTGAACTCTAGCCTGTTGGGCTAGAGTTCACTCTCGCGAGACCCGGAGCGTTGCCATGGCAACGCTCAGAATCTCGCGAGAGGAACCCAGCGGAGCTGTAAGTTAAAGCTCCGCCGGGTTCCTCTGCTGGCAGGCTGGCTCCCTCCCTCTCTCCCCCGGCGGCCGCACTATGCTGCATGTCTCTGATCTCCCCACCGGCCCCTGTAGACTGCTGCAGGGCCGGTGCTCGGATAGTGCCGGCCCTGCAAAGACCGGCAGGAGAGATCCTGTGATCTCCCCTGCCGGCCTCGGCCCCACGGCCACCGCGGCCCACCGGGCATTTGCCCGGTGTGCCCGATGGCCAGTCCGGGCCTGCATAGCACCCCTCACACAAAAACACACTGCTCACAATACACACACTGCACCCTTTACACACAAACACACTGCTCCCAATGTACAAATTGCTACCCCATACATACACTGCACCCCTCTCACACACACACTACCCCTCCATACACATACTGCGACCCACACATACACACTACAACTCCTATCCAGGCAGACCTGGTACGTTATCAAACGTTTTTTTAAACGGATTGACTACTTACTCTGGGAGGGCGCCACAGCGACTCCTGGCACCAAAACCACTACAGAGAGCTGTAGTGGTTATTGTGCCTTGATTGTTTCTTAAAATAATCTGCCAGTGCCCCTCCCGAGATTAGCTTCTGGATCCGCCACTGGCCTGAATGTATAGCAAATTTCCACAGCATTAATATTCGCAATAAATGTGTTTAGAGATCATTCTGTGTAAATAAAACATATTGTTCTTGTTCTAAATATAATTTTAGTTGCATAAATTGTTGTTAGTAAAGGCTTTTAAAGTGGACTCATTATTTTTCCTGAACCACCAATACTTGCAATAATTTGTTCTTATCCAATTTTTTATTTTCTAGAAAAATATTTTTATACTGTTTTTATATATTGTAATAAATTCCCTTATTTTATACTATCCACTGTATCCAGCACCAGTGATTCCAGGGAAGGGGCAGTGTCACCCCACAAACTGACACTAGGCCTATACACTTAGAGCCAGTTACCAAAGGGCTCTAAATAAGGTGAGCACTTCAATTTGTTTTTTATAAGAAAATATCATAGAGGATGCTACACTTAGTTGGATAATTCTGTGTCTTTCATATATACGCTGGGGAGAGAAAAAATACACACTCAACCTGGAGAGAGGGGTCGTGTGGTCTACCCTTAAAGACACAGATGCACCTAAGTTTAGAGCCTAATTCACTTGAAAAGGCTCTAAAAAATGTGAGTGGAGATATATATGTTACCCACTAAATACTTCACTAAAGTAATAGATATACTGCACAATTATCTGCATATATTTCTGTTTTCTTTTGTATATGTATTACATTGGAGAATATAAAGGATAATTGCCTTTGAATCACAGGTAATTCACTGTGTTTTCACACATTACACAGCGCTGCACTCATAAAGATAGAAGACCTGAGGGGTGGAAACACCCATCAGATCTGAAATCTTTCTCGTCTTTTGGTGTTTCTTAAAATAATCTGCCAGTGCCCCTCCCGAGATTAGCTTCTGGATCCGCCACTGGCCTGAATGTATAGCAAATTTCCACAGCATTAATATTCGCAATAAATGTGTTTAGAGATCATTCTGTGTAAATAAAACATATTGTTCTTGTTCTAAATATAATTTTAGTTGCATAAATTGTTGTTAGTAAGTCACCTAACATTTCTGAGAACAGCCCAGCTCCTGGCCACACCCTAAAATGAAATTAGGGGTGTCTTATTATTCCATTTGCAATGTTGGGCATTATGCTTTAGTTCTGCCCATCCCCACCTTGATTTCATACCTTCCAGTGTTGAAATGTATACTTTGTGATGTGTTTTTGTACGATTTTTATTTGGAATTGTTAATTAGTTTGACAAGATTGTTTACTTAAGGGGCGTATTCACTAAAGAGTGCATTTCATCAAATTAAAATCCGAAATGTAATATTTAGGTTCAAATAGCAAAACTATGACTAGTGCAGCGTTAGGGAGTTTCCAAGTCAGCTGTCCCAAATTGTGCCATTAGGATTCCAATTTGCTATAATTCATAGTTTATTCAATAACCCCGTGTGTGTGTTTAAATGTGAATCCAGCACGATTATTCACTAAACTTGGAATTGAAGAGAATTTTAATCCAAATGGCAAAACTAAGGTTAAAAGCGCCACACTGTAACCATGGCAGATTTGTAGAGTTTTTCCTCGTGTTGGCCTAGAACTTGTCGTTTTGTGAACAAACTCGAGAAATCTATGGATCCTATACCTAATAATAATTATTGACACCAAGAACATGGCCCACACCAGCCTTTACTGGCGACGTCTATATGACTCAGGCACGTGTACCTTTAAGGAATAGCGCGATTCTTCTAAACCCTGGTTGCCCGGCAACGGTGACTACAGTTACTACTGTAAACCAAGGGCATTCCGAATGAGCGTGCTTCGTGTCTGACCGTCTCCCTGCTGTGTGGGCGAGGAAGGGACCCCTAGGTGGGGTATACACACACCCCCTCTAGGATAGTTATATATAGCAGTAGATTAATGAGGGCCTGCATTACACACAAAGCGCCTATTTATCACTATCACCTTTTTACTAGGATACTGCTGTATGGATAATATGAAGTCAACATTAAATTAATTTTATTTAATATCCTTGTCTATTCAATGGCACTGACTCCTGTCTAATTAAATAGGCTGTATGGCCATTGTAAAAGCAGTGCATTATTTACATTTTTATTTTTTTTAAATATTTGTTAAATACCACGATATATGTTTGCTCTGCAACACTGGCTGCTGTGGACTGTAACTCTTATTATCCTCAGGCAGCCAGGACAGTTTGTAGTAGGAGTAGTACTGCACATCAGCTGGGTGATTCGAGTAGTCTGTGTTTGTGTATGTGTTTTGTTTTCTACATAAATGGTTTATAGTTGACTGTATTTTCTGTTTTGCTATATTTTAGGCTCCACAAGGCTCAACATAATCAGTGTTGGTATATGTGTATAGAAGTATTGAATGGTTAGTCTGAGATACTATTCCTAAAATTCTGTATGGTGAGTACACTTTGTGGTATGGTGGTGAGTTTGATAATAATTATTTGCATGGTAATGTGGTATAATTAGTTATATTTTTCACTAAGAGGACTTGGCTATAGCTGAGTTGTTGAATTTTTCCAGCTCTATTTCGCCCCCAAAGTTTGCAAATGAATTCACCGTGTCACAATGTAGTGAATAAACATCAGTCTTTTCAGAATTTAAAGTGATTTTACGTTTTAGGCTAAAATAGTTGACTTGGGAAAAAAATTAGCATTGTTTCTAATCTGGCTTTTTTTTGTTTTGTTGTTTTTCTTTGTTTTTTTACAAAAATGTCAAAATCACTTTGTATATCCAACAAATTGCATTTTATTGCATTGCAATACTGAATAAAACAGTGGATACTTTTTTTCCCTTTCACTGTTCAGTAAATAGCCCTGGATGTATTTACAAAGAAAGCTGTTAATGTGTCATGTGTGAATTAAGATAATTGTGTGCTAAATCCATACAAGGCAACTGGATTTATATACTGAACATTTCATGTGAATTCATCGCTGACAGGGTTATTCACTGAAGTGAGTTTTCGAAGTGCATTAAAAATGAATTTTAAATTTAAGATCTAGGTAACTGACATGGGGAAAAAAGTTCGAATTCGGCTATGTTTAACTCTGTCTGTTTTTAACATCCAAGCTGTGACTGTAGCTGAGTTAAACATTTTTTTATTTTTATTTTTCGGTATTCAAGAAATTCAGTTATCTGGTTTATTCTCTAAGATGTAAATTGTTTGGAGTTCAAGTGAACTTTTACAGATTTACTTAAAATACTTAAATTAGAAACATAGCCATACTGGAGATCTTTTTAAAATTCATTATTTTGTATTACAATTTTTTATTTACTTTAAATGTCCAACAGTTTATTGAATACCTGAGTTGGAAGCTGCAGCCCTTCTTTTAAACTGAGCATAGTGCCCAAGAAAAAAGTGAAGTAGTGGGTATGGGTATGGGTATAACTGCAGCCACGGGGTCCAGAGCTTTTACAAGGCTCTGTTGGCTAAATATGATGGTAGCGGGAATATGCTGACTGACTTTTTTATTCTGAGGCTCACATCCATATACAGGGTAACACACCTGGAGAATTGCCTAAGAATGATGAGAGCACTGATAGTATCTGAAAATAAGGGGTGCAAATAGTGTAGGCAGCAAACCCTTTTCATTATAGCACATTGACATGAATGAATGAATTGATATTTCCAACAAGACTTTGTGAAATCTGCTTATTGTCACCTTACTGCCAGCGTTAATATTTATCTCACTGTTTAAATGATTGTGTAGCTCCAGTTATCGTCACAGCGTAGCTTCCCCGCACCCTCGGGATGACTTTTATTGTCACCCCTAGAATAAAAGGTTGTATTCACTTTAGTGCTTGTTACTACTGCTGCTCTATCAGAATGAACAGTTATTGTTACTGGACTGTCGGAATGAAGGGTTATCTTCACCTCGCTGTCAGAATGAACAATTCTCTTTGTTGCAAGGACAGAACTCACTGTCAGGAGGAAATCGACTGCAGCATGTCACATTTCATATTGAAACAGACCCCTATCACCTAATAAAACACTCTACTGAAAAAAACACTAAACTATCCAGGAGTAGGTAGATATAGAAGAATGTAAAATGGGAAATAAAAGATTGGAAATCACGAAAAAGAAAAATGTAAATGAAACTTAGCAAATGATAGATCTACAAAACAGTGGTTTCAGTCATATGAAAAGGATACAAATAAACAACATAAACTCAACAAGAAATACTTAATGGATAATTCACATAGATCATAGTCCATCTGGAAAAAATATATATATATAAACGTGAACCATGCGGTAAATGAATAATAAATAATAGTCTTTGGCTGTATCCGCTAAGAATGACCCCAGAAAATGGCTTACTGTAGTAGAAGCAGGACGATATACTGGTGAAGCTGAAATAATCTAGTATCAGTTTTGTATCCTGAAATGCAATACAAACTGATACATAAATATTAGGATGAAACAGTCTTGATAATAATGTTATACCATTGAAAACCGCAGAGTGCTTGAAGTATATCGAGTCTGTGCTGGATTCTATAATATAAAATACAGAGACATAGTGCTCTCTGATAAAAAAAATTATTATAAAAATACACTCACAAGGGGTTCAAAGTGTTGGCATATCGCACCAGGTCGGTAGCCTACAGTCCAGAAAATCCTAGTGGCTTCCTCGGGGGAAGTGTGGATCTCTGTAAGGTGTCAGACACTGGATGTTTGCTGTGTGCGTTCCACTGCGGCTTGGGATGCGTTCCACTTGGCTGCCTTCTGAGAGCTTTAGGTATGATGCTTGCCTTACACGTTTCGTGATCGGCTGATCACTTCATCAGAGTAATGATGGATAGTTTATTGTTTTTTTTTTTTTTAATAGAGTGTTTTATTTTACCTTTATAGCTTTAGGTAGTAGCTATTTTTTCCAGTGAGAGAGTAGATATAGTTGCATGGTTTAGGTCTCTTGCACTGTGACTTAGGTGGGATTACTCACCATTAATTGATTCTTACATCTTTGTATCTTATCTATTTGTGGGTGTAATTTCCCCTTCATAAGTCTCTATATTCCATATCACCCAATACCCATGTTCAGGGACAACCCATCACTGCAACCCACTACATTCTAAGGGATGCACAATCTATATGCAATGAACTCATTTCTGTACATTTACTTTTTATGTCTAATGTTATCAACCCCTTGGCTCTTTTTGTGACCTAGCTAACATCCTGAGATAGGACTGTGTTTTCTCACAATTCATTCATACTCTGTCTTCTAGATAGACAGAGAGGTGCTATTGCATATTCCCTTTTTACAGAGGCATAACTAGAAACCACTTGTCCACGCTACACACAGCGGCAGAAAGGGAACAGCACAGCGCTCCCCTCCTGCCGGTCACCCGGCAACCTTGTGCCGCTGGCCTTGAAGTTATGCCAACTTTATAAAACTCTATGTGTACAAAAGGCGCTTAGACACACACATATATATATATATATATATATATATATATATATATAAAACAAGAGGGGGTTGCCTGCACTCACCTTAACATGCATAAATGGGGGTGCTGCTGGGGGCCAAATAATACAATACACAAGATCCAGCGCACTCACCTATCCACTAAACAGCAACTTCAATGTTGAAAGATTTTATTTGTTTTTTTAAAACACCTAATCTAGGCAAAAATAATGGGGGTTTAGTTACATTATATGATCATACATTGCATAAGCCTGCCACAACGTCAATGTACCCCATCTTTGGCAGGTCCTACACTAACAGCCTAATGTCTGCTCTTATGAGATTAACCTACTTGGGGAAAGAAATTCCACCTGGGGCTCTCTGCAGTACAAGGCTAAATAGGGCCCTGGGATGAGGCACCTGTGACAGGGAGGGGTGCAAGTTTGTTGCATTTCTTATATACGGTCACGTCCAAAAATCGAATTGATTCCAAATCATATTGAACAGTCAATCTGACAGGTGTCGGTAATTGATTAATTTCTGTAATCATATTTTCCAGATTTGTGGGCGTTCCGATCCAAATAAGAAAAAGGTTGTCCACAAACCGGTAATAATGTCTAATGTGTTGCCCATATTTTTGTAAAATGTGGGTCTGTTCGAACATGTACATATAGGCATATGATGGTGCCATGGCTGCTCCCATCGCGGTCCCAGTTAATTGAAGAAAAATTGGTTTTCAAATTTAAAGTAGTTGCAAGAAAGTGCTATTGACAAAAATTCCATTAGGTATTCGATGGGTGGTCCCTCATATACAGAAGATTGTACGAGGACATCTTTGAGGGCTTGTATGCCATCTCCATGGGGTATGATGGTATATAGACTTTGAACATCCATGGTTACCAGTAGTGCTGTGGTGTCAACAGAGGGATCCTGATTGATCCTAGACATAAAATCTTGTGTATCACGTAGACATGTAGATAAAGCTAATACACTGTCTTTGATGAAAATATCAATATATTTGGCAATCGGTTCTAGTAAACTGTCGTTGGCTGAGACTATAGGTCTCCCTGGTGGTTGTATAGGATCTTTGTGGATCTTAGGCAGAGTATATAGCACCGGGTGTTTCGGTTGTTCCACAAACAAAAATTGTGCAGTTTTTATATCCAAATATTCACATTGTCTTCCAAGATCAATGTGGTTTTGTATTCTCCTTTGAAATTTCTTTGTGGGATCGAAAGTAAGTCTGGCATATGTCGACGTGTCGTTTAATTGCCTGTATATTTCAGTTTGATAACTAATGTATGACTGGATGACCGTGGCACCCCCCTTATCGGCTGATCGTATTATAATATTGGGGTCTTGTCTGAGATCCCTTAGAGCGATTTTTTTTCTCTCCCGGTGTCAAGTTCTGATGATGTTTCGGTGAGTTTTTAATTATTTTCTCTGTGTCTGTTTTAACAATTTGGATGAATGTTTTAATTGAGGCGTTTGCATTGCGAATGTCCCTTTGGTTTTTTGTATAGAATCGATGTGCTGTACTTTGTATTCCATGTTTTCTCAATTCCTTACTATATAATGTTCTTTGGATTTTGTACATCTCGACCTCAGTCATAAAAGGATCAGGTTTAGCAACAGGTACGAATGAGAGGCCTTTGTTCAATAATGAGTAGTGATCCGAATTAAGAATTTTATCAGACAAATTGAATACCGTGGTCATCTTCTCATTCTGGGTGTTTGTTTTTTTTCCAATGTATCATTTTTATTGGAAATATAAACAGCGGGGTACAGAAATGAGAAAGGGGTAAGGGTAAAGAATTACACACAAGCAGGTCACATTGTTGAGTGCAAATACTATTGATTCTTACACACACATGTTGCGCAAGATACATTGTATGGTTACATTGTTGTGTGAGCAATTTTTCAGATCTGCCTCATTGCCTGCGTGGTTAGCTGCTGGGGATGATGGGGTTAAGGGAGGGGGGAAAGGGGGGGTCAGCAACAGGGTAAGGGTAAGGGTGGTGGGTTGAGATGTCTCTACACCTTGTTGTGTTTTGCGGTGGCTCATTTAGCCACTGTTCTCAAGCTACCTCTGCTTATGCGGGAGTTTAGCTTAGGGGGGCTTCCCTGTATTTCTTTTTCCTCGTACATCTGGGGTGGGTTAGTCCCCTATTACTGTTTTCTCTTCGCTGACCTAGGACGACACGGGCTCCGTCTCATTGTCCAGACCAGTTGGACCAGATCAGGTTGTATCGTGCTAGGGTGCCCTGGATCGTATGCGCTATTTTCTCAAGGTGTTGCGTGAGGTTTATTCTGTTAACTACCACTGTTATTTCCAGGGCTGAGGTAGATTTCCAGAGGGAAGCTATACAGTGTTTGGCTGCTAAGGTAACATGGGTGGTCAGCACCGCCTCCGGGTGAGTCAGTGATTTGGGAAGCATGTGTAGGAGGTAAGCCTCCGGTGTGAATGGTATCCTTTTCTGTATACTGCTTTGGAGTAACACCTGTACCTGTCTCCAGAAATTGTGTAGTACTGGACATTGCCAGAAGATATGGCTCAAAGTACCCGTCTGTGCGCAGCAGCGCCAGCATACCTGTTGTGCCCCTGGATATATAAGTGCCAACCTCCGTGGGGTGAGATACCACCTCATCCAGAGTTTATAGGCCGCCTCAACATGGTCCAGGCAGTGTGTGGCTCGTTTCACAAGCGCCATCGCTGCGGACCATTTACTACTCTCTATTGTGCTATTGAGTTCCGATTCCCAGTGTACCATGTAGCTTAACTTTTCAGGCTTGCCTATCTCCAGGAGATTTTGGTAACATAGAGAGAGTGGTTTTGCTTGGGTCTTACGCCTGAGGCACAGTGTGTCGAACGAGCCCGGCTCTCTGGTGTTGGGTGTCGCTTGTTTGATCCCCTGCATTATGTGCTTAATGCGAAGGTAGGTGAAGAGTTCCCTACCCGGGATGAGGAAGGTCCGCTGAAGTGTCGGGAATTGTCTGATCTCACTACCCTCCATTATTTGGGATATCCTCTCTATCCCCTGTGCCAACCACCCGTCTAGAACCAGATCTTGTGTGAGGTATTTTAGGCTAGTTATGGGGGCGTATAGTATCAGAGGTTGGGCTAGGAGTTTCGGGCCCCATCTGTGCCATATGCGGAGAGAATGTTTTGTGGTCACCAGCATGTTTGTGTCGCGTGGGTGCGATCTGGTCGGGACCCAGAGTAAGTCTAATAGTGCATGGGGCGTAGCAGTTGCCGTTTCTAATTGGTACCACAGGGGGCGGTTTGGGGTTCTCAGCAATCTTGCTTTTTGGGATAGATTCGTGGCTATGTAGTATTTAGAAATATTGGGTACACCCAGCCCCCCTTTCCCCATAGCCAGGGTTGTGCTTGCCAGAGAAACCCTAGGTGGTTTCTTCTTCCATATGTGCGCGTTCAACAGACGCTGGAATCGTTGTAGTAGCCCCTTCGGTATCTCAATGGGGAGGGCCCTGAAGAGGAATAATATTTGGGGGCGTATGATCATTTTTATGGAGTTTATGCGTCCCAGCCATGATGTGTTTTTTGCCCCCCAGCTCTCCAGCAGTGTCTCAGTTTTATTTAACAAGGCGTCATGGTTATGTCGGAGTAGGTTGCGTCTTGAGGGGGCCAGTTTTGTACCTAAGTAGGAGAGATTGTCTTTCCGCCAGTCAAAGGGGTACTGAGCTCGCAGTGGAGTTAGGTGAGGGTGGGGCACGTTAAAGGGTAATACCTGAGTCTTTGCTTCGTTGTTTTTGTAATAGGACACTAGGCCATAATCATGGAGCAGGAGTAGGAGATGTTTCAGTGATTCTGTCGGGTTAGACAGAAATAGCAGGATGTCGTCAGCAAAGGCCGCTATTTTTTGGGGACCTATTAGTGTGGGGATACCCGTGACGCACTCCTCCTGCTTAATTATGTGCATTAGCGGTTCTAGTGACAAGATAAAGATAAGGGGCGACAATGGGCATCCCTGTCTCGTGCCATTTGTCAGGGCAAAGCGTTGAGAGGTGAAACCGGAGCTCACCACCACGGCCGTCGGGGAGGAATACAATGACCGGAGGCCATTGAGAAATTTGTCGGGGAATCCAAACCTGCGGAGGACCTCCGTCATGTAGCCCCAGTGTAGCCGGTCGAAGGCCTTCTCCGCGTCAAGGGCCATTAGTAGTCCCTGTGTTCTATGTACTGTCAGGAGTTCCATTATGTCTAGTGCACGCCTTGTGTTGTCCTCTACCTGGCGTTCCGGGACAAAACCTGATTGTTCCGGAGAAACGAGTGTACCCAGGAGGGGGATTCTGGGTGGTTTTCATGTAAGATTTGTATTTTTGGCAGTGCCTCTGTCCTCGCCGCGTTGGTCGGCTTTTTTTTACGCCTCGAGTATTGATACGTGATGTCCCTGGTGGTTCTTCTGGATACCTGTCCCTTTCTAAAAAAGGATCCGAGGCCTGTCTCTTTAAATCTTCACTCGTTTCAGGTTCTGACGTTGAGTCTCCTAAACTGGCATCAATTGTCTGAAATAATGGTTTGCGTATTTTTGTCCTAAATTTAATGTTAGGTCTATAGTTGTCTTGTGCTCCTCCCAGCCATCTGTATACCTGATGATACTTGTAATCATTGTTCACCTTTTCCAATTTCTGTTTCTTAAAACGGATAAGGTCATTTTTATATTTATTGATTTCATCTTGTAGTTTTAACATTTGGATGGTGGCCGTTGATGCTTGCAGTGTTATAGTATTTGCAGTTTCCATATTTTGTATCGATTTTTTTTTTTAACAAAGATTAGTTCTTTACCCACTTCTTCAACCACAATCACCATCCAATCCAATGAGCATTTATTGGATATAAGCATCCACTTCTTGCAAAATACTGGATTCTGCCTTCCTATTGTGGGGGCATTCCTGACCCTAAAACTTCTGGGAATCCTCCTCGCACGTTTGTAATCAGAGATAAATACTCCGTGGAGATCCAGGTCAATTTTCCGTTTTTTTAATTTCAATAGGTCATTGTACAGATCTTGCACTGTATTAGTATGTAATAATTCTTGAGAGGTTTGTGGCCACAGGATGGCATTTGCTTGTGCATCAGATATAGAAAGTGTTTCGGCAGATTCCAATAATGCTCCTGCTTTAGCCACAAAATCTTCCATTGTACAAAAAAATATTTTTTGTAAATATAGTCTTAGTTTGTTAAATGCTGCTTTTACACTCCAGTGGGCATCTTCCTTTCCCACTAAGTAACGTGAAGACAGGTGAATACAACCGTAGGTGAATGAACAACCATCAGCCTTTCCGAGTGGAGCTCTATATACAGAACTAGAATATTCACTTACCCCTATATTGGGGGGGGTGTACATAGAACAAATTGTGTACTGGAAATTGTACTAAAAGAGAGAAAACCAAAAAGAGAGATATGGTGTGTATAGTTGAGCACTCTTGTAGATAACATGTAATAATGGTCACATCCTGAAGTTATGCCAGCCCACGGTTGCAGGGGTCGACAGGTCTTCCTATCTGCCATGCCATAATCTCTGCTGTCTTCTAAAGATTTTCTTTAGAAAGTAGATCTCTTCTCCTGCCGTATCTAATAGTCAATCAGTTAAATAAATCCACACAAAAATACAGTGTGAAATCTTACAAGGTAACTTAAAACCATTCATTAATTACAAATAATGTCATAAACTGTTTAACACCACCACTGCTTCAATGTAATCCAGTATCATTGTGTCCTACACTACTCATAAAATGGAAGATAAAAACTTTAAATGTATCACGAGGACTGAAGAGATGGGGTGCAACCAAACAACCAAAAAGGAATTTGCTTGGGACTCCTAATATATACAAGCTCCAAAATAGTGGGTTGATAAGTTTCCCTTATTCTCCTTGTTGAAAATCCTCAATGTCACCTCAAAGCAAAACAGTGCTAAAGGCCACCTCCACTCCCATACACAGCTTTGCAAGATTGCAACCACAGTCATGAAATGGGTCTCACACTCTTGAACATCTCTGAGAGAAATCACACTCTCAAACAGTTTACACTATGTGTTCCAACATTTAGTTCTGTCAGAACAACATCCTTTTATTTTCTTACATCCACACTAGGCTTTCATCCTCTCCTAAATCCCTCCACCTCAGAATGTCCCCCATGCAGTAGTTTAATAGGCCAAATACCACCACCACTGACACAAGTTGCTCGCTTAACATCCTTCCTCGAATTCCAGCATTGTTGTTACTCAATGCTTCTGCGTAGCCCTCTGTCACACTAAGCCGCCTTAGCCCAGGTACCAAGGAGGGCTACACTATTTATTTTGTCTTTAAATCTCACAACCAATTATTTTTACTATACACCACATGTACTCCAATTCATTTTCACTGTCCTAATACTGACTTTAACCCACCTCTAGTACTGAAAGCTAACAATCTAGCAATAGCTATAACAAGTTAAAAACAAACCAAAATAAATACTATATGGCAATATATGCTATATCTAGAAAAGCTACGTGTTCAAAACCCTGCAGGACTGGGATCTCTTCCTGTAATCATTAGTAATGGGAAGTAGAGCTATGACTCCTTACATTCTCATGGAAAACAGCATCCAGATAGTTTATCTGTAGCTGTCAGAACTGCAGCCAGAACTAACATTAGATGACACCTACGTATGGTTCTTGTCACAAAAAATAAAATAATATGGGTGTGACTTATATACACAAAAATGAATATAGATATGAGTCACTATATACAGTAAAGGAAGAAGAAGAAATATTTCAAAACAGGCTATTTAGGCTGTTTCTAATTAGATAATTGTGGAAACACAGCCTTTGTTTATATACTCTATAGATGGTCACCATCACCCCACTAGAAAAAAAAAAAAACTGTTGCTAGAGTTAAGAATTCTATGTATTTGATGTAAATGACATATTTGTTACAAGAAATACATTCCTGATGGCAATAGCAGAGGGGGCAAATTTGAGCCCAGTCCTTTGAACCACTGATTTTACAAGTCTTGTATGCTTTAGTAAGGTAATGATACTTTTAATCACACAATTTAATGCGTGTATATGTACTCTATCACTCCTTGTAGTGTGAAAATGATGACCTTGCTCTCAGAGTCTCTGCCTAAATTCCATGGAAGGAACATCTTGCACACTGTGTGTCGTCTGCCTTGTTTTCCCAATGACCTATTAAACGAAGGTACTAATAGCGCAGGTATATTTCCTAAATACCGAAACAATTCTATGCAGTGAGTTTAAAGACACTTGTATCCACCCATGTGCTAAACCATGTCACATTGTACTAAATTAAGTTGTACCTTTATCAAAATACATTTTTCTTTACAGGACTTTTATGTATGTATTTTTTTCAATATCTTCTTGTTACCAAATCAGAAAAATCTGTGCTAGTTAATTTAACTCTGTATCTAAAGTCCAAGAATTTAGTGGTTTTAGGATGGTTTATGCATTCTATTTTAATTTTAACCAATTTCTGACATTATATATTTATTATTATAATTTGATTTTTTTTAAGAGGAACTAAAAACAGTGGCATATTGTAATAGCTACCTAAATGTCATGTCATGTCTTGAGAAAAGTCCCATAGAAGACTGAAACATCAACACATTTTCTGGTGTATGATTGCACAATAAAACTTCAAGATTTATCTACAAAGTCCTGTAAGTGTGCCTTCCTTGATACATATATTTTGGCATAAGTGATTTGCACCCAGGCAAGGACAAGTCTGGGAGAGTGAGTGCTAGATCCATGCGTGTATATATATATATATATATATATATATATAAAGTATTCATAGAAAAGTGGCTGCACTCACGGTCTTAAGTAAAATTCCAAAGCTTTATTGTATTCCAAAGCTTTATTGTAGTAAACGATCGACATTTCAGTCCCACCAGATGACTTTCCTCAGAATCAAAGATATATAAATATATACTGCTTTATAATATTATTTAAAAGAGAAACGGTCACCTTGGTAACAATGACATATTGTAATAGCTACCTAAATGTAAATGTGTGTTCGTAAAGCATTATTCTTTTTTGTAAATGTACCCATATCGGTTGCCAGGGCGCAGTCGTTATGAACTAATGGAAACCGTGCAAAAATTTCTCAAACAAAGAATTAAGGACGGAGATAAACAAGCAGTGTTCCTCCTGGGTCAGATGTATTTCGAAGAGGTTGGTGATTATTTTTGTGCGTTTTGCAATTTACACTATGGTTTACAAAATGAAATATTTTAAGAAGTAAAAAAATTCAGGGTCATCAGAAAAACATGTAAAAGCAGGATGATTCACTACATTGAGAATTGTCAGGAATTTAAAGTGAATTTAAAGTCAAAATAGCCAAATTGAAAAAAATCTCCAGGTCAGCTATGCTTCCACTTCGACTACTTTGTCCTTTAATTTAAAGTTTGCACTGAATTCCTGATAATTTTCTAGAACTGCTACTTGGGAATGAGACCATAATTTTCGTACGCAATTCACACTCACACACCTTAGACCCCTCTTTCCCAAACACATGGCCATACCTTATTAGCCATTCATATTGCTCATATTGAGCCAGCCTTACTGTTTTCCACACACCGCTAAATAACAACATACTACATATTTAACTAAGCACTTGTTTACTGACTCACATACGCTTACACACAGACACACACTTGCCAATTTCATTCATTTGCTCCTTATTCCCCTCTGTAAGCGATGAGGAGGGAGTTATTTTGCAGGGGACATCCAGAGATGCAGCACTTCTTAGAAACAATGATAGAAAGAAGACTCTCAGCTATTATTTACTCCTTGCTGTCTTTGTCTTGCAGGGGTGGTATGAAGATGCGTTGTCACTATTTGAAAAAGTAAAAGATGAGGATTACCAGGCCTTATATCAAGCAGGAGTAATGTATTATGATGGCCTGGGAACCAAAGAAGACACTGTATGTAGCAAGCTATAGTTCTATAATATAATCGTATTAAATATGTTATAGTAGGAAACAATGCATTTAATAAAAGACTATTTTTATTATTACTAATACTATTGTAAACTCACCTCGATTGATAATTTCTGTTCTGTAGGACAGGAAAATTTAAAGTGGACTTTCTCACTAAACCAGGAATTGCCCATTGTTGGCCAAATTAGCCAAATGCAAATACAAATAAAATTAAATGTATCTGCTTTTATAACTCGGCTACTTTGGCATACATATTTAATTTCCTTGTCAATAATCCATTTATTGGGTCAAATAACCCAGAGAGGACAATTAAAGAAACACTCCTGGCAGCTTATATGAGCTACTTGTGGAGCCAAAGTCTGTTTTTTGCATTTTCAGAGAAGTGAGCTTATATATGGGTGCTAGTCACTTCTGTAAGCACCTTTGACTGGTAGCTTCTGTTTAGGATCTGACTGAGAGTGAATCAAAGTACAGTTATTATTCTCTTTGTGAAACTTCAAGGCAGTTCAGGGATCCAATGGCATCACCATTTCCTATACTCTCTCCGCCTCAACACTGGAAATTAAGCCTTTTCCAGTAACATTTAGTTCACACAGCAAAGGATGCGTAATATTTTACAAAATGAAGGAGGCAAAGTCATGGAGTGTGTGTGTATGTGTATGTGTATATATATATATATATATATACACATATATATAATATAATATAATCTCTGTGTACGTATGTCTTGTGATAATGTTTATATTTAATCAGTGGAGGCTATTCTATAGGCAGGTCCGGTGCTAGACTATTTTGTGCCCTAGGCAAGACCAACTACTTGCATCCCCCAAAAACGAAAATCGCCAACTTGTGTGTCTTTTTTTCCCCCTCTTCACCTTCCCCTTTGTGTGTCTCTTACTCCCCAACACCTTTGTGTGTCTCTTACTCCCCCAGCTCTTTTGTGTATCTCTCCCCCTCAGACCCTCTGTGTGTGTCACTGTCCCCTCCCCAAGCCCTTCTATGTGTCTCTATGACTCCCCCACCCCACCCCCACACAGTCTCTTCCCCTTACTGGTTTACCTTCATGTAGCATGGCTGAGCAGACTGCGGTAGAGGATCTTCTATTTCCTTTACTCAGTCTAGTATGAAGTGCTTAATGAGAGCAGCAAGCAGCTTCCTGTCAGACCGGGTAGCGAATACAGAAGGTCCTCTACTGAAGTCCACTCGGCCATGCTACATGCAGTGACAGGCAGGAGGGGGAGCGTTGTGCAGTGCGCTCCATTCCTGCTGGTTACCTGGAGATTGTGTCGCCTTGGCCTTTACCCTAGACGGCTGCCTATAGGGAGAGGTTGGCAGCACCACACCCCACACAACCCCCAGTTTTTGTTTTGCTTGGTGGAAATGACTATAAAACAGACGAATCTCAACTTCTGTTTTTAATGGAAGTAGAAGTATTAATATTTATATAGTACTAACATATTCTGCAGCACATTACAATTATAAAGTGGGGGTTTAACGGCACTAGGAAAAATATTAAGATTATTGATGACACTGCTCAAATCTCTTATGTATAATGGTGCAACATCATCCCATGTTGTCATGCCTGGCCATTTTATTTCCATAATATTATCTGTGTCCATGCACAATCAGGTCTCTTTCCATTGATTTCATTTGCAGGCAAAACCTTCCAAAGAGATTAGAGGAGTGATGCTGTGAGTCGTAGATTTCCATTTATCCTATTAGCATTAATGGTTTCAATGTAGAATATGTAGTCGAACATATTAGGCTGTTCCCAAAGGTCAGTGACTGGAGCTAAAAAGAAGTAATCTAGATGGAACATAGCATCTCTGGGTGAAGAGGGTTAACTCGACAATTACCAGAACTAAACAAAACATCTGTTAGTGTTTTCATCAAGTAGGAATTGTTTTAAGAAAATAACAATCAGCAATAAATGAAAGTCTAGAGCATTGTATTTTGTATTTGAATCGTTTCCATGTATTCGTTCTTCTTTACAAGTTTGCATTTTGCTTTTTTCAGGGAAAAGGGGTAGAATGCATGAAAAGAATACTGTCATCAAACAACAGAAGAGCTAGTCATCTAAAATATGCTGCAGCGTACAATTTAGGACGCGCATGCTTTGAAGGATATGGGATGCCCCATTCTGATGCAGAAGCAGAGAGGTAATGATTATTGTGACCATACTTGTATAAATAGTATGATCTAATATACAGGTAAAAATATATTTGTCAAGATTAAAATAGGGGTTTTCCTCCTATCTCTCCATCGATCTGTGTTTTTCATGGCAGGTATTGGCTTATCGCTGCGGACAATGGCAATCCGGAAGCAAGTATTCATGCACAGACTGCCCTGGGGATGTATTATTCAAGACCTTCAAACAAAGATCTACAAAAGGTAGACAGATAAAACTCAAGTCTAGTATTTATGCAGATATATATATATTTATGAGGGTTTTTATTTTCATTTCTTTTTACTTATTTTTTCCTTCCGTTGCTGAACCTTGCTGCCTGGATTTTGACTACTGTACTGTCTGACCTCGCTCTTGTCGGATTTGTTTGCCCCGGATTTTTGTTTATTATTTTATTTTTTGCTAGTACAAGTCTGCACTTTGAGTTTCATATCACGCAACCTGACCATTTTTATAATAAAAGGTTAAGCTGCTATTGTCCTATTGTCTCCTTTCCATTTGCTAATTTTTATTCTCTCATTCTTTATTAAAGGGACACTAAAGCCACCCAGACTACTTTATCTCAATTAAGTGCTCTGGGTGCAGTGGCCCTGTTCCTTTAACCCTGCAATGTAAACAACATGTTTACATTGCAGGGTTAGTGGCTGTTTTACTAACAGCCACTAGAGGTGCTTCCAGTACACTGACCGAGTAAAAACAGTCACATGACACGGAAGCTCACAGGACGGCAATGAATGCAGTTCTTTCCAATGGGGAAGCTTGGATGCTGGTGCAGCACTGTCATTGGGTTGGACCATCCATGGAGGAGGCCATGTTTCTTCAATTATGTTGCGGGAAGCAGAGAAGATAGCAGTGCAGAGAGAGTCTTAGTGCTTGACAAATGTAAGCAAAAACCTTTTTTTTTCATAACTTTTTTTGAAGGGGGGTGGACACCTATATCTAACTTGAGACAGGGATAGTGTTGGGAATACAGCTTTCTATTCCCAATGCTATGGTGTCCCTTTAAAGAATATTTCTTAATGCAAGTACAGAGAATGAGGAAAAAACAGCAAACCTCCCTCATATGTTAAGCAAGGCTTACAAACGTTAAAACATTTCTGCAGCAATATATGACAAGTTTAGTAACTCATTATTGACATAATCTGATGTAAGAAAGGAAGGAAAGGAAACTGAAATAAATGGAAAGGAGGAGAGAGATGGAGAAAAAAGGGGGAGAGTGTTAAGTGGGAAAGGGTAAGTAAGTGGATATGCAGCAGGAATTTGTGGAGCCTGCCTAGTAGAGTCCATCCAGAACTTCTATATATATCCATATATCCACATATACTGCATCCTTCCAAGGATGCTGCCATGGCTTCCATCGGGCTGAAATTTTCTACTCTGTCCATCCACTGCTGAAAAGAAAGGACATTCATACATCTCCAAAGGACCGGGATCATCATTAAAAATATTGGAAATGAGGCTCCACAGAGTAAAAACACTTCTGGTCTGAGCTGAGGGGCACTTCCCAGAATCGTCTCAAGTTTAGAATGAACCGATCACCAAAATGGAGACATTATGGACAGGACCACCAAATTTAGAGAGTTTACCCATCTCCTTCCCGGCAATAATAAATCGTGTATACTTGTTGGAGATTCCAAACTCCGTGTAGCATAGGTGCAGGCTTCCAATGTTACTCTCCAAACACTTTCCCAAAGTAAAAAGAATAATGGAACCGCTTGGCAAAGACACTGCATGTGTCGCAACATTGCTGGGTCCACTTAGTGGAGGAATACATCTTCATTTGGTTATGTTGTAGTGCTGCTACTCCATATTGTTTTTCCTTCCCGGCATTGCTAGCATTCTTCTGATTAGCCTGGAGTTTGCAATAGGTTCTCCATTCCGGTCCTCTTACTTTATTTTAAAGGAAAGTGCACTTGGGAACAACTTTAACACGGAACACATGGTGAATACATCCTGAAAATGTGTTGCCCTGAATCATGTATGAAGTCAAATTGTTTCATTAATTCCATATCAGTGTATAAATTCGCTGTAGAAATGTGTTGTTACCGGCCTGTTCCTCTGAACAGTTTCTGGTGAAAATGTCACACTGGAGCTGAAAGGTCAAATATTCACTAAATAATAATTGATTTTCATGGCTGGCTTCTCTACATTCACATTACGTTTTCAGACTGAAATAACCAGACGTGCTCGAAACTACAGCAGCTTTGTATTGCTATCATACTATTGTACAGGGTGGGCCACAATTCAGGGAAGGGTTTCAGGAGTCAATAACTTTTTTTATTAATGAACCAATTTCAATAATATTACATACAATGAATGCTTAATGTATGGAGATTTGTTTGACTAGGTATGGAATATGACATCTGTTAGATGAGCTCCATTTGCCACCTCAGTCAAACTCTTTTGATTGTATTTTTTATAACATTGATTAATGTTTGAGGCTCGAGCACTCAAATTTCTGCACAGATATTCTCCTTGAGCTGCTCAAGTGTACCCAGTGTACCCGCTCCATAGGAAGTAATTGGGAGGTGAAAGATCGGGCGAACGTGGCAGCAAATTAATCTGTGATTTCATGAAATTAGCCGCTTGCCGAACAGTTGTCTCAGGGTGCCCATTGTGACCCTGGCTGTATGGGCAGTAGCCCCATCTTGGCAAAACTTATTTTCAGGATAATTTTCCACTATAGGACATAACATTTTTTTCAATCATATCCCGATATCTCACTGGTGTGTAATTTAGTGGTTTTGGTGCATAGATGGCTCCCTTTTCTCTGTGAAACATTAATTATAAGGTCACTGTGTAGTTTGCAAATTATTGCATGTGTATTCTCTGCACAAGACCTATACAACTGGTTAAGCAGACACGGCTATTACAAGTCGTGCTAAACAGTCTCAGCAGTAGCATACGATCACTGCCAAATGCGGAGGATTGTACACTTATTCACTAAATCACCACTGGATGGCGATAATGTTTAACAGTAATGAAACTTAAAAATGAAGATTAGGTATTTTTGGAAGGCATAAAAATAATGGCTGTGTCAAAAACAAACCATAGCCATTTTTGTTCAAATGGAGGCATTGAGGGGTTGAGCCCAGCGTTGGATAACACTGGTGACCAGTCCTAATCCCAAACGTTAATGCCTATCCATAACTTTATATCCTCACTCTACTCTTAACATTCTTCTATTTTACCTACTCCTTACAACTCAACCAATGGCAATGGCCAACATGATTGCTCTCAATTAGGCAGTAGGCAAAACAATTGCAATCAGATTAACAGGCACGGTAAGAATGGCTTATTTAATGTGACAGACAGGGTTACTGTACATGAAAGGTTTGGGGATCATTACCAATAGGGAGTCAGGATAGTGTCCGTAACCTTACACAGTTACTGAGTGTAAGTAACCTTTCTCTTATAGTGTTACAATTCTGCCCAGCCAAAATGTGTAATAAACTTGGAATATGTAACAGATTGATCCGTGGAGTGCAGTGTCTGGTAAGATTGTCTTTAAACTGTTTACACTGTCTTTTCAGGCCTTTTCCTGGCATTCTGAAGCTTGCGGTAACGGAAGTTTGGAGTCCCAAGGTGCACTGGGTGTCATGTATCTCCATGGAATAGGAACAAAGAAAGATCTTGAGTCGTCCATTGAGTGCTTTAAGGAGGCAGCAGAGCGTGGCAATATATATGCTCAAGGACAGCTGGTAGCTTGCTACTATCACCGGAAACTTTATACAATAGCAGTTGAACTGGCCAAACGGTAAGATAACATGTTGCGCATACACAACGTTTGATGTGTTGTTTTTTTTGTTTTGTTTTTTTTTACGTCACTCATTGCAGGTTTGCTCCCAGGTTTTGATTGTTACCAACTTTCCAGGTTACAATATATTCCTAAACAAATACCCAACTAATTCATATGTATAAAATGGCTTTATGTTATTGCTAAGTCTGTGTTTACTAATGCATCACATATCTAATGCAGAAGGAGCCGTTCATAGTTGGAGAGGTTTGACAAAATCCAAGCACTTGTGAGTTTTCTATATATTTTCCTTGTGCCTTTTGTCATGTGAGTGCATGTAGTGCAATCTCAGGAGGTTTATTCACTAAACTGTGAGTTGACAATGCCTTGCACAATTGAAATCAAAATTGCTGAGGTAGAGGGAAGCAATCTCCAAATGACCTTTTCTGTTTCAATCTTACTGTGTCCAAATAAACAATGTGTAATTTTATTAGGAAAAGCCTTATCTTTATTTGTGTTGAAAGCTTGAAGAGACTCTTAAAAGCTTTGTATTCTATATGTAAGTTATGTAAGAAATATCTCAGATAAACTATACAGGTATTACACATGGCCTGTTTTATTCAGCACCATGGACAGGGAAGCTCACATTGTGTTAACTAAACATCATAGGATATGTAGTTCACAAACCTCTGCACTGCCAAGGTGAGGCATTACAGTGTAATGGAAAATACAGGAATATTAAATCATATTGGAAATGAGAACTTACTAGAGCTTATCTCCCATTGAAAGAGTATATTTTCCCCATAGGCATGTCCAAAGCACGTGTGAAAGGCCTTTCATATATTTGTTTAAAATCCGAATTTATTTAAGAATAGACAATAGGCTTTGGCACAACATCAGATATGGGGCAGTTCATTTGCAGTTGCATTAAAATACTGTACATGGTCTGATGTTAACTGAGTAAATTTAGGAGCTTCAATAATCCTGGGGCTTCCATACCCCAAACATACGGAACATTCAGCATTAAGAAATAAAAGTAATACTTTAGACTGTATTTAGATCTGTGATGTGCCGTGCATAAAGGCTGAGCCATACCAAAGCCGCAAGGGGTTTATTTATTTGATGCCTTCTCCAGAATCACCCAGAGCGTGGCGGGTTTCTTCAGACTCCAGGCCACCACTCTAGAAGGATGCAAGACTGCATAGTACATTCCCATACCTAGAAGAGATAACCCACCACCACACATGTTATGGCAAATGTAATTGGGAATACCAAATCCTCTTGGATTCATGTCCCCAAATGTATCAAGCATACAGTCATGGGAAAAAGAGAGCACACCCTCTTTGAATTTTATGGTTTTACATTTCAGGACATAATTACAATCATCTGTTCCTTAGCAGGTCTTAAAATTAAATAAATACAACCTTAGATGAACAACAACACATGACATATTATACCGTGCCTTGATTTATTTAACAAAAATTAATCCAAAATGGAGAAGCCATGTGTGAAAAACTAAGTACACCTTATCAGGTGTTTGCAGATATGCCAAGTTTGGTTTTTGACAAACGTGCAGCTGTGTATTATGGCCAAACATCTCCACTTTGGTCTCATCTGTCCAAAGGACATTGTTCCAGAAGTCTTGTGGTTTTTTTCAGATGCAACTTTGCAAACCTAAGCCATGCTGCCATGTTCTTTTTATAGAGAAGAGGCTTTCTTCTGGCAACCCTTCCAAGCAAACCATACTTGTTCAGTGTTTTTTTTTTTTTTAGTTGTACTGACATGAACTTTAACATTTAAGATGCAAACTGAGGCCTGTAGAGTCTTGCTAAAACTCTTGTTTTTTTTTTTGCAATTTCTTGGAGTGAATATACTGGAACTTTCTCCTTTGCAGCTGTCTTCCACTTTTGAATAATTTTTATCACTGTAGAATGATGGACTTTAAATTGTTTGGAAATTGTGTTATAACCCTTTTCAGTTTGATGGGAAGCAACAATTCCTTCTCTAAGATCATTGCTGAAGTGGTGTATCCTGGTTTTGTGCTGCCCTAGGCATGACAAAACTCAGGCGCCCCCTGCACCACCCCACCCTTCCCCCCCTGCCCCACCTTCTAAATACACACACACACACACACACACACACTCACACTCACTGACAGACACGCATACACTAGCTAAAAGACATACACCGTCACTAGCAGACACATACATTCACTAACAGACACGCATACACTCTCACTACAGACACACACATAGTAACACACTCCCTGACAAACACACACTCACTAACAGACACACACTAACAGACACACACACACACACACACACAGTAACAGACACACACACTCACTTTTTTTTTTAAATTTAACCCCCCAGCCTCCTTACCTTTGGGAATGCTGGGGGGGTTCTCCATTTCTCTGGGGTCCAGTGGCTGGCGAGGGAGCACTTTCCCCTGAGCTCTCTGCTCAGCTCCCTCGTGTGCTGAAGAGTGATGCTGGGAGCCGGATTTTTAGTTAGCTGCCAGGCTAACAAGATATTTGCCCTGGGCATTTGGGAGTCGCCCCCTGGAAAGTGCCGCCCAAGGCAAAGGCCTTGTTTGCCTCGCGGCTAATACGTCCCTGCATTGCTGATGTATTTCCTCCTTGGCATTGTGTTAACATATGCCTGAATGTCCCAGACCAACAAACTGCTAAAACTCTGGCCTTTATAGAGGTGGTCACACTTGCTAATGATCAATTAATTAAGAGCATTTGATTAGCAGCACCTGTCTCCTACTAAGCCTCTTAATTCCAATGGAAGCAGTAAGGGTGTGTTTTTCCACACATGGCTTCTCCATTTTGGCTTTATTTTTGTTAAAATATTCATGACACTGTATAATATGTCATGTGTTGTGTTGTTGTTCATCTGAGGAACAGATGATTGTTAATATTATGTTCTGATATGTGAAACCATAGAATTCAAAAAGCATGTACTTTATTTTTCCCATGACTGTAGCTCCTTGAAAAAATGTTGGGAATCTGAATTGGGGAAGATATGGGGGAGGGGGAGGGAGGGGGTGTATGGTCATCATAACTGAAAAGTATGGTCATCATAACTGAATTAGTATGGCCCAACCAGGGCAGCGGCTTCCCATTACAATCCTGAAGCTCTTGGTGCAGTTGGACTAAGAAATGGGGAAAAAATGAATTGAAAAAGCTGGGATAAAGAAGAGGTGAGCATATAGCAAGGTACTTTATTTTATATTGGCACCACAGGAACAGAAAAGAACTCTGAAGCTGTGGAATCGCTGAACAGGGTATAGATAGTAAGAGTGCCAAAACTGAATCTCCTCCATCAAAGTGTGTAAGGAAATCTCAGGGGAGGACAAAGTGAACAGGAAGTCATCCAGATCTGCTGTCATTTTATGGTGAGAAAAAATGGCCCCAAGGGGAGAGCAAATAGGAGTGGTGATTGAGGGTACCCTTTTCTGTCCATGCCATTTATAATAACAAAGGGTCCATAAGTGCCCTATATTTATACAGAGGCAGTCCAAGGGAGTTGAATACAGCTCTGCTCTCCAGGAAACAAAAAAAAAAAAAAGAACAAAGCTAAATGACTAATATTACATGCACGAAACCCCAGTCCACCATTTCAAATGCCTTGTCAGCATCTGTAGGCAGAAGTAGAACTGGGGCATCAGAGGCCCTAGCTACATGAATTAGGTCAAGAGCTCTGATTATGTTTCCCCCTTACCTCACCACAAGCATAAAGCCAGATTGATCTAGGTGGAACATTTTCTTGCATTGCCTTCCTCTTTTCCATATTTAATCTATGATTAACCATTCAAATTTGAGCAGAGCCCATTTCAATTGAACATGAATAGAAATTCATATACATATCAAGGCAAACAGAAATTTGGGCAGAATCCCAAGAGTAGCAATCACAACATAAACCAAGCAAAACAGCAGGAATATTCCATTGATTTCCTATGTGAATTCTATTTCATTTAGAATAAAAGTAGATCTGCTGATTGTGCTAAATAAGAACTTTTTTAATTGCTCCCTCTATGTGAGCTTTCATTCAATAACCTATTTTATAGAGGGTTCCAGGAGAAGTAACTACCCCAAAACTAGTAGCATTCACCAGGAACTTCCAATTCTTTTACACGGCAGAAATGTTTTAATCGTAGGATAATTAACTGCTTTTATAGAATGTATGAATCATCCATGTTAAAAACATATAATGCAAGAATTAGATTTTTCTGTTCAGATAAGTGCTTCCCATTAGCAGTTTGCAAGCTATTATGGTGTTAAGCACAGTTATTTGAATGGAGATGTAATGTGATCAGTGTAACATTTCATTATAAATATTGTGCTATACATAAAATATGAAATCCATATTGAATGATAAATGAGAGCAGGCTCCCTTGGTGTAGTGGTTCTTAACCTTTATTGACAAAGAGACATTTAAAATTTGTGCACACACACATACAGTGCCTTGCAAAAGTATTCACCCCCTTGGCAATTTTTGTGTTTTGTTGCCTCACAACCTGGAATTAACATGGATTGTTTGATTCACAAAACATTTACAGAACATGCCCAAAACTTTGAAGATTTTGTAAAAATTTTTTATTGTGAAGCAAACATCAAATAGGACAAAATAACAGAAAAAAGTCAATGTGCTTAACTATTCACCCCCCTAAAGTCAATACTTTGTAGAGCCACCTTTTGCGGCAATCACATCTCCAAGTCGCTTTGGATAAGTCTCTATGAGCTTGCCACTGGGATTTTTGTCCATTCCTCCTTGCAAAACTGCTCCAGCTCCAACCTGGCAGGAGGAGAGGAAAGCTAAAGCACAGATAGGAAACACAAACCGCTTAAGGGGACGGATATAAATTGGCACAAACCTTTCAAAAGCTTGCTGCCTGTACTAGGTGCAGTACCTGTCCCACTACTGTTTTCAGTGAACTTGAAACTACTGTTCTCGCTGATTGCGAGTCTTATCGCGGTAACCAGCCAACACAATAAACTCCTCAAACATACTGCCATTGTATATAGTTGTATTTGTTTGACAACATACAAGAAAAATCCTGATGACAACCGCAACTAGGTCGCACACTGTACACCTAATGACTGTACTAACGGCTTAAATTTGCTTTCTGTAACCTGTAACTTGTCATTATGTTACCACAGCCTCATCTAAACCTATGTCACTGTATCATTGCTTGTCTATTGGAGCAAAAAATAAAGAATTTAAAAACAAAAAGAAAAAAACGCTCCTGCTCCTTCAAGTTGGATGGTTTGCACTTTTGAACAGCAATCTTTAAGTCTGACCACAGATTTTCTATTGGATTGAGGTCTGGGCTTTGACTAGGCCATTCCAACACATTTACATGTTTCCCCTTAAACCACTCAAGTGTTGCTTTAGCAGTGTGTTTGGGGTTATTGTCCTGCTGGAAGGTGAACCTCTGTCCTTGCCTCAAATCACACACAGAGTGGTACAGGTTTTGCCCTAGAATATTCCTGTGTTTAGTACCATCCATCTTTCCCTCAACTCTGGCCAGTTTCCCAGTCCCGGCTGCTGAAAAACATCCCCACAGCATGATGCTGCCACCACCATGTTTCACTGTGGGGATGGTGTTCTTTGGGTGATGTGATGTGTTGGATTTGCGCCAGACATAGCGTTTTCTTTGATGGCCGAAAAGTTAAATTTTAGTCTCATCAGACCAGAGCACCTTCCTCCATACATTTTGGGAGTCTCCCGCCTTTTTGCAAACTCAAAACGTGCCATTTTGTTTTTTGCTGAAATTAATAGGTTTCTTCTGTCCACTCTGCCATAAAGCCCAACTCTATGGAGCGTACGGCTTCTTGTCGTCCTATGTACAGATACTCCAGTCTCTGCTGTGGAACTCTGCAGCTCCTCCAGGGTTACCTTAGGTCTCTGTGCTGCCTCTCTGATTAATGCCCTCCTTGCCCAGTCCGTGAGTTTTGGTGGGCGGCCGTGTCTTGGCAGGTTTGCTGTTGTGCCATATTCTTTCCATTTGGTTATGATAGATTTGGTGGTGCTCCTGGGGATCATCAAAGATTTGGATATTTTTTTATAACCTAACCCTTGTACTTTTCAAAAACATTGTCCCTTACTTGTTTGGAGAGTTCCTTGGTCTTCATGACAGTGTTTGGTTAGTGGTGCCTCTTGCTTAGGTGTTGCAACCTCTGGGACCTTTTAAAAAAAGGTGTGTATATGTAATGACAGATCATGTGACACTTTGATTGCACACAGGTGGACATCATTTCACAAATTATGTGACTTCTGAAGGTAATTGGTTGCACCAGAGCTTTTTATGTTCTTCATAACAAAGGGGGTGAATACATACGCACATGCCAATTTTCTGTTTTCTATTTCTAAAAAATAGTTTTATGTATATATTTTTTTCATTTCACTTCACCAACTTAGACTATTGTGTTCTGATCCATCACATAAAATTCAGATTAATAAAACCTTGTAATAAAATAGGTAAAAAGTCAAGGGGGGTGAATACTTTCGCAAGGCACTGTACATCTCCATCTTCATAGATCTATATGGTTTAAAGTTGGCAACCCATTACATATGTAAAGTTTCCTTAGTGACCCAGTTATCAACATGTCATTAATAGCAATTGCAAATGTCTAAATCCAGGGCTGTATGCGAACTTGTGCTTCTATACTATTCCAAAATTGACAGATTATGTAATGTGCACTCCCATAACTGACAAGGCTCTCTTCCAATATCATTTTTGCTGTATGTGATAGGGTTGTAGTGTATGAGAACATTGATCAGCTAGCAAAGGCAACAGATTGCATCCCCTTATTCGCAAGAAAAGGCGTTGCCATGGCCACGTTCTACTTGGCTAGATGTCTTCAGCTTGGTTTGGGCATAAAACAAGATGAAGCATCTGCTAGACAATATTACTCCAAGGTAAGTGTCCATATGGGTCTTCTGGAGATATTCAATTTTATTTTGTACATCAACAAAATGCTTCCTAAATACTTAACTTGTGAATGTTTGTTGGTGGGCACTTGTTTTAGTAGCTGTATTTCTGTCTCCTTTAATATTCAGGGACAGTTTTACAGTAATATTGTTAGCCGTTAAAGGCGTATTAGACTTTAACCCCTTAGTGACCGTGGACGAACAGGGTACGTCAGACAAAAAAACGTCATTAACAACCGCTGACGTACCCTAATGATCGCTTCCAGACGCTCTAAGGGTATTGCAGTGATGCCCCCCTTCACCGCCAGGCCGCCAGTTGACCCCTCCAACGAAGTGATCACTTCCATGTTGCTCCATGTGGCGCCAGGTATTCCTATTCACTTACCCGATCACCGCTGTTCCCCCGCTGGTGATCAGCCTTCTTCTCCACTGGGGGCACTGTCTGACAACCCAGACAGTCCCCCCTCTGCAAAAAAGGACCCCAAGGGCCATGTGATCGCTCTGAAAGAGCGGTCACATGGCCGCAACAGGCGTCCATAGTGTTGCCTGCAGCTGACAGGCAGTCCCCCTGCTGGTGAAAAGTAAAAAAAAAATTAAAAAAAAATGTTTAAATAAAAAAATAAAGTTAATAAATGTAAATAAAAAAAATATACATATATAAAACCTCATACTAAGTGTATTTTGTTTATTAATATATAGACATAAAAATACACTTGGAGTAAAACTACACATGTGTGTGTGTGTGTGTGTGTGTGTGTGTGTGTGTGTATATATATATTAGAAGAAATCATTAAAAATAAAGAAAATGTAAAAATAATTAAAAATAAAAATAAAAAATACATATATATATATATATATAATTCGGGACTTCGGCACGTTTTCGACACTTCGGAACTTTGGCATTTCGGAACTTCTCTTGCAGCCGCTTAATAGATAACTCCCTAGTTCCCACGGTATTAGTGAGTTTTCTACCAAAAGGCTGAAAGACCTAAATTGGTCTTTCAGCCACATTTACTAATACTAAGTAAAAATTACTTCGTATTAGTAATCACTCTCTGATTGGTTACTTTCAATCCACCAATCAGAGTGTTGTTATGAGTAAAATTACACAGCGTGGGAAAATTCCAAAGAACTTTCCCACGCTGTGTAAAATGACACAGAGCACTCTGATTGGTGGATTTCAAACCAACCAATCAGAGTGCTGTGACAGGTAAATGTAGAGACTTACCTTAATGGCTTATGGCTTAAACCCACCAGAGTGTTCTGAGCCTAATTGCAGGGCGGGGCAAGGCTTTATAAGCCTTCCTCCGCCCTGCGGAGCTCAGCCTGCGTGGAGCCCTCCATGGGTGAACATGGATTATTTTTTTTTCTTCTTCAAAGTGCGTCGGTTATTATGGATTTTTTGGGGCCTTTTTTGGGGTTGAAAAAAGATTTTAGAAGAAAGAAGACATCAAATGGTAAATTTTTAGGTATCTAGTTTATGGCCCTCCCCCCTCATTTTTAGGTAGAGGTTATTTTTTTTAGGGGGGTGACTAGGGGTTTGGGGACCCCTAGTCACCTTGGTAGGGGGTTAATTTTTTATTTAGGGTACCCACCCGCTGCTCAGGGGTGGAGGACAATTTAGGGCCCTCAACCGCCACTCAGGGGTGGGGGCCAGGTGGAGACAATAGGTCCCCCCCTTTATTGATATTTAGGACACCCACCCACCGCTCAGGGGTAGGGGGGCGGACAATAGGTCCCCCCCTTATTCTTTTTTAGAGCCCCCACCCGCCGCTCAGGGGTGGGGTCCAGGGGGGAGGACAATAGGTCCCCCCTTATTCTAATTTAGGGCCCCCACCCACCGCTCAGGGGTGGGAGGACAATTTTTTTTTTTTTTTTACAGTGAGCAGCCACAGGCCGTGGGAATTAGGGAGTTATCTACTTATTCATTCCTGTCATTCCATTGACTGGCTAAGTAACTTATATTTTATATGAATGTATGTTACTTGAAGTGTTGCAAATGCTTACAGCTGAATCCTGGCTATGTTTGTATACTTTTTATTTAAACTTGTATACAGTGTAACATTCTTCATTCTTCCACTGGGTAGGCATTTTAGTACTTCGGCAATACTGTGCTTTGGCACTTCGCAACTTTCAGAACTTCGGCAATTCAGCTATTTTGATGTATCCGTATGTCCGAAATTCGTCTGAATTGCCATTCGTGAATATATATATATGTCTAATATATATATAAAAAATTTTATAACTATTTTGATATATATATATCTATGTATATAGAAATAAAAATACAAAATATACAAATTTACACAAATAATTTCATAAATATACACGTAGACTTCAAATATATTAATATGTACATATATTTAAATTCTATGTGCATGTTTATGTAATATTTTTACATAATTAAGTAATTTTATTGATTACAATTTGGGGGACCTGCCTGACATCCCAGGCCGCATGTCCAGAGAATTTACTTTGCTAGCACTATATTTAACCCTGTAACTTTCCAAGACACCCTAAAACCTGTACATGGGGGCTACTGTTTTACTCGGTAGACTTCGCTGAACACAAATATTTCAAAACAGTAAAACATATCACAGCGATGATATTGTCAGTGAAAGTGATTTTTTTTTTTTTGCATTTTTCACACACAAATGTCACTTTTACTGATGATATTGTGATACGTTTTACTACTTTTAAACACTGTTTGTGTTCAGCGAAGTCTCCCAGGTATAACAGTTCCCCTATGTACAGGTTTTATAGTGTTTTTGATATTTACAGGGTCAAATATAAGGCTTGATTTTCTTTTTTTTCACATTGAAATTTGCCATATTGGTTATGTTGCCTTTGAGAGTGCATGGTAGCCCAGAATAGAGAATTACCCCCATGATGGCATACAATTTGAAAAAGAAGAAATCCCAAGGTATTGCAAATAGTATGTTCAGTCTTTTTTAGTAGCCACTTAGTCACAAACACTGGCGAAAGTTAGCGTTCATAATTGTGTTTTGCTTTTTTAACACACAAACAAATATGAACCCTAACTTTGGCCAGTGTTTGTGACTAAGTGGCTACTAAAAGAGACTGGACATACCCCACAGTGAATACCCTAGGTTGTCTACTTTAAAAAAATATGTACATGTGAGGTGTGATTCAGAGATTTATGACAGAGAACAGTGTTACAATGTCACTATTGATAAATATTAAAAATATATATTCTGAAACAGCAATGTTCTTCTTGTACTTATAGCCCTATAACTTGCACAAAAAAAAGAACATGTTAACATTGGGAATTTCTAAACTTAGGACAAAATTTTGAAACTATTTAGCACGTGTTTTTGGCGGTTGTAGATGCTTAACAGATTTTGGGGGTCAAAGTGTGAAAAAGTGTTTTTTATTTTTTCATAGTAAATTATAAGATATATGATGAAAATAATGGTATCTTTAGAAAGACCATTTAAGGGTGAGAAAAACTCTATATAATATGTATGGGTACAGTAAATGAGTAAGAGGAAAATTACAGCTAAACACAAACACAGCAGAAATGTAAAAACAGCCCTGGTCCCAAACGGTAAGAAAATTTAAAAGAGGTCTGGTCACTAAGGTGTTAAATTTGTGATATATGTTAACAGGAACTTGGTCCATCAGTGCGGAAAGCAACAAGATATCACTAGTTGTTATGGTGACAGTTCCACTTATGGAACATTGCTTGCACATAATTGAAAGTGTTCTACTGAGGGCTGTGAAGAGCTGTCTGTACATGTAAACATTTGGTTATAATAGCTGCTTGAACTAATATGCATTCTAAGTTACAGATCAGGTAATTTTACAGAAAGCTTGGCTGTAGGCTCCTGTTTCAGCCCCTACTAAAGTTGGAAATCTATTTTCTTCTACACATCCCACTTCGCGGTGGGATGATCATGAAAATGTATAATCTGATAGGCAGAATTCATTAAAGGAACACTCCAAGCACCAGTGCCTGGGCTTAGTTCAGAAGAGCCAATGGAAGTTCCAGCGTTAGTGGAGGCAGGGAATGGCGCCCCCCCTCAGGTATGAAGCCAAACCATTCAAGAATGGTATGACTACTTACAATGGGAAGTGGTGTCAAGATTCTCCTGGCACCTTAACTCCTACAGCTTGCTTATGGTGCTTGTAGTTTTTCTTAAGGACCAAACTTCTGGAATAAAAGGGAATAATGGCATGTCACACATGTCGTGTCCTTAAGGGGTTAATTAAGGTGGGATCTTAAAAAAACAAGCTTGATTCGCTATTTTCCTTCTGCAGCATTTGAATTCTACATACTGTATGATAGAACTACATACTGCAGGACAGAAATGCTAATAATGAAAACTTAAATGGTACAAGTAATGTACTAAGAACATTCTGATGCAGAACAGCAAAATTAAAAACCAGAGCTACCATCTTAGTTTTTTAGCAGACCTCATTTGAGGTAGTTTTTCCACTGGCATGAAATAGAATTTCTAAGCCACAAAAGCACTTTAAATAAGCAAAGCATTATTTAGCCTGATTCAGCAATTTTATAATGTATTTCTAAATTGACATGAGGATTAAAAGGACAATGCAGCCATCTATGCAAATGTTATTTTTGGACTCCAAAAAGATGATTTGTATAGTTTAACAGCAATTTTATTTATTTATTTTTTAAACAGTGTTCTATCCTTTCTCTTTAAGTTGCATTGGGTAACAAATGTACATTCATATTCTTTAGTGTTTTTTTATTTTCATAGACAAATGACCAATTATGCTTCTGGATAAGTTTTATTCTGATACCAATCCCTTGTGAGCATTTTGGTGTAAAAGTATATGTAAGACATGTACCCTTTCATGGATATTTATAGTATACCTTCATTTCTTTCCTGCTCTTTAGGCTTGCCTCCTGGATGCGAACGTGGCTTCAGATCTTCACTACGATCTCATTTACAGCAAAATCTAGTTACATTGTACATGAGAATAAATCATTCCAGAGAGCAATTGATTTAGTTTTGTTCCCACTTTTTCCCATTGGATTCTTAATAAGGCAATCACAGCCAATAAATGTCTTAAAAAATATACAAATTACTATACCAAAAAATGATTTTAAAATACATGCAATAAGTGGTCTATAATGAGAAATTATGGGCTCACATTAAATAAGCAGGTGAAATGCAAGAACCCAATGTGTCTTTTTGCTTTGTGCTTTAATAAAGCATTTTGAATTGGGGAGGGGGATATGTGAGGATCCAAGTTCCCATGACATTTAGCAGCCACAGTTTTAAATAAAATCCTGAATTTCATCCAATTTTAATGATTCAATTTCCTATCAACAAAGATTCATACATATTCTATTATAACATTTGTCGCTTCAGCTCTTAAATTATTAACTTTCATAGAATATAATCTAAATAGTATTTTTTCATATTAATTAATGAAAGCAACCCTTGCTTTATTTGAAATCCATCCCAAATTAAGGGTACTAAGCAGAAACATTTTTGGTCATTTAATGTCTATCCAAATAAGACAATACGAAAATCTCAAATGATCCACAGACACTAAACACCAGAGCCAAGTGCATTATTTTGGCTCCACCTTTGTGAGTGTTCCCAGTTTATTTTTTATAACCTCCAATTATATAATTGATGTGTACTCTTGGTTTCTCCTATGTTTTTGTGTTTTTAGATTCTACATCTACCTCAATATACATCGATTTTTATATGTATGTATGTGTGTGTAGCATTTTAGCTTTTTGCTCCACCCCAACTTTGTGTATTTTATTGTTCCAAGTAAGAACATACCCTTGCAATTAAAGGGCTATTGACTTATAACTTATTATTAGAGAAGCTTTACATTGGAAATCTATTAATAAACACAACAATTAATAAACCTGTGTATATATATATATATATATATATATATATACAGACATCTCATGATTACTACAGTAAAAATAAGCAATATTAAATCTAAATATTTAATGACTTTTTCCACCTATAAGATTCATTTTGTGCAGAATGTAAAAAAAGGTTCACACATAAACAAAATGCATAATAGAAATGCAGTTTGTTGTCCAATTGTCAGTTTGTAGACTTCTTTGAATTAAAGTGGCACATTAGGGCCTACTGTCATCTAGGAGAGTCAATTCTCCCAGCAGTAGCAAGTGACGGCTGCAGGGAATTGGCTCTGTCTATGGAGGGTCTCGCTAGATCCTCCCTAGACCTCAGTGCTGTACACTTGCACATGTGCAGAAGAAAGGCGTCCGGAAGAAGATGGTCGTGCCCACGAGGGACAGGTTCAGATGAGTTAAACTCCCCTTTTCCTGCCTCGTAGTCATATATAGCTTTCTCAATGGTGATCTGTGCATCCTCACTGATCGCTGCTTTAGCAAAACTTAAAAAATTGCAGCTAAGAGTCCTCTCACCTGTTATCCACGTGACCACAACTTCAATCTAACAATACAGTCTGAAAATGGTAAACTTTCACCATTAGCAGCCCGGAAACATTGCAAATCGCTGTTCAGTTTAATCACCAATACGACAACTGTTGGAAATGCTAATTGATTTTCAAATTTAAGGCCAAAGGAGCCAAGCTGACTATTTAGGCCTTCATTTTGACAGTCACGCTGAAGGGTATACAAAGGCCTGCAGTGCCGGCTAAATTTTAAGGCCTGGATAGTAGCAGAGCACTTCAAAATGTAAGCCCTGATTGATGTTATGTTTTTTCTCCATTGTTACTTTCTCAATGCAATTTTCTGTATACACAGTATTTACTGTTTTCTGTATTTTTCAAACATGTTTGCCTTTCCTTTCCCCTTCTTTTATTCTTACCCTGCTCCCTCCTTTCGCCAGCAGTATATACCTTATATCACTTATGTGAGATCTCTTCATTCTATGCCACCTAGAGACCTTACACACCATCCACTACAAGCAATAGCTAAATTTTCCCTGTTCTTAGCACCCTGTGCAAATGGTCTAAGACTACATGTCATTTACCTTCCAATCTCCCCACTTGCCTCAAGACCCCTTCATATTCTTAAGATTGTAAGCTCACGAGCCATTCAGTTTAGTACTTTATATAAAAGGGAAGTAGAGATCTCAGCTCATGGGTAACATCCTCTATTTCTATTGCATTGGTTGTCTATACGGTACAGTCTGTTTCCCCCAATTGTACATCGATGCAGAATATGTTGGTGCTTTATAAATAATCCAGCTCTGATTGCAGGGCCGTTGGTTTCACGTCATTGGTTATTTAAGTACCATGGTTAAGACAGACACGGCCTTTACTTTTATAAAAAAAATATTTTTCTTCATTTGCAAATGCCAGAGCTCTGTGTACAATGCTGGTAGTTGATACATAATGATAATTCATTGTGCTTGCTAATTAATGATCCCCTTTCAGAAAGAGATGCATTATGAATTCACAAAAAAAAACACCATTAGTTCATTCCCCCATGAGAATTATTTTAAGATATAATGAACAACAATTAGACTGTGGTCACTGTAGCTTCAACAGTAAATGATCCTTTTACAGAGACAAATAGAAAAGCATTGTACTTAAACAAATAGAAAAGCATTGGATTGTTCTCCAACTAGGAGGAAGTCTCCATTATTACAATCTAAATTAAGAGATTTTTTTCCCCACACAATGGCCTCAAATTCTATGCATGCTCTTGCATTATTCATTTCTAAACTATCATCTATCGTTCGGTAATCAGAAAGGCTGGTATCTTAAGGTAGACATCCTAAACATAAAATTAGTCCATTTTTATTTATTGCTTACAAATATTTTAAATAATGGGCAGTCTTTGGTAAAAATAAAAGCAATCAAGAATAAAATATTCACAATAACATTACAGAAAGTATTGCACAAAACATTCTTCAAAACACCGGAAATAATAAAGGAATGTTCAAGGTCCTCAATAAGAGGAGATGGGACTATACAACATTCAGTTGTTTTTCACACCAGTAAACAAAAAATAAAATAAAAAAAATTGTAACATCCTTCATTCCCATATGTCCATGGTTTCTGATCAGCACTGAAGAGGTTAAAAGGGATTTCTGTTTCTCACAAGATACAGTACATTTGCAGTTCAGTTCATATTCTAAACCAAAATTTCTTTAAATAAAACTGGTAACAATGCAGCATTAATTCTTTATTTCTACACATACAACGGCAATTGTCTTCCTCCGTGACCTGGAAATGGGACACAACATAAAGGAAAAACACTGGGAAATAAATAGTCCTCAGTTGGTCCTCTGTGGAAAAGAGGAAAATAATTTGCATGTCCATGGTTACACAGACATTAGGAGTAGTGTGTCACTTGGAGGTGTCAGCGGCTGGGCTAAGCTTGACTTGTTCTATATGGGTCCGTAGCTCTGGACACAGCTCGATTAGCAGCAGTTCCATCAGCACCTGCAAAGAAAGTCAAAATGTAAGTCAATGAGAATGGCACCAACTTAGAAGCATGATGTCATGTAACTATTACAGCTTCTATTCATGTGGTTATGGCCTGATGTCATCATAGGTCACATAACAATATTGAATGTCCTGTACGTTTAATGACCATGGGTTCTGAAAATTCCATGCTGGCATAGGGATTGCACTTTGTACCAATAGATACTGGGTTAACTTGTAACGAGGGAATGGTATGTGACCAACAGTGCTCCAGGATTCTTAATTGAATATTGATAGAGCCTATCCATGGCCTATCAGTAATGGACATTAACCTAGGTAATTGCTAAAGATTTGTAATATAGCTTTTTGGATGCAGTTTGGCAAACAACAGCCACACAATTCAAATTTAACAGCTGATACTTACATAAAGTAAATGCTTATTAGCCCGGTTCTCCTGGAGTGCATTAAATATTTTAATTATACCATGACGGGCATTCTGCTGTCCAACAAGGTTCTGGAGTGCATCTGAAGTAGATGGAAATTATGAATTACCACACAGGAAAAATAGACACATATCTCCATAAGGGGCACTTAAAGGGATACTATAGTCACCAATACAACTTTTTTTGTGTATAGATCATGACCCTAAATCTCACTGCTCAATTCTCTGCCATTTAGTAGTTAAAGGGAAACTATAGTCATCAGAACCACTACAACTTAATCATAGGCGTGCGCACGGGGTGTGCCTAGGCACACCCTAATCCCCGTGGCCAACGCTATGTGCCTCCCTCCGTGGGCCGGTGAGGGAGATCAAAGATCTCCCTCACCTAACCACAGGCATGGAGGGAGGAGGGGGGGACCTGGGGAGCTCTTGCCAGCAGCTCCGCTGAGTTCCTCTCGCGAGGTCGGAGCGTTGCCGCGGTCACCCCTTAGGGCTAGAGTTCACTCTCCACTGGACCACCAGGGATGGCAGCAACACGGTCCCCCCTCCCTACAAAAGGTAAGAAGGGAGGGGGGATATTAACTAAACGGCCCCCACACCCACACATTACACACAAACAGCACACACACACTAACACCACCTTTACAAACTCACACTAACAGCACCCTCACACTAACACCCTTACACACACAGCACCCTCACACATACACACACAGCACACACTAACAACACCCTTACATACACAGCACCCTCACACATACACACACTAACAGCACCCTTACACACACAGTACACACTAACAGCACCCTTACACACACATGGCAGTATGTGTGTGTGTGTGTATATATATATATATATATATATAAATACACACACATACACGTGGCGTGTGTGTTTCTGCTTTTGGGTGCACACCCTTATACAATAGGCTGCGCACGCCTATGAACTTAATGTAGTGGTTCTGGTGTCTATGGAATGTCCCTGCAGGCAAGATTGGTGCAGCGATAGAGAAAGGTAAGTTAAACATGTTTTAACTCAACAGAGTGGGGCTGATCACCTAAATATCTAGATACAGTGTATATAAGGCGCTTCGTAATGTCTAACACATGTCAAATCCAATATCAGCAGCTATAGCACCACTAGTGGATATCCCAAAAAATCCACTAAAAATTACACAATGAAAACAAGGAAATGGACAAGTTTAGGTGATAATCCCACCACCCAACATGCAGAGTCTACAACCTTGGGATTCTGCATGTTGACTGATCACCTAAATATTTACTCCAGCACTACAATGTTAGCAATACATGTATTAATGTTGCATTCCTAACACTATAGTGTTGCTTTAATTACTTTGTTTATGCAGCCCTAATCACACATTCCTGCATGTGATCTATACAGTCTCCCTAAACACTTCCTGTAAAAATAGATATTTAAATTTCATTTTTTGCACAGTTTGTGTAATGTAGAATTTCTGCTGACAATCTGCATAATTTCCACACAAAAAAATAATATTTCGACAATAATTTAGAATTCCTTATATTCCTACTCTGTTAATAGCTTGCAAGAGTCTGCAGGAGCCTCCTGTGTGCGATTAAAGTAAATTAACAAAGGAGGAGAAAAAAAGTGTGTTCGATCTAATTGATAATGAAACCATTTCACGCAGGCTGTGCAAGTCACATGTAGGGAAGTGTGGCTAGGGCTGCAAAACAGTAGTGATTTAACACCTAAACAGCAGAGAATTGAGGGGTGGGACTGTATACACCAGAACCGCTTCATTAAGCTAAAGTTGATTTGTTGCTTAGAGTATCCCTTTAATAACCAAATAAGAAGAAGTATTCAAGCAGAAGGAGATACCGGTCTCAGTACCATGCGTTGGCTATCTCCACCAGGCCCCCAAGAGTTATAATATTTAAAGTACTAAAAATACACAGGTTTCTTCTACTATC